TGAGATTTCAGTTGTATTATTGTCTTCTTTTAATTATGTATAATTATTTTCAAGAGTTCATTTCAGTTTTTCTTTTCAGTTTGTTAGTTCTTACAGTTAGAGTATGTTCAATCTGGTGTTCTGGTCACCTTTTGAAGAACTTTCATTTTTAAAGTTTTTTTCTAAATAACAGTGTTTATTCCTTTCAAAGGAACATTGAAGTTTTAATACAATGTATGTTTCTTTCAAAGGAACATACATTGTATTTAAAACTTGACAACTGAAAGTTGTTCCTTGTTTAATTTGCTCAATTAAGACATATAAGTGTTTCACTTCTTTCGATGATGGTTGTTTCATCCATAGAGCAAGCTCTATATGTTTAACCTTTCATGGTGAATCATTAGTTTTCTGATGAAAGTGTCTTTTTTTTTTTTTTTTTTTTTTTTAAAGTTTCCTAGTTTTATTTCGACTTGATTTTACTTTATTTTATTCAGTAAGGTTGAAAGTCCGTTTAAGTTTGAGATTCTTCCCTGTTTTTCTGAAAGAACACTTTCCTTTTTGTGATCCGTGAGTGGACTGATTTTTAAAACGGTGGTTGTGTTTAAAATTCCGTAACTTGAAAATGACATAAGTGATTTGAATGATGTTTGTACAAAAAGAAAGCTTATGAATTGGGCTTTCATATCCTAGATTTTGAAATTGCTACAAATGCAGAACTTTACTAAAACAATGGTCCCGACAGTTGGGTGTTTTTTTTTTTACTTATCACCCTGTATATATCTTTGATTCCTTTTGTGAGGAGTTGCGTTCCCTGTGCCCTACAACAAATTCTCTTTTTTTTCTTAATACTAGATTTGGGCTTGTATGTCAAGTTTTTATTTAACTTCTTTTTCCCCTTTATTTGGCATCTGCAACCGTCTGAAAAATAGATTGACTTTTCTGTTTTTGGGAGTTTTAAATTCCAGGCGTATTTTTTTTTAAATTAAGAATTGGCTTTTGGCTTTAAAGTTTTTGGTTTTAGATTACTTTATTTTTTTTTAGTCTTCTTGGTTTTGGTCTTTTCTTATTTCTGAGTTCAGTCCAGTGTTGGTTTTGAACTTCAACTAGTTTTCTGAAGTCTTCAAGTTTTTGTAGATATTAAAAGTCCTTTTTTTTAATTCCAGAATTTTGTCTCTTGTATTTTATTACTTCAATTTCTCGCGCCGGTTCCCGGCCCTTCAAAGATCCTGATGAGTTTAACTTTAGTTGTAGGCCCTATATTAGTGCGAGCATGGCATGGAGGAATACGAATGTGCAAGTTTCCTCAAATGGAGTTTTTGCAGGTCACGCGGTTGGCAAAAAATCTACACGCCTGCACGTACGGCTGTTTACTTGTGCGTGCACACCAGCCTTGCATAATGCACTGAATTCGATTTGTATGCATAGCTAGTACGTACGTGTACGTGCACTGTGAGCGCACGTAGGTCGTATGCTTTGTGCTTTGTGCATGTACTTTTACTGCATGTCTACAACGTACGTTCGTGCTGTGCATAAAATTACCGTGTGCCGCCTCGGTGACTGGCGCATACAGCTCAGTTCGTAGATTTCAGGATACAGCTAACAAGTAACATTTCCTGATTCATGGATTCTGTCCTGAATGTTGGAAAGCCATGTGTTAGACAATTGGTTACATTCATGCTGCACGGATGAACTTACTGGATCGGACTGAGTGATCGGTATACTACCGTGCATAAAGAAATCTTGCATCGCCCCAAGTAGGCCATATTTATTGCGAGCAGCTGCTCATACGTGTATACACCAGTGTTGTCTCAGCGTAACATGGAACAGTGGAGGCCATCTTGATCGCTAAAGCCTACATGACAGACCAGTCATCAGACATTCACATCGTCTTCCATAAGTTTCATAAATTTACCGTGGCTGAGTCTAAATGATCATCAATCGCGCTTTTGTCATTTCAAGGCAATTGAACTAACAAAGACAGTACCGTAATAGGCTACTGCCTGTGCATCGGTAGCTTGTTTGAAATAAACGTTCACATCATACGGCGGATCGGCTAAAGTGCGTCTTCCTTCTGCACTTCGCTTCATTATGAACGATACACATTTCAGCTCACATTCAAAGTTGAACACAGCACGTGCACTCGGATAACATCGGTACGACACGCGATATTCTGTTGGCCTATCGGCATACTGGACTCTTGAACATAACATGCAACAAATCGTCAACATGTCCGACCTTCTGGCACCCAAAAAGCGATCGGTGGAAGTCATCACGCCCGAGCATGAGACGTTGCTGTGGAAACTCGGCATCCTCAACTTGACCGAATCCATTGGTCTGAGCAGGGCGACCTACTTCTATTTCTGCAAGGCGTTCGGCGTCTACTCCAGGAACGCCCTTCGTGACGTCATCCGCGAACAGTTCCGATACGGCGAAGATGAATACGGGAGGTTTATTGAGTTTGTTGATTTTGAGAAACCGGACGGGGAGACAGTGGTGACGTCAGCTGTACCCACCAGGAGAGTTGTGCAGTATGATGACTCAGCCAATGATTACAGTGTGTACAAGATTATGGCCACTTACATGGCCCACATACCACCCAGTGGAGAGTTCTTCAGACGACCTATCAGCGCGACCGTAGATTCCCCGAATCCAATCCAGTTCTCCAACCGACCGATTGGTATCAACCATCTCAGTCACTACCTGTCTGATATGATGAAGAGCGCTGGGTTGTGGAAGGAGCATTTCACCACGCAGTCCATCAAATCGGCGGTGGTATCGGTGTTGTTCCGGGTGGGAATCGACGAGGACATCTCCAGGCAGCGGACCAGGTGGTGGGGTCTAGGCCGTGCAGTCAGCTCAAGTCAGGCCACCGGCCCCAAGTCCGGGATTCGGGGCGCCTTGTCTCTTAATGATACTCAGTCCGATCGTCAGAAACTGGTCGCCATCTCGAAGTTACTGGATCCACCCCCTTTCACCCCTCTTAATCCCTCGGACAAGAAGGTGATCACGAAGGTGATTGAGGTTCAACAGGTCAATAATTCGCTGGAGTGTCAATCCTTTTCTATTGATGGTTCTCAGAATGCTCCAAGTACCAGCCATGCGGAGATGCCAATCCATATCCAAACACCGTCAGGGTCACGGCAGCAAGAAACTAGACCTAGTTATCACCGCAAAGAGCCAGCAAGCCAGGCTGAGACGTACAGGTGGTACCAGAGCGAGACATCTTTCACTGTTGACTCGGAAACTGAGGAAGAACAGATCCATCCCAAGAGACAGCGCTATTCCTCCCCGCCCAACTCTCCTGATGGACAGCAGATTGGGGCTCCTCCACACGAGTTCGTTGCAATGTCTGGCCCAGTCACGGACACCGCCGTTGTGCCAAAGCAGATAACAAGATTACCCGTCATAAAGGTGGAGCCTGATGAGGAAGACGATGACGATGATTGCTGTGTCGTCGCGAGTAGCATGGTCGACCGTTCTCAGACCACACCCGACCAGCAGACCAACAGTAGGGCGACCTCTACAAAGCGCAGCGCCACCAGCTCAACGTCATCGTCATCTCGCCAAGACGCGTACTCCCGCGACAACTCTCGCGCAGCGGTGAGAAACCAAATGCAGTGCTTGACCCCTGCCGAGATGAAGGAGGCCTCATCCCGTCCGCCGAAGGACGGAACAAGCGCCCTGAGTTTAGCATTCAAGTTTGCCTATGAGATCGATCATAACGGAGAAGTGGCCGCTAGTAGAGAGATCCGTGCCTTACACACCACCGCGAGCAAGGAGACCTCCACCTCCGTCAAGAGGCGCCTACTCCCGTTAAACGTGGTCGACTCTTCCGGTAAAGAGGCCACGGAGAGGCAAGAGGAGTTCTCCAACTTCTCCATCAAGCTGTCCCATTTCTTCCCGTCGATCAGCCAGCAGAAGTTGGACATCAAGGATGTGGTGATCAGAGGGACGCGCGGCCAGGGAACGGATCGTCTGAACGTGGAGTTGGTAGTCGCGGACAAGAAGGAAACTGAACAAGACGTGCAAGTCGTGGAGCATTATGATGACTTCCAATAAGATCTAGAAACAAACGTCTCCAATCTCTCATTGATAATGACAGCGGTAACAATCGCTTGAACAAAATAGAGGGAGAGACGGTGTCGGGTATCATACAGAAAGGGCAAATTTAGACACTAACAAAATAGCTGCCTTTGTATTATAATATACTTTAGATTTGGTAAAGTATTAATCCAGAAAACTGACAACCATATTGGTAGAGATACCAAGTCTGTAAAAAGAAATGGGGTACTTTATTAGCTGTATAAATAACTTAAGTCCATTTTTAAAAGTTCATTCGATCACTAGATTGTGAATCCAACAGCGCTCGCCTTATGGACTTTGTGTGCCAACTATAGATGGCGCTGTGCACTGTAGCCTAGCAACGAGAAAGAGTAAAGGGCACTTTTTTTTCCCCTCGGTTTCCGTCCATTCTAAATATACACCCGTTTACATGTTTGGAGTCATTCAGCACTGAGTTATATACCATCAAGTAAGGTTGGGTTTGGACCATATTGACTGATTATCTATCACAATGCTTTCGCCATTGACGTGTTACCTCTCTGGTGCACATACACCTAATGCCTTCTCACGGCTCGGGTACTTGAGTCAAAAAAAGCGAAACCCAAATGTCGGGACCATTGTTTTAGTAAAGTTCTGCACGTAGCACTCTCAAAATCTAGGATATGAAAGCCCAATTCATAAGCTTTCTTTTAGTACAAGAATCATTAAAATCACTCATGCACTTTTCAAGTTACGGAAGTTTAAACGCAACCACCGTTACGCGTTTTAAAGTTCTGTCCACGGATCACAAAAAAAGTGTGCGTTCTTTCAGCAAAACGAAAACAATTTACACACATTCCTATGTGTGATTTGTTTTCGTTTTGCTGAAAGAACACACACCTTTTTTTTGTGATCCGTGGACAGAACTTTCAAACGGTGGTTGTGTTTGAAATTCCGTAACTTAAAAGTACACGAGTGATTTGAGTGATTGTTGTACTTAAAGAAAGCTTATGAATTGGGCTTTCATATGCAAGATTTGCAAGGCTTTCGAAAATGCGACATGCAGAACTTCACTAAAACAATAGTTCCGACATTTGGGTTTCGGGTGTTTTTTTTTTACTCACCCTTTACCATATCATTATTTTATAATGTGATACAAACTGGATACGTTACACGGAAACAGCACTGGGAAGGCAGAGTGTTTTGTAAAAATTATATGTAAATGTAAACATGTAAATGTAAGTTGTAGCCTACTGTATAGATCTAAGTTACTTTTCTCTAAAAAGTGGTCTTACGGTATTTTGAACACGTTTCTGATTTTTGGAAACCGTCCAATCAAATGAAACTGTAACTTTGGAATGAGCGTACAGGGAGATAGTGAAGCCGAATCGCTTTCCAAATTTGATGCGAATACAGAAATTGTGATATTCAAATTCCATAGTTATCAACTGGTTTTGTGAAAGTGCTTGATATGGTTTTTGCTTTGCTTGCTGCACAGTTTATAGTTTTTGGAATTTCTTAACATTTAATTTTTTTAATGTTACATTTGACATAATGTTCATGTATAAAGTTTTGTATGAAAAGACGTTTTTGCCCTGTTAGCCCTGGGTTCTGACGAATTTTGAGCATTACATGAATATGTATCTGCAATTCAAGTGCCGAAAATTGTTGATTAAGCCTAGGCTGCGTTCATATAGACCTGTTGCATTCAGAAGACATGTTTGAGGTGTTGACATATTTTAATTTAAGGGGTTTACTCATACTTATGCATGCGTGCGGAACAAAAGCACACACTCCAAAGGTGGCTGCAGTGCATCTATACATCATTATTTTGTGTATGGCCGGAAAGACGTGCGCTTTTCCAATCCACTACTCATAGACGCGCATGTCATTGTCGGGCGTACCAAAGTAATTTCTGAATGCCTCATATTCGTGCGCATCAGTTTAAAGCTATAGTCCATCATTTGCAGCTATCCGAAAAGTAACTGGCGTAATTACTGTTGAAAAACAAACTGGGTTGAAAGATAGTAAGGGAACTAAACTCCCTGTGAAATTATTCTTTCTGGGAAGCTGTCATTTTGAAGTAATCAACGAAAGAAGGCATTTCCAACAGTGATTCTTAAGAAGCACCGTAGGAAAATTTAAATTAGTAGTTCGTTTTGTTATTCAGCGCAGTGCGCACAAGTATTGGAACGACGCACACGCCGCGCGGTTGTTATAATTCGTCGGATCAGTGCGCGACGCCGCGTATAGCTGCAATTCAAAACATGATTCAGTAACTTTTGATTTGAAATTGAGATCTTAGAATGCTGCTTTTCTCGGAATGTACAGCTGAAGCTTGGCTGAAACTTCATCAGGTTAGTTGCTCCGTATCCTTCATTAGATTTTGAACACTTGTGTTGCTTCAAACGAACAAAATGCACTAATTACAAATAATGGACTATAGCTTTAAGCAACGATCTGGATAGAACAGGTTTCACTGCATGCACTGTTATTTGTTGAGTTTCCGCTGCCCTGGATCTGGGCACTAAGTTTCAACCAATCACAGAATGACACAATCTGCGATCACGTGGTGTGTCCCTGTAATCCAATCAGATCAGTCTCTGATCACGCGTATCACCTTTGGGATGTGATTGTGCCAATCTGGAAGAATAAAAACCTAGCGATCAAACTCTGTATCTGCAACTCGGCTCATTTGCAGAACGAATTCTGAAGTGCATGCGAGATGATGCAACGAATCTGTGTAAAATGGTTTGTGTTTCTGCTTTGGCATTAAAATTTTATATTTTGAAAGATTATTTGTAACTGTGCTAGATTGTAGACTCAAACATGGTCAGAATTTCTTGTAAAAAAATCTTGCTTAGTAAAAGAAAAGATTGAATATACATGTAGTGTTTGATCGTGAAGTCATGTTTACCCTTTTCATGCATGGATGAATATTTCTCCATGCTCTTATAGAACTGATTACCCTACTACGAGATTTGTCCTCGCATTCAAAATTAACTTTATAAGGCCTTCTAAAAAATCACTAAATAACAAATAGTTTCTTACGTCTTTGGTTTAACTTTAATGCCAATGTTTAAAATTAAAATCATGGTTTTTTTTGTGTACCGTTAAATATAAAATTTTGTTATGCCAGAAACGGGCTCGAGTATTCACGTGGAATGTATAACATTTTAGTTTCACTGAAACTATGGCGAAAATTATTGTGTTCTTAAAAAAAGACAAGTGACCAACCCAACAGAAGGGGCGGGGCAGCGTAGGAGATCCTGTGGGAAATGACCACTGCACTGAAACAAAAAAGGAGCAGTGTGCGTTTTGTGGCCTTTATGAAAGTCTTCCGCGCGACTTACTGAAATAGCTGGTTATTGCCGATTTTCCCCCGAATTCCTTTTTAAAGTAAATTTTCTAGCAATACAAAAACAATTCACTTTATCGACAGAAAAGTTATGGATACACATATTCAAAAACGTTAGGCTATTGAATGTATAATTACTTACAAATTTCGTATTAGTTGGAGCCGGACACTATGTCCGATTCAAGTGGCTCTGTTGGGGCGTTTTTAAGAAGCGCGAAAGCGGCAACCAAAAATAAAAGCCAATTTTCCAGAGGGTCGTAGAAGCTCAAAAATATTTTTTTTTTAAGAAGGGTTTTTCGTCCAAATAAAACATACAAATGGAATTTTCGTTGGGGAAAGCCGCTTTGTTGAAGAGCACGCGAGAAAAGACCAGCAAAGATCCTTGGCTGTTCTCCATCATGATGTTAGACAATTTCATCCTTCGATCACGAAAGATTGGGTATGAAATCGAAGCAACAATATCAAATAAAAAGGAACCCACGCACTGACTGCGTGATATGAAGTAGGATATTCTTAGAGGCAACTTGAGCTAAAAGTAGTTCATAAAGGGACCTAGATACTGCCAACTCGGCTGCAACTTTTGTTTATAAATAGTAATACTAAAGATAAGTGATTTGTACTCGAAACCATTCAACAATGCCATAACATTGTTGTTTCTTGCTAACTATCATAAAGTTATTTTGCAGCTAAGAAAATTCACATGAACACTGGACCTCACGTTCTGAATTTTGTTTATTTTTCTAGAGATTAGTTACACCTAGCTGCAGAAAACAAGATGTACTTTTCTAAATTTGGATGGAATTTTCAAAAACAAGAACACGAAAAGTGGACAAGCGAGAAGATTCGATAAACTGTACCTGCTGGTAGTTATAAACTCGCTTCGGTTCTGTCCACGTTCGATTCGATTCGTTTCGGTTAGGTTTTCTGAAAATTAAAGAGACAGAAGTAAAAAACCTCAGTTTGTTTTATGAGTGAAATTTGGAAATAGAAAAGCTTTTGTAATACCCCCATTTGTGTTCATATCGGCAGCGCTATTTTCAGCCAAGAAGAGGCTCTCGTCGCAGAGATAAGGCAATTGTTCGATCATCGTATCAATACTCTATGTATAGCGCTTATCTGAAGCAGGTCATTACCAAGGTCTGCAGTTTCTATTTATTGATTATTCAATATTTACCATAAAAGACATCATTGTGTTTTTAGATGTCTGTCAACAGACCCGTGAATAGGATGTGCTAAATTCAACCGCAATGATAAGCGAAACCTACTTATTTCGTTTCACATGCAGCTTGGTATACTAAATCAGGCGACAAGAACTGTCGAGGAACGCTTTTTTATACCAGTAATTTATTAGATTGTTTATATAAATGTTTTCTTTTTTTACGTCAAATGTTGGCCTACTTTGGGTTGATCCAGTATCGGTTTTGAAGAAAGCCGAAATTGCATGCAAGCATCCAAAATGTACATCTGAATCTAATTTACCACACCCGGTTTTAAAAGGCCATGCATTTTCACCCTAAACGAATAATTACATATAGTACGAGCAGACATAACATCATGCGTGCTGAATATTTTAAGGTGTTGCGTTAGGTATCGTTCGTTTCGCAGTAATACAGGGTGAGTGGAAAAAGCGGAACCCAAACCCCATAAAGTATATTTCATATTTAAAAAAATATGTAGCACTAAAAATAATAATGACTGAAAAGCCAATTTCATAAGCTACTTTTAGATGAAATAGAATTGCTCAATCCATTCAAAGAATATCACCATTTAAACACAATGACCCTAAAACCTGACTCGTCCCCCCCCCCCCCAAAAAGCAATTCATTGTGTGTTTTGACTGTTTGGAACATCAAAGAAAATGACACAGAATACTTGTTTCAACAACTGTCCTTCAAAAGGACACTGTTGAATATGTTTAACTTTAAAACAGAGGTTTTATCGCTGGTGATGTTTGAAGACAATTGCGACGTGCGACGATTCTTGAAAACGCATTTGGACGAGACGGGTTTTAGGATCATTGTGTTTAAATGGTGATATTTTCTGAACGGATTGACCAATTTCAGTCATTTTTTTAAATGCAAAAGTACCTTATGTAATTGGCTTTCCAGTCATTATTTTTGTGGGTGCTACATATTTGTTTTTAAATATGAAATATAATTTGGGGGGTTTGGGTTCCGCTTTTTTTGACTCACCCTGTTTTTATAACATGCACTCCTTGGTCAGAATTGACCCAATCTAAGTCTATATCTGCACAGTCCTTTTCTGGGTTACAAAAAAAAACCTTTCTGGTCAAAATTACACTTTTCTGGGTCAAAAATGGCATTTTTCTATTATTCTATATCATTTGATCCAGAAAAGTGTCAAGTTTGACCCGGAAAAGGACTGTGCAGATAGACTCAGATCGGGGTCAATCTTAAGTTTTAAGCTCTGGCAGAAGCTTCTACATGTCAAGTGGCGGTCGGTCGGTCTTGTCTGTCTGTCTGTCTGTTTGTCTGTCCCCGTAAAATTGACCAAAAATATTTAACCAAAAGTTGAGCAAATACCATGCCGTCGTCAGTAGGCCTAAATGCACTCTAAAAGGTGTTTGCAACAATTCGTGAAGTTGTTTGTGAACATTTTGTAAATGGAGGCAAGATATGTGCAGTAATGTTGTATCATGTGGTACTTTTTGTAGTGGTTGGACGGGTGATTCAGAAGGAGGAAATGAAAATTTACCAAAAGTATGGTGCTCCTTATGTGCCATCTACGTCGCATTTTTCGCCAGAGCTTATTGTGCACTGACACTTGTTAGAGTGTGCAGTGCCGGTTAGTGTGCCCGGTATTTTTCTTTTTGCAAAACGTTACATATCTCTAAACCAAGACCCGTATAACCATGCAGGGGTGGATTCGGTTGGGGTGGGGTGGGGCGAACGACCGTCAACCCAATTCGACATGGGTCTAGTTTCGCTCGTACCCCCGCCCTGCAAACAGGACGCTCGGATACTCTGATGAATTTACGCTCTGATTGGTTGGATTTTGCGTGACCAGTGACCTGCGCGTCATCACGGTCTTGACTCTGCAAGGTTTGAAACGGCCATTAAGACTGATTCATTACTCTTTATTGAGTTTAGAGATGGGTTTTTTCTCATTGAAAAGCGTAATAATGTAGGAAATTCTGTAAAACTTATCTGTGTTGTAAATTTACAATCCCCGTCACTCGCCCGTTTCGAATCACGAACGGTCGGATTACATCAAAATTGTATCCACATGGTCCGCAATGAAACAGAAATCACATCCGGTATGGAATGTTGTCATTGCTATGGGAAGATTTCGGATAGCATTTGCGCACATTGACTAACTGCGGTCTTGAACAGCTGCAGCCAGATGCTTTATACATAGGTCATAGGCCACTTCCTTCACAAGATTTTGTGAAGCTCATCAGAGTATCCCAGCGTCCTGTTTGCAGGGCGGGGGGTACGAGCGAAGGGTCTAATAAGCTTTCCCTGTTCCTTGCTCTACATGATGGTCTAACTGCACTAAATTTATCGTGCGGGTCTAACAAGTTAGAATATGTGTCGAATATGTCTATGTTGGCCTAAATATGTGAAAAGTTAGGCAGAAGAAATGCCCACTTTTTGGTAAAGTAAAACAGACCAAACCCTATCAAACTTGTAAGTTGTTATAGTGCTACAGGCAACTCCGCGCTCACAATCCTCTCTTCCTAATTGTTGTCTTTTTGAAATACCCTAATATTATGTACACAGAACTTGAGTCGAGTTGTTGGCTTTCTTTGAAAAGTTGAGCAGAAGGAAATGTCAACTTTTAACAGACCATCCCCTCATATCAGACTTGCTTGGTACAACCCCTTCCTCACAATCCTCTATTCCAAGTGTTTGTCCCTTTGAAATACCCTGAGATTATGCACACACAACTTGACTCGAGACCCGCTAATCCCTACGGCAGCTAGCGGTGTGTGTCATTTGCCTCTGCCTAAGTTTATCCGCTTCGGGCGCATTACAAGTCGGCAACTTCAGACGCCGTGTTCCCTCCAATCCAGCCGACCTCTCGCGGTATCTAACACGCACGACACGGCGACCTTTAAAACAACCCACACAGGAACCTTACCCGTAGTATGACGGCATGCTTGCTCACCACACCACCGCTGGAGCCCACGCTGTACGTGCACACACACTGAGCCGATCGAGACACTCATCTTATTTTCGAAGAAGGCCGCAGTACTTCCGGTGTCGTGCAAACAAGACACAACTCTCTCACGATCCTCGTAGATCCTGAACAAGGAGTCATTTCTGAGACCATTCCCACCACCTGAGAACCACCATCACGGTCTTGCTTTTGAGGACGGCGTAAGGCTCCTTACATTTCTAGGCAAGTTTCACATGACCAATCTCCTTGAGAAAGTTGTGTCCTTTCTCTATGATCAATTGACTGGCATTGCTACATAGGGAAGCAATTGTTTTTGCCTATTAAGTGCTGCATGGGGTCATTTGAGTTCGCGCATTGAATGTGGCGTTCGTGCACAAAAGTGACAATGGAACTTGAGAGATATTGAGAGGGTGGTGTTTCAACTTTAATGGTTCGTCACATCTTCCAAATGTTTGAACAGGTCATCTCACGGTAACAGGTGGGTTAAAGAATACTCTTTTTAAATATGGTTTTGAGCCGAGTTTTTATAAGGTAGAGAACGTTTATAATTGTTTTGTGTGATGAGATTTGATCCTCCATGGTTTCTGTATCTGTATATAGTCAGTAAAGCATCCCAGGGCAAACTTCACACCAACTTAGAGAGAAGACAATGACAAGAAATTACAGTTTTAGAGGTGGGAGGAAATCCCAGAAGATATTCTGGGTAAAACCCACGGAATCAGGTAGGAACTGAAAACCCAAATCCACATATTGACCCAGGCGGGATTCGAACCCGGGTCACATCACAGCGGTGGAAGGAGAGGAAAGAGCCGCTACGCCAACCTGACAGTGACAACTTGGTTTAGTAGTGACGGTGTTTTAATATCATGAATATTGTGAAAGTAAATATAGAGAGAAGCAGTGCATGTGAGCAAAACTTTTATAACGTTTTGGCTTGAGTTCTTTGATCTATAGCTGAATCATGGCTGAATTGATGTATACTAGACTTCAAAAGTTAAGACGAAGACATAAATCTCTCACCCGTGCATATACGAGGCTCGCGGTGTACTATACTCCATTGTCAATCATTGCGATTGACTGTAGGATTGCGGTCAGAAAGTTACACTGTATATCCGGTCTGTAATTCCTCCTGAAACCGTATAGCACCATGTTAATCCCCGCTAATCCCAGATTTGCCTGTCATCTGATTTTCCCTTGTTACTTTATCTCTGTATTGTTGTCACCCTTTTCACGGTCTTGTAATCCGTTTTTAAGGTAACTTTTATACGCCACGGACGCGATGTTTTTTTTTTAGTGTCCCATTATTAAACCTCCGAGGAGCGAGACACATGGCCGGCACATGCGCGGAGGTAGGATGGTGACAGGTTATTATCAAGCTTCAACATGTGTTAATCGTCGAGTGATAAAAAAATCTCTCAACTCAACTATTGTTTTCCATTTTTCGGCTGAAACTACCAAAAGAAATCGGTCTATAAACCCTTCCCATTGTTTTACTCATCATTTATATTACTTCGACCTAAACTTTTAAGATGCAAGGTTGCACATGGTTGCATAAGGCAAATATTCTGAACTTAAGAAAAAAAACATTTATTCAAAACTGAACACCATTATGTTGTTCACAGGCTAACCACCACCTGTTTCACAGATCAAACTGTACAAAGGAAAAACTACCATTGCCTGGGCCTAATTATTGTGTGTCCGTGACATTTTATAGGTTGTAAGTTCGCCCTCTGGGAGCAAACGATCGGAAGCACAAACGTGTAAATTATATGTTTTGGCCGGTAAACTGTTTTCAGGTTTTTTTGGTATCGAGCAGAACTTTTATGCGCTTACAAAGATTGCGCAGCGGTTTCGCAATCTTCGCAGGTATACCTTTGAACTCTCTGTCGGCCCGAACTTGACATACTGGCTGCCCGTCTAGAAATAGTTCATTTATCAGCACCGAGCCATTCTTTTAGGCTTTATCACCACTCCAGATCTTATTGTGTGATATAAAAATAAAACTCTTGATTTTAAAATAGTCCAGAGTGGCCAAAGTTCGCGCAAACAATCACTGATAATGTCAGGAGTATAAAGCTGTTTTATTCAGTTCCATATTTGGTTTCGCAACGCTCCATGCAGACGAAGGTAAGGCAGTATTTTTAGAGAACTGATAAAGTTTTAGGAAGATTTTCTAGGGCTCGTAAGTATTTTGATGCTAAAAAAAAATCTTCACAGGGGACTTGCAAAGTTAACAGGTTTATTCAACTCCAACCTATGACGAATTTTAGACCTTTAAGAGAGGTGTGTGTGTACTTTTCGAAACGTACCCCTCTGGCGAACCTGTGCTTGTTTGGGGCCGTTGTCTCGTCAGAACACGGAATTCGGTTTTCTTACATTCTTGCACGTTCTTTCTGTCAAAAGCCTTAGGCATAATTGATTCTATCTGGAAAATTCCCTTGAAATATCCTTCTTTAAAGCCTAATTCTAACCTTACGAAAGGATTGTTTCTTGCTGGTTTCGTGTAGCCCATTTGATTGTTGATGGTGTTTTAGGAAGGACTAGCTCCTGTTGATTTATGTGCTAAGCACAATGAACTAGCTTAGCGCTGCCAAAAAAAACAAAAAAAACTCCGAAAGGTCATGTACAATCCATGTTGAAATGTGACTTTGACATGTATTTGCTTTTGACTGGTTCTATTTTGGTGTTACTATAAGCAAATGCTTTTGCTTACCGGTAATAGGCTTGCACCGCAAGCCTGAAGCTTAGAAACATGTAGACAGGAGACAATGAGAGGAAATTACAGTTTTAGAGGTGGGGAGAAAACCCAACCCCAGACGAATATTCTGGGAAAAACCCAAGGAATCGAGGTATGGAAACCCAAATCCAAATGTTGGCCCAGGCGGGATTCGAACCCGGGTCACGGCGGTGGAAGGCAAGGAAAGTACCGTTGCGCCAACCCGACTCCCTATGCTATCATTAACCCTTATTTGTTTGTCAGGAGCTACTGGATTAATAATATCCACAATACTTACGCAACTCATGAATAGATGGACTGCATTCAGCGGCCATCTTGGAGGTGTGTTTCGATACGTTGATTCATTCGCAAAGAATGCACAGGAGGTCTACTGAATCGTATTCCTGTTGGACAAAAGTATACACCTCTAAGATGGCTGCAGTGCAAACGATCTATGAGATCACTGCGTGCAACCTCGTCTCCATGGCTTCGAGAAGTACACTGCTCTCTCGCCCATGGTGTTGCATCATTTTGCATAGTAGTCTTAGGTCAACCTCGTCCCCAGTGCTTACTTTATTTCCAACCTCGTTTCCAATAGTAAACCCTGGATAGGAAACTTTCTTCCTGTATCCTGATTCGATACCGCAATTGGCTAGTAATGGATTTTTATCGTGTACTTGGTGTTATTATTCACAACGTGCAGTACGTGTTTTCGCGATCATTCGTCCACGCCTTCTCGAAAATACTAATTTCCTTCCAGTTTGTTCATATTAATATGAAATGTGATACTGCATGTTGTCTCGATAAGATCGTAACAGTTTAAATTTTAAAAATCGTGTTTTCGTAACTCACGCCGTGCTCGCGCTGCGACGAATTGACTCTGTTTTTACCCCAGACACCGCAATCAAAAACAAACGCTAATGTAAAGCATATCCAATGCACCACACTATTCCTCATTTGCATGTTCAAAAATCTTGCACATCCAAATGATCCAATACCAGGGTGAGAGAGCAGGTAGTGATGGGCGCGTACTGTTCGACACCCTGGGGACGAGGTTGGTCTTAGGTATTATAATTAGAGGTGCAAAATGGTCTGGTGCCATTGCATAACTGCCAGTCGAACATAATTATGTGCAACTTTTTACTCCTCCTAAAAGTAAGAACACTATTTGACATCCCTTTTTGGTTAATTTGATTGAAAATCGCACTTCTTTAAGCATTAAAAGAATGTCCTTGCTTTTCCGAACAACCGAGGGCGCTGTTGCTGTGATGTCATTTCAGGAAGACACTGTTCTGTTTAGGTGTTTTCTGTTCAAATTGTGAACCCAAAAATGTATTCATTGAAAACATTTATGAGAAAAGTTTGCTCACTGGCTTACTGCCAGGTACTGACAACAATCACAACATCACGAAAGAAAAGAAGATTTACGACAGCGATATGTCCAAAAAGTCTGGCAACTTTTGGTGCTGAAACTAGCGCAACATTGAGGTTTCTGCCTGAAACGACATCACACTTTTGCTCATGAATATGGAAATTGCATTTGCATAAATTCCTAAAAGGCTTCAAAATACCCCTTGAAAATGGCGAAAATTTAACAAAAGGGTAAATTACATAGCATGGCCCTTTAATTTCACCAAACTACACGAGACGAATCCTATGCTTCATTAGCAAGCTACTCCATGGCCTTCTGTTGAGACCAAGGATGAAGAGGACTAGACTCTGGGAACGAGGTTGCACTACATGCACTACATGCATGGTATTGACGTATGCGTAATTGCGTATCCATATTTTGATACGTAAATGATCAATCCGGATGTCGTGTAGGTTTGTCCGCTTTGGAACAATCCTATGAGAGAAAAAAAATGTATAATGTAATGTATAATGTACGTGTCTGCTTAATATTGCAAAATACCCGCTATGAGGCAATCCGACAAACACCGTTTAATCATTAACTGTTTGCGAAGTTTTGCCACCCAGACAAATATGAAGAGCATCCGCGTGGATGAATTATATTAATAGGCAGTTGTTGAACTTGCGAACCTAGCCAGATAGTGATATTTTCGTCTGATATTTTCGGCTGCCTGCTCGAGATAATCGGGCGATTATTTGTGGGTGTATCCAGACTTATCGCCTCACTTTCTGCGGCCTGTGATTGGCTAGCTTGCCCGCGGGGAACAGCCAATCGCATTAAAGGCCGGCTTGCCGCAGTTCAATGTCCATTTTGCATGGATATTAAAAGGTGCGAGTCGGGGTAAATTTGTCTCAATTCGGAGAAGTCATTGTATTAAAAGGCACGGCAACCTTGGAATTACCCTGTTGGAAATCGCTTGGAGTTCGTTCATTTTTCAACGCGGCAGCTGTATTGTTCCAAGTAAGAACATGTGGGAAGTTGTTGTTTCAGAAACATCATGCAACTCTTAAAATCTAAAATTCTTTCTGATATACCTTTTGAGAACCGATTGGAAAGCTGGTAACTGCGCGGAAAACGAAAAAGTCTGTTTAACTCTCGACTAGATTTCTATTCACCGTAAATTTTCCAGTCAATATTTCTGACTGGAAATCAAGTTATTTCGACTCATTTTGCACCCTTCTCATCATAATCAGGGTCAGCTGGGAGTCATGTTTCCCTTTATCTCTCACGGTTCCATAAAATTATCGAACAGTTCTCTAATAAGTGTGATCTTAGATTCTCTGATTACATAATTCAAGATGTTTTCTGTTCCATGTTGAATCTTTGCAGATCTGAGGTCTTCCGTTTTCAGCAATCATCATGGATATCGTTCTGAATGTCGCCGATGACTACTTCTTCGACAAGTTCCACGTGTACCCACAGAGCTGGTCCAACGACTTGTGGATCCGGCAGGTCTGCAGCTTGTACGTGTTGACGTGTCTCTCGGGAGTCGGCTTGTATCTGGCCTCGGCGAGCTTCAACTACTTCTTGCTCTTTGATCGTCGGTTAGAGAAACATCCGCTGTTTTTGAAGGTAGGTGTTACAAAATTGTTGCACCCAAAACCAGCAAACTTTTATCACAACGAATCAACTTCCAAGATACCAAAATGAAATCAAAGACTACAAAAAATACATTAAATACTGTGAGAGTTGCAGGCTGTACCGTGCTCATACTTAGGCAGCCAGACATCTCAATTCCTCGATTCTGTTGAGAATTTTTTTTTTAAAAACTGCATGGAAAGAAAACGAGGAACTCCGCATTTAAAAAAAAACATATACGAAGACAAACGAGATGGAAACACTAAAAAAAAAAGAGCCCTTGTTAAAAGGGAAAGTAGACGGACGAACAAGACAAACACAGAAAACTAAAAACGCGTACGCTATACGCGCACCACTCATCTGCCACACATCATACCAGTTTACCTGGGCTAATCTGTTTAGAAGATTAATCTTCAACCAGAACTGGAATTTCGAACCACTAGACCCAGATGGGGGTACTTTAACCGTTGGTGAGACGATATCCACCATGCACGATGACATCCACCACATTTTGATCTTGGCAAAAATCCGCCTTCTTCTTCAACAGCAATTCGTCTGTCCTGTGTAAACATCAAGCAAAAACTCACAAATTCCATGTCCAAAGTATCACATATTGTCATCCATACGGAATTATAAACTTTGAATTTTTGTCTTCTTCTTTTGTGACCACAGAACCAAATAAGGCGGGAAATAGAGACCTCGGTGAAGATCCTGCCTGTCATTGCCGTAATGACGGTCGGCATGTTCTTCGTAGAGGTTCGAGGCTACAGCAAGCTATTCGACGGAATACCAAGTGGGGAACTCGGTAAGTTATGCCATAGCTGTGGTATGAAGATAGTTGTGTGCTTGTTTGAAATGATGTTGATGAACATCAGAGCTTTTGTATTACGAAGTTTCTAAGATTATATAGAGAAGCAACTTTGAAAGAAACAAGTCAGAGTTTCGTTTTCGGTTCCATTCTCCCATTTTTTTTTTGCATGAAGGACTTAGAGAGTATCTGTGGCTTACCAAGCGAGACTTTACCAAGCTTCCTTTTGCTGATATCGAGGCTCGGATTAATTTTTTTTTTCACATGCTGTCTTTCGTAAGAAATGTTTGCAATGTTGCAGTTTTATTTTACTGTTAATTTACTTGCTGTCTTTTCCGATCAGGTTGGTTGTTGATCACCCGAGACATCCTTGGTTTCATCTTCTTCACCGATTGTGCCATCTACTGGATCCATCGCTGGATGCATAATCGTCTTGTCTACAAACACGTCCATAAGATGCATCACATCTGGAAAGTCCCCACCCCCTTCGCAAGCCACGCCTTCCACCCCATCGATGGATTCTTGCAGAGCCTGCCTTACCATCTGTATCCCTTCCTCTTCCCGCTCAACAAATACGCCTACTTGGTGCTCTTCGTGCTGGTCAACGTCTGGACCATCAGCATCCACGACGGTGACTACCGGGTGCCAGCGTTCCTTCGACCCTTCATCAACGGCTCGGCGCACCACACCGACCACCATCTTTACTACAACTACAACTACGGGCAGTACTTCACGCTGTGGGATCGGATCGGAGGGTCCTTCAAAACGCCCTCAGCGTTCGAGGGAAAAACACTGGTGGAAGAGATCATGGACAAAGAGAGAAATGGGAAAAACCACGTGGACTAATTCAACCAATCAGATGTGTGGTACTACTAGCATCGAACTTTTAACTAAGAGAAAATGTGAATGGCCACACATGTCCTATATATTGACTTTGATACTAAGCATTGACTTTAGAGAAGAAGAAAGTGTGAATTTGATCACTATAAGTGCTTCATTACTAGCATTTGACTCTCGCTTTGAAGTTTAATGTGAACTCTGTTGCTTCAAAACGTCTACCATAGTACGGCCATCATTACGGGATGGTTTTGCTGGGTTGGCTTACAGGGGCGAAACCAAGATTGACGAAAACGAGAAGGGAAACTGCAATACACCACCTTAAAAAAGTAAAGTGAAGAATGGTTATTAAATCGAGATGGAGCAAAGCTGACTTCAATTGCTTTGGATTCGCCCCTGATAGCAAGGCGTTTATATTTATTGGTAATTTTTTTTCTATACAATAGAAAATTGTACATATAAAAAAGACAAGGTATTTTGAATCGGGTATTATGTTCACTTTAAAATTGTGTACTGATTGCCTTTCTTATTTAATCAAAATCATGAAATGAAGGATACGTTTTAGTATTAGAGGCTGACAGAACTGATAGAGGGGATATTTTTTTTTCAGTGCGGTTTAAAGATATTTTGATTAACACTGTCAAATCGTTTAATTACGTTGAGGTCCATAATCGTGTTTTTAATTGATTTACAATCAATTAAATTTGGTAATGAATGCAAATAATAAGCTGTAGTGCGGTTAAAAGAATTGACCTTTGTTGTCGTTTGTCTAAACTTGTTTGCATTTAAACTGTTGTTTTATTCCCTTTCCTAGCTGATATCAGCCGCAGTTGTGCCCCTTCGTTGTAAACCCAGTTTTATATATAACATCATTGGTTCCAACATGGCGATATATATACCGGTACAGCATTGATTTTATCGTCTTCAAGTTACTTAGGAAAACTTAACTTTTGCCAAGAATCCCTCCACTAGTTGAGGGGGGGGGGGGGGGGCTCGTCGGTTGGGAGGGCAACTCGCCCCTTCCCGGTGGCATGGAGGTTTTTAAAGAAAAGTTTAAGACTGTTCCGACGTCGAAACAATTAAGTCTTAATTTTGCCCCTCCCCCCCCCGCCGGCATAGAAAGCTGGATACGCTATTGCATCGTCTACCTGTGCACATGAATATAGGCCCCAACCTCTCCACGCAAATTTACACGTTGCATGAGAAAATAATGAGGGGCGTGGTTCGGGAAAATTTCTCTCCCAATTTTATCTCAACCTACAACCTGCCAAGCAGTGATGTATTATCTATTGGGACCAGTTTCTGTATATCTAGTTTTTTGGGTGGTGGTGGTTGGTTCGGGAGAATATAAACCTCAAATACCTGATACGCCCTCCCCGTTGAACTGCGCCAGTCAACCTCTCAACACATACGGATCCGCCCCTCTTGGCTCCTCCCTCTATAACCCCCTTCACAATCTGGGGCACGTGGGATTCATTGTTTATACTCTAAGTTCACTTTCCCCTTTGATTTCATCAGGAATTCAGAAACGATCACTGATTAATCTCGATTGCAGTCCCAACATTCCTGATTCCTCCAATTTTAGTATTATTTTTATACACCCTTAGGGGGCCTAGTCCATGGAATATCTCCTTGCAATTAAAGCAAAGGTCTTATGAACAGATTCGGCTATTAATTATGCAAAATAAGACTGTGTCTTGACCTCGAAATTCTGATATAGATAGATAGATAGATAGATAGATAGTGGTTTTTTTTACACTCGTGGCCAATGGCCAAATTACAGAAAAAATACAATTGTAAAAAACCCATTAAAATGACAAAATTAATTTACATCAATATGACGGGGTCCGCTCATAAGTCCGACGCCTCATAGGTCCGACGCATCATAAGTCCGACAAAATCGCATCCCCCAACCAAATAAAGGCCCATAGCTCCGACGCCGGCTCGCATGGGCGTCGCCAGGATTTTTTTCTAGAGGGGGGCAAAACATTTTTTTTTTTCCCAAAAAATTCTTGTATTTCTCAACAAATTCTCGATTTATTAGTTTTAGAGGGGGGCAGGGACATTTTGCCCCCACCCCAACCCATTAAATTTACACCACTATGACTTCGCGCCTCTTTTTCTTTCTTTTTTTCTTTCTTTTTTCTTCCTTTTTTTTTATTGCGGTGACGCATGAAATTTGCATGTTAGGAGGGGGTCAATTTTTTTTTAAGTCCCACGATTTGACCGTGGTGATATGTACATGTATGTTGCCTATTTTCAAGTAGCATAATACATGTAGGGGTGTAAATGGCGCCACCAACGTCAAAATAGTCCCCCCCCCCCAAAAAAAAAGTCATTTTAAATAAGTCATTTTTAGTAATGATCTTTTTCATGATATTACGAAGTCAAAAGTTCAGGTGTGCAACCCGGCCCAGGGTTCGGAATCTGGGTCATTCACATGACTCACTGTTTACCGTCGCGTTAATTTTAACCGAGTTTACGTCATCATCGGAAGCGCTTAAGAAAATCTCTCGTCTCTTAAAAATTGCTGTTTTCCCATAAACTCGTTAAGTTGGCGATTTATTTTAGAAACACGAGAGGCCAGGAAATGGGATGGGCATCGCGAGTAATTTATTTCTGCAAAATTGGTTTTGGGTTTTTTGTTTCCTCCATTTTTTGTTTGTTTTAGTTTGGGGTAGGCCTATCCATTATTTTGTGTCATACATGAATTTGCATTAACTATGAAGTTTAAAAAAATTGCATGTTAAATGTAATGTAGGCTTATATAATTATGCGCAGGGATACGTAATATGCGGACCAGTGACTCTTCATTTTGTGTGAGTATTCACTAAGCCCACAAATCTACATTTCAATATAATTTTTATTTTGATGTGACAGTGACATGCACACTACCAAAAATGTGCACAATTAAAGAACAAAGCAAAATGTTGATTTATCAGGAAACTTTCAAGTTCCGAGGCGAGTACGTAGTCCCGATCCCATGCATTATGCACAGAAAGAACTCTACAGGTCGCGCGCGAACGATGTGTACCCCCCCCCCCCCCCCGGCCCCCCGTACCCGGACCCCTTCGTCTTTCTTTGGAAACCCGTCAATTAATATCTGACGTCACGTATTGCGCGTGCGCAGTTAACTCTTCCGCGACCATCTTGGATTTTGTTCTGTACTGCGGGTAGCGTCAGTATCACACTGGGAGGAAGTTACACTTATCATAATATATGCTTACGTCACCATTTCGCTAGGAGGTCATCGGCATCACTGTGAAGCATGAATTATGCAGTACGTATGCACATGGTGTCCCGGATGATTGTAGCAGCTAGCTGCATGTTGTGAACACGTGCTTCAACAATGCGCGGCAAATACTAGCGCCGCGTCGCGTCGTGGACTGAGATCAGGTTTCTCCTGAAAACTGTGCAGAAGCCTGGCAGCAGCCTTGAGTGTAAAGCAGTTCTCGTTTCATTTATTTAGGGTGAGTTAAAAAAAAAAAGAGCTGAACCCAAACCTCCAAAAATATATTTCATATTTAAAAAAAAAAAATATGTGTAGCACCAAAATCAGTATAAATGACTGGAAAACCTAGCTATTCCAGAATTTTTTTTTTTTTAGATAAAAAAATACTGAAATTGCTCAGTCCGTTCATTTCTCCATGGTTCAAATAATATCACCATTTAAAACGCAATGACCCTAAATACCGCTTTCGTCAAAAAAAGAGCAATTTATTGTGCATCATTCTGACTGCTTGGAACAACGAAGAAATTGACATAGAATACATGTATTGCTAGGCTGTCGTTTGCATACGACAAGCCAGCGCTTTCATCTGGCGCATGGCTTCCATGCGTCGGCGCGGCCGTTGGCACGGATCTGCATAATTCATGTTCTAGCGACGTCATACGACCTGCTCATCAACTTGGTGACGTAGGCATAAATTATGATAAGTGTACCTTCCTCCCAGTGTGATACTGACGCTACCGTACTGCGGAAGGCTGTTGTGAAGCTTGGTTTATTTTGGTTCCTAAACTACAAAAGTTAACTACTAAGGGACGAATTTGAAAAATATACATAGTTGGTAAGACAAGGTTTGCATTGTGCATTCATTATGTAACAATTTTTGTGTATTTTGGGGTTAAAATTCGATGCAATTTGTGCGTCGTTTATTCAGCGATGCATGATTAGTAGGCCTACTTTCAGTTTCACCGTTCATGATGAAGTTCCGCCTGTGAAAAATGATAGTATGCCCTACAACAAATTAATGAGCAGCCATTTTGTTGCCTTAAAATCTTCAAAATTCACAAATCACATGGCCCTTTGCAATTTAAAATCCTACAAATTCGATGGATGCTATTTTTTTAAACGGATGGTGTTTTAAATAGGTAGATTTGAATGGATTGTTTTCTTTAATTTTTATAAAGGCAGTGGATATTTTGCCGGAGACGGCAAGCCTTTAGTAAACGTTAGCTTGCCGGATATGCACTGATGTTAGTTTTAGTCTGGCTCCGTGGACCATGCTAGTCCAATAAATGTGATGGTAATACTTGACTACCTCCATATTAACCGTCACAAATCCACATGTGGTCATGGTGGTATTTGGACGGAGAGTCTGTTGCTGAGCATGCTGAGGGAGCCGAACAGCAATTCGAAATCGCAATTATTTTGTTACTTTGTATTCACATAATGCTGTCTACAACTGTTTAATATCAACAAAACGTGAAATTTGGCACCTTCAGAGGTCTAGTTATCTTGTAATTTTGAGTTGAATTCGAACGACTTTTGCAGCCATTGTTCAAGAAAGCGTCGTGTTGCATGACGTCATGGGTTGTGATAAATCGGGCCCTCACTAGCTTGCATCAAATTTTGACAAATTGCATTGGTACAGCTGTTGCCTGTCATTCAGTTTTGGTCAAAAGTGCATGTATGCGGGCGTGAAGCGCTATTGGCGTGACGTTAGAGTCTTTTGGTCTGGGAACCGACCACAGACACCGTCTTTATAGTGCATATCGCAGGCCAATCACGAGGCCACGTGATAAATGCTGTGGATAATTTGGTATTGCACTGACGCTCCGGGCACTCCTCATGTCCGTATCGTAAGTGCGATTCTAAACTATATACCGTAATTTCCTGCGGATAAGGCGCGTGGCGGATAAGGCGCAGGTCCCTAAAATCACCCAAAAAAATTCAAACGCCAACAGATAAGGCGCACCGCCGCATAAGACGCATGTTTGACCGCACACAGAAGAACACCAGGCGTCACCCGGTGTCGGTACATCGCCACAAAGGGGCCATTGTGTTGCCTTAGAACGATCACACTATTCGGAGGATGAATTAAACCGTAACCACATTGGCTGGTCACATGTAGAGCCATGAAGAAAAGACCAATGTAAATTGATACCGACCTTCATCCATTCAGCCAACGCGCGCTGTGCATGCTTGCTTGCGGTTTCCGATCCTGGCCTTCCTTGGCCTTTTGTTAATGCAGTGCGGCCCAATCAGCGGCCAGAAACGATGGTCCACGCGCTGTCTGAAGATATTGCAACACGCACGCTGGATCAGATTCCCTCCGAGCCAGATGTTGCACCCTCTACCGGTGACTAATACAAAAACTAGCGTCGCCTATATGTATATACCATACGAAAAACGTTTGTATGACGGCATTGTTGGGACGAAAGCACGATCACTAAGGGGGATCAACGCATAATTGCGACATTGTTGGAATGAAAATACGGTCACAATGTCTGGAGAGTTGAGCCTTGGTTGACCACAATATTGATTGCGGCATTGAAAGAATTCTTCAACTCAAGCGACACCAGATAATGCGCACCTGTAGATAAGGCGCAGCGATGTTTTTGTGGTCTAGAAAGTCAGATAAGACGCGTCTTATCCGCAGGAAATTACGGTACTCCATATTATTCGCGGAGTATATAGCATGTTCGGCTTTGATATGCCTACCTATGGGTATTACGTGTAATACCCATAGTTCTAGGGGTAGGGGTATTTGTGTGTAACTCCATTGCAACCGTGTTTCAGCTGAACAATGCCCACACACTAATCCTTCCTAGCCACTACAGTCGACTCTCGTTATAACAAACTCGTTCGGACCTAGCCAAATTGTTTGTTATATCAGAATTTTGTATTAAGAGGAACATCAGTCCCTTTCATTGTGCACATAAATGTACAGTCGGGACCAAGGCTTTATAGTTTGTTATAACTAGAATTTTGTACTAACGAGAGTCGACTGTACATATATATAATGATAGCCACTACGTATATTTTTCTGTTTGTTTTGTTTGTGTTTGCAAATCGTTTTGCATATTGGAAAGAATTCCATATAAGGACATCACTAATTTTTCCCTGTAGTGACCTATCAGTTATCAGAAAGCGATTACATGTAATAAGTTTAGCAGGGAAATCTTGAAGCATTTAGTGAGAAAACACTTAGAGAATTTTTCAGACCAGTCTCATAGGGTTTGTACACAGGGTGTCAAGTGACGTCCGTATATGGAATTCTTTCCTGCATATTTTTTTACCCCAACTTGTACTCTGGTTATTGAATAACTCTCATGAAATTAATGTTGGGGAATGTGACTATTTTTCCTCAGTTTGTGAAAGAGAAGTTCAGCATGGCGCTTTACGGAGATGATCTTGATGTAGAGGCTCTGCTTGAAGCTCCATACAAGAACAATGAGGTAACCTAATAATACTTGCCTGCTTAAAAAAAGGCCTAGGCCACTTTAGTTTTTTTCCTTTTTTTTAATATTTAAAACTTGTTACATTGGCAAGTCGGAGTTATGTTTTTTAGTTCTCAAGTTCTGTATTTTGATATTGTATTATATTGAAATTTTGAATAATTACATTTTGGCTATTCCCAAGAGGGTTGAAATGTTGTGATTGTTGTGAAGAATTTCACTTGACAGTAAAGTGTCCATCTTGTTCTTTGTTTATAGACCTCCACTGATCACATCACGTCCTCGGTTCATGTTTACAGAGGTAGAGTACCTACTCATCCCTTGGGTACCCATTGAGTTCCAACAATTAAAAACATTCTTCCACAAATTATGTGGACAGGGATCCAACTCTCACATTGTGCACTGTAAACTGTAGTTGAGCTCAATATCAAACCAATTCTGGTCACTCATAGAATGGTTATGTACATTCACCAATGGCTTGCTTGTTAGCTTTCTACAATTCTTCAGAAAAATTATTATTGTACAACAAAGCACTTATCTGTTGTGATACGTCTAATGGGTTTTGTACACTGATGAGCTCAAATGGTTATGGGTTAAATTTGCCTTCTCATGTGTACAAAAAATATACATGGACAACATCACTTTATGCATGTTGGATTGGTTGTAGTTAAATTATTATTCGGTATTTGTATGCTATGAATTATTAGCTCAGGAATATGTAGACTACTTAGTTTCAGAAATGTTGAAATAACACGTGTGCATCTCCAGTTATGTATTGACGGCGATATAAAATAGTTCTAGTACTTCTCAAGATGCAAGGTTTCGGTTAGGACTTGAAGTAAGGTAGTGTCACTTAAAGCCCACCTCAAGGCAATCTGACTAAAAGAATCTCCCATCCCCTCTTGCCGTAGGGTATGAGAAAAGCCATCACGATCACCGGCCCGGAAGATGCCTGGCGATTTATGGGCAACAACACGGAGTCTACCTTCTAAAGATCTTCAACTTGTTGTCTAACCCTCCCCTAACCCTTGGCCCAGACTAAGATTGTGATTTTATGCCTGTGCATTTTAACCTATTTGGGTGATCACCTTTTTGTTTTTGCAATACATAGAAATATTTGCTTTTTACAGTCAAAACTACAATTTACAATTTTCAGTTCAAATGTGGGTTTACGTGTCCATTGAGTCTACTTTTAAAAGTTCCCCTCGTGCATTTTAAAATGAACAAACATTCCAAACTAAGTATATAAATTTGCATTTTAAACACATTCATTTGCTTGACCAAAAGAAAACATGAAAATTGTCTTCACTATAATACAGAGAACGGGAAAAAAGAAAGATAAGTCCCACGTCCTCAAGGTTTTCATTTTACTGTTTTAGATTGATAACATTCAAGTGATGCATTCCATGGCTTATATCAACGGTAAGTTGCTAATGGCAAGTCCTGTTAGCAATTACATACATGTACAAGTAACCTAATAAGTATACATTGCATGGCCAAAACTGTCATCTTGCAAACCTGCCAATGGAGCAGAGTATATTTGCTGACGAAGGCGAAAGACAACTCCAAATGTTGACGCAAAACAGTTTGATGTGGCATGGAGTGGTGACCCTACATCAAAGAAACCTGTTTTTTCGAGATGTTGATTTTGATTTGCTCTCTTTCTTTCTTTCCCCCTTCTACATTTTTGTACCCCCTTTTGTTCCCCCCATCATTCCTAATCGACCCAACACAACCATTCCTGCTGTCGGCTGGTTTCCACCCATAATGCTGTTGTATTTTGGATGATCTTAGGGAGAGGCGACCGACAAAAATGGCGTGTCTGAGAAGAAGGAATCGTCCTCCAAAAAGAAGTGAGTACCCTGACGACCTCTCGCGTGTGAACTTGTTAAGCTTTGACTGTATGGTACCGAGTGGCATAAAAATGCCTTCAAAATAAGGAATCAAAGGGATCTGGGTCATAGCGTTTTGGGTTCTGACTGGGGGAATAGGTCATCTCAGCCTTTGGTAGAGATCTATTGTGTTTTACTAGTCCAGAAAGATTGCCAATTTTTAAGCAGGTGTATTCCAAAATACATAATAAAGGTAAGTTTAAATACGATTTAAGACATTTCTACTTTGTGGTTTTCTTTGAGATTTTGACGTGACCCATTGATTGCAGTTCATTGTCATCCAGTAGAAAATCTGATCAAATGTTGGTATTGGTTTTTTTCTCACCCCATGCAGTCATAGTTTAGCAAGATGTTTTTTCCATATTTTTTACATTTACCTGCACCAAATGTCTGACCTGGGATACATGTTTGTTGTCGCAGATTAAAAGTGACTTAGCCCCAATGGCGTGTGATCAGCAGTGCCCACTAACGGCCGAACCAGGGTTGGACGTCTACATAAAGGGTACTGGACATGTTCCGACTGGCCCCCCTGCTCAGATCAGGCGTTCTGAACCACAACTTGGGGGTTTTCAGGCCGAGACGCTAAACCTGAAAATAGTGTCTTATAGGCAGAACACAAATGCGTCGCTGAAAGAGACAAAAACAAATTGCTGTGGCACTAACAAAGGATGGTTATGTGATGGAAACAAAGCACAGTGTATGATGAGGTGTCTGTAAATGATGAAATTGGTTCCAACTTTGGACAGTTGTGATGCAGAGTGATAAAGTGCTGTATGGGTTAGGTGTTTGTGACTGAGTCATTTGAGTAACAGATGTCCTTGTCAAGAAAATGAAGTCAAACAAATTACAGGTTTTTGATGCCATATAAAAAAAGTTTCAAGTTTTTGACATCCTTCAAGTATTTAGAGCAGGATATTGCTTTCGTCATTTTCATGATGGATGTCGGCAAAATTCTTAATAGGCATCATTGTGATTAAAGAAGGAACATGGGTGTGTCAACTTTGCAACACTCACCAAACCATAACCATTGTAAATTGTAGATATCAAAAATCCCTTCAAACTCCAACTAACCAGACCACTTCCTATACTGTACCCATAAGTTGATTAGAATAACAGTATTTATCTAGCCAAACTGAACTTTTTCCTTGTCAATATCAGTTGAGTTTTCCCACTGTGTTCATATTGTTAATTGATGTGCCCCGTATTGGCCATGTCGTTAGTGTTTTCTAATCTGAACCACTGAATGCTCCGACCAGACACAGAAGCAGCCCTAGCCGCAGCCCTAGCCCGAGCCCGGCTGCCTCCAAAGAGAAACACAGCAGTAGCAGCAGCAGCAGCAGCAAGAGGAGCAGCAGGCGTCGTAGTCGCAGCCCAGAGAAGAAACGTCGCAGCCGAAGTCGCAGCCGGGATCGAAGTCGCTATGATCGGGACAGAGACCGACCCCGAGAAAGGGGGCGTGGCACGGGTAGATACGGCAGGTGAGTTGTTACAGCGGTTGGATTTTTAGTCGAAACAGATTTTCAACTTTACATTCCATCAACTTTTGTCAACTTGGGACATCTGGAAACCCACAAGAGATACAGAGGACAAATATTTGGCAGACACCTCTGTAGCCAACTCCAAGAACCTCACACCATTGTTGTTCCCTTTCCAGGAGGAGGAGTCCGTCACCACCACGCCGTGGACGCCGCAGCCGAAGTAAAGACCGTAGTCCCAACAGGGATCCCTTCCATTGGAGACGTAGCCGCTCGCGCAGCAGAGATCGATACGGCAAGAGAGGTTCCAGCCCTGGGTAATTGTGTCTCATTTTCTCCCTCCCAAACTGGCTCTGCATTGGCCCTCAATGTGGCCTTCTTTGCAAGGGGGCTATCAAATACTCGATCAAGTTTGTGACACAACAAGCTGGAAACAACCTTATGTCCATATAAAACCTGTGTGATCATGATTTGTGTTTGTCCTTAGTATAATTCCATAAAGGGCTACCATTTGCACCATAGGGCATGCTTTTTAAGAAGTTTATGAGTACATGTACATCTATCAGAAAAACTGCAAACACGAAAGCACATTTTCGTGGCTGTGCTGTGCACAATTTTTTTTTTTTGGCTGGCTTAGCAGTAATCACTTCAAAAAGAACACTTTGATATCGGAGACAGAATTTGCTTGAATCGGAAACACTAGGAATTTACATTCTGTCACAAGCATTTTGTTTTAGGCACAAAATGTGCTAATAAAGGTAATCAGTAGCACAGTTTTTGTGATATACATGTAGTTGTCACAACCTTTCTAAATACTAAGCAGCTCAACCAAATTGGCCCTTAATTGCTTGACCTGCCTGTCCCCACAGTCCGATATATTTCGAGCATAAACAATTATTTGTGTCTTTCTGCAGAAGGAAGAAGGACATTGAGCCCCCACCAGAGACTAGAGATGCCCGCACCGTGTTTGTCATGCAGTTATCACAACGAGTCAGGGCGAAAGACTTGGAAGAATTCTTCTCTTCGGTTGGAAAGGTAATTTAACCCCCAAAATATGGCTCAGATTTAGTGAAACATGAGCAATATGTAACTCGTCTTGTCAAAGGCTTAACCTTTGTAAAATGACAAAATAGTCTTGTTTATATGTTTGTGAAGCGATACTTGAATGACTTAAGAAAACAAATTCATTTTTAATCCTTTTTCCCCAGGTATTTTAAGTACTCTCGTGGATCCTCCAAAATTTTCCACTCTTCGGGAAAACAGTGGGACATCCTTAGTCCCAAACCTGATGGATTTTGATGGATTCATAATGAAAATCAAGATCAGAATCCTTTGTAGGATTCATTATATTTTGTTGAAAACAAGAAGTTGGTCATCTTTGTTTAGTTATTTTTAATGGTGTCTCATGTGCCTCTAGGTACGTGATGTCAAGATCATCTCGGATCGCAACTCAAGACGTTCCAAGGGGATTGGCTACGTGGAGTTCATGTCCGATGAATCAGTGCCTCTGGTGAGTAACCCTAAACAAGCTGTTTGCCATCCCTTGCCCCTTAGATAACACAGACTGCCAAAGTGTTGCAAGTTCAACAAAGAAACTGCAAGTGTTGAAAGAAGAAACACCGTTCCATTCCACACCTTGGGATCACCCAAGGAGTATGGTTTTGATGAGTTGGCAAACTGAGTCCTACCCAAAAATCTTTGATATAAAATCATCTTACCATTCTGTAACTTGTCTTCTGAGCTACTTCTTTTTGACCCCTCCTTGTGTAGTGCTCATCTGAAGTTGCCTTTTTCCATGACCTCACGATTGGCCGGTTTCATTAAAAAAAAACACCAAGGAACTAAGGTAGAATCTTGACCACTTAGCTCTAACAATTTTCATTCGTCTTGCTAGGCTATGGGTCTGAACAACGAGAAGCTGATGGGAGTACCCATCGTTGTCCAGCCGTCCCAGGCAGAAAAGAACCGCCTGGCCCAGAGCAACCAGACGCTTCAGAAGGGAGGAGCTGGCCCCATGAGGCTGTATGTAGGCTCGCTCCACTATAACATCACTGAGGAGATGCTGAGGGGCATCTTTGAACCCTTTGGGCAGGTGAGTTGTTCCTGTAATCCTAATAGGCCGTCAGCCTCGGTCCAAAATTTTGGCCACCAGTATCAAATGAGGGGAATAATCGTCATAGCGATTTTTCGGCAAGGCATACACCTCCAGAATTGGAAAACATGTGATAGCATCGTAGCGGTGGCAGCTTTTTGGGTGTTATCACCCTTTTTTTCCAAAATGGCCATCAAAATGCTTGTTACCACTCTAGGGCGGTATACCTTGCGCATGCGCACTATAATCATTTATGCCCTGATTTGATACTGACCAAACCCCCAGGCTGATGGCCTATAACCCCTGCAGCTTTTTTTTGTTGGGAACCTTTTTGATTCCTCAAAAATTCTCTTTATGTGTAAGAATCAGGCATGCAACTTTTCCTCCGATCTGCTGATTTCCTCTTTTTTTCCCTTTTTTTTACTTCTCATGAATGCCATTACAAATTGAAAAACACTGTACAAAGTATTGTGTGGGTTGGAAATTCCTAGTTTTTTTTCTAAATTTCCAGTTGCATGCCTGAAGAATTCAATGGTACATTCTTTGTTCTTATCCAAAAACACAAAGTACACGTTTTGGGAAGTTTATTTTCTTGTTTTTGTCCATGTTGTGTCTATCTGCAAAGACACAGTTGTGCAGTTTAAAATAAGGTCTGTCACACGTACCAGAATAACACTTCTTACAAAAATCTTAGCTTCTGTTAAATTTAATATCCGGCAATTTAATTTATGTTTACTATGTTTGTCAATGATTTCAGATTGACTCCATCCAGCTGATGACAGACAGTGAATTGAAACGTTCCAAGGGCTATGGCTTTATCACGGTAAGCAGATTTGTGTCATCAAAGTAAGCTGATTTGCCTAAAACAGAAAATGGGACAAATAGTCCATTCTTTCCTGAAAGTCACCTGTTCGCTACACAGGTCCGCCCTCACACATGTCCACACATTACAATTGACATAATTTACAGCTTTACAGAAAAAGTGTTTCTCTTCATCGTCGGTTAAAGTACGTACTGACTTTTGCACCTAAGTGTTTGTACTTTCAATTGCAAGCCGTCATATTAATTTATGTGTTACAAACTCATGACTGTAAGTTGAAAAGGAAAATCCAGTTCTTTTATTTTTGATGCAGTGTATGTAAACCTTCAACCTGTGATTGAATTCTCTTTTAAGAATTAATTTGTAACTATTATTTGTTTGTCGTTAAAGTTCCACGATGCCGACGATGCCAAGAGGGCGCTAGACCAGCTGAACGGGTTCGAGCTGGCCGGCCGCCCAATGAAGGTCAATCACGTGACAGAGAGATCAGACAATGCCCAGGCTGCATCGGCGCTGGATAACGATGAGTTGGAGAGAACGGGGATTGAACTGACCACCACGGGGCGGCTACAACTCATGGCCAAGCTGGCAGAAGGTAATAATCTCAACACCCTTTGGCAAATTTGATAAAGCTGGTAAGAAATTTGGTAAGCATGGAAAATATTTGCTGAGCAAAAAACAGAATTGGCCAAAAAACTCACCACCATGGTTCGACTACAACTCAAGGCCAATCTGGCAGAAAATAACCATAACCCTAACCCAACACCATGAGGCACAGAAATATGCTAAAAGTACGGAAATAGATTACCAGTTAAAATCTCATATGATTTGTACTACGTCTGAGTGGTACTTTGCTGATTTTAGCTCAGCATATAAATCTGCTAAGTGATATTTTGTGCATTTTTCCTGTAAGCCAGACATACCAATGCCCTACAAATGGACTACAGTTTAGGATGCAAAACCCAATCAGCAGAAATTACTCCAAATGAATTCAGGCGATTCACAATGCAGTGCCCCACCAAGAGTTTGCCATGGAGAATCCATTTTTCAAGTTTACGGTCAACAAAACATGGCCCATTTGAATGAGTGTCAGTAGACAACTTGAGCTAATTTTTTGTAGATTGGGGCATAGCGTTCTGCCACCTTACAAAAAACACCATATTGATTAAAAGAAAACAAAAGGGCAAACAGATACTTGAATCATATGCTTGCGAAACTGCTGACCGGACAAACTAACAATTTCAAATGCCCCGCGCTGTGAATGTGTCGACCATCTCCCGCAATGCACTGGGAAATGAACTCTCCATGGCAAACTCTTGGTGGCGCACTGCATTGTGAATCACCCGAGTTGAGTTGGAAGGTGCTCATTTGCTAATCAGACTCAGACGATTAGTGGGTGGTGTTGCTTAGGTCTCCCTCAAGGTTTTACGGGGTACCTCAGGGTTCAACCTTGAGTTACTGCAGGTTTATGTTTGAATTCTTCCACAAAGGGATGAATCCTTCAAAATTCTCCTAAAACGTCATGTAAAATGGTATCACCAGCGTAGTTCTTGTCAGAATGGATGATTTAAAAATTTCCAAAAACCCAGTAAAGAGGAAAATTGGGCGTGAGGTTGACACTTCATCATCAGAATTTTGTTTGAATGTTAATGATGTCTCTGTTGTTTGCCCCCTTTTCCCCCAGGAACTGGTTTCCAATTGCCCAATGCTGTGGTTGAGGCCCTGAATCCCTTGAGCAACGTCCCTGCCATCCCTGGGATCCCCCAAGGCCTTCTGCCATCGGTCAGTCAGGTGTCACTTCAGGTGAGATGTTTCATTGATTGGTGTTCTGCTTAGAAAACAACTTCCAACCTCCTAGGAGTGTTTGGGTTTAAGTTGTGCCAATCTTCCTGCAATGTTGAGTTGAAATTTGCTTTAGTAATAAGTTTCAGGTAACCTTTCGACTTGGTTTTCTCACGGAGAACATTTTACTAACATGGGCCTTGTTTGATGTCTTGTGCTGAGTATGCTTCCATGCAAAACTTATTTGAGCAAAAAAACCTGACACTTTTTTGTTCACAATGGTTTCAACTAATTTCAATTTAAAAAACTCTCGAAAATTGCAAAGACCACAAGCAATGTACAATTGAAAATCTCATGTTCTCTCTTTATCCAGTGATGCTGTAATCTCAAATTGAGATTATTTTCAAAAAGATTCCTATATCTCCCTCTATGTGCCTCTCTTTTTCAAATGAAATAGCACTTCAGCGTCACGGTCTCGGAAGGACGCATATTCTTAACTGTGGCAAAAGACAGTGTTAATGCCAAAGAGCATTTCATCATGGTTTTCTCTCTTCCCTCAGGCCCAGCTAGCCGTAGCCCAGCAGCAGGCAGCGGCTCTAGCCAATCAAGCAGCACCTACAGCCAGTGCGGTCATGCCTGGTGCACCAGCTGCTGCAGCAGCGAGCAACCCGCCGTGCTTCATGCTGTCCAACATGTTTGACCCTACATCGTAAGTCAGCTGACCCTCTTGTTATTGATTTCAGCCAGGGAGGCTTATCGTTAGTTCTTGCAAACATTTGTTTGACCATTAAATCTTTTGGTTTCATGTACGTTTGGTCAAGTTTTGGAGCTTTTTCTTGTTAAACCACTTTGCACCGGGATTATTTTTGCCGAAAATTTCGATTTTCGCAAGAGGCAACATTTTCCAGCCAACTTCCGATAAACAGCAACACGCCACAAATACTGATTCGCAAGGGTAATTTCAACAGTATTTTTGCGATATTTCTTGCCGAAACCTTGTATGTTTCTATACTCCGAGGTGTGCACTGGAGCGTAAATTGTACAATAGGCCGTGCACAACTGCCACTTCAAGATGAACACACGGTCCGCCTCCATAGACTTTGTGGACTTTGTGTGTGTACAAAAGGCACGAGGGACGTCACACGGAGGCGAGATGAGGCAATCTTGACGTTTTAACCCATCAGCCGTGCCTGTGTATAAAAACGGCCAGTGCGGGTTATCAGGTCCTCTGACACGAAAGGTTAAAAGGGAAAAGTAAAACTGTAGCACCTGCAATCTTTGAATAGAAGCCAAAAATACAGCGAAATATAAATTAACGTGGGATGCTGCTGTGCTGTATCGTCTGTAATACCTGAGCAGGAGAAATTCGGACCCTGTACATTTACATACCAGACTAGTAGCTTTCAACTTTTTGGCGATGCTGTGCCGAGGTTAAAAAAAAAATTGTTTACACTTAGCCAATTTACTGTAATCTCACTGATTGTCGTCTTGTTTTGTTGTGGGTGTGTGTTTAGGGAGGAGATCAAAAGGATTCTTCCCGTTCCGACGCGAGCGCCCGCGTTCCTCCCGTTCTGAACGGGGATTAACTAAACCCAACAATAGGCCCGTTCTCCCGGGGTAGAACGCCCGGCTTACCAGGCGCCCAGCGAAGTACCCGAGCTCATTAAAAGTCTCATTGTGTGCGTCCTTTGTCATGTTAATGTTCCGTTCACCCGCGTGCACGGCCGCCAGCAACAGCAGAGGTATGTGAAATACGACGACGTAAACACATGAAAAGAAACAAGTATTAAAGGAAATATGAGGGAAATGGGGCTGTAATATTCATCTTGATGAAACTTCATTGCCACCACGCAAAACCTTTCCACGGATTCGTTTTCTTTTTTATGAATTAAATTTTAATATGATTGTTGTTGTTTTCAGTTACAGGGAAGTGAAAGAAGGATGGTGTAATTCTTCGCGGCGGATGTACGTCGAAACAATATTTTAGATGGCCCAATAATAAAGGCTCAAAAGAATGCAAACAAATGTGAAGAATTATTAACTTATTTGTTGGGTAGTCGATAATTTTACTGTTGGTGCTATTGGTTTATACCTGCTCATGCGTTTCAAGATTCACACCGAAAAATGGTTTTAGTTACGAGACATCCAACGAAAAAATGCCCACCACCAATTCACGATTGTTACAATTGTATATAAATGTAGTCAGCCTCGCTGATCTGACAGTAGATAACCAGTGGCCAGCTGTGCGTGACATAGTTTAGCAGTGCGTCTTTCCTGAGATCAACCACGTGGTGGGGGCATTAATAATAATTTAGTCCATGGGTTTGTTGGCATGGTGGGTCCAGCTGGGGTCGTAGATCCAGGAATATTTCCTTCAGTTTTCAATTAACTTTCGGGACTAGTAAATCTGATATTAATTAGTTCTTCGATTTTTCCAGAACCAAAGCCATTAATTGTACGCAACATTCACGTGCGGATTCAGATGGGGGCACACCCGGCCCGTACCCCCCCCCCTTTCGCAACTGTTTTTTTTTTTTCTTCTTCTTTTTTTTACGAGTCGTCTTAGGGCAGGCATTAAATGCATCCCTTTGAGAACATGGCTATCTTTTTCGTTTTTGAGGAGTCATTATCGCGGGCGGACGGGCGGTCATCAAATCAATCGCTTTGAACATAACTATCATACATAATTATCAACAAAAATATACAATGTATAAATTTTGAAGGTCGCCTGTCAATCATTGTCTCAAAGCAAGAACTTATGTTTATAAGACACTTTTCTATTTCCCGGCTGGAATAGGAGGCACATTTAATACAGCACTTGCATTTAATGCTTCATTTCAAAATATATTCCAAAATATATTCTAGAGTAGAACATGTACCGGTACACGAAATAATGTAGGCCATGTGTTTTTTTTTAATAAATGAAGAATAAAATCGTCATCCCCTTTTCTAATTTTCCCGGCCTCAGAGAGAGATTTACGTCTGGTTCTCTAAACATTTTTTTAAAAGCAAAATGATTTTTTTGCATAAAATTTTCCGAAAAGCCCGAAAAGCCCATATCACTATTTGTAGAAACTGTCAACTATTCTAAATTTTAAGTGATTATTGAAGTCTTTTATTAAATAAAGAGACTAAAGAAGACCAAAAGTGAAATTCAAAGAAGTACAAGAAATATATCAATTTTAAACATTTTTTTAAAAGCAAAATGATTTTTTTGCATAAAATTTTCCCCTGTCTCTGAGAAAAAAAAAATGCCCAAATAAAATCTCAGCTCCGAAAAGCCTTTCCAGAGAATGATTGATAGCCGCATTGTTCAAATTGATACAATGCCACTCATGTTCGTTACAAAGCATATACATTTGGGTTCAGCTGTAGGCCACCGAACTTTAAGGCCTTTGAGAACTTGCCGCCAGTAATTGGAAGATTCTTAGATGATAAACAGTGATGATAGTATCTCGGCCAATGAAATGAGCCGGTTCCCGGCAAATAAATATGCCATTGGTTGCTTTCAACACGGACCGTCTGATTTCATGAATATGACTTCCTTCCACGCGCAACTGGAGTGATTAGCTATCTGAGCCACAGGTGCATGGCTGCATGCCCATCACATTCCAACCTGGTTGCTTAGAAATAATGTTGCTAGGAGGCTCCCCTGTGATGCCTGGGACTGCCGGTTGCGTAGCCAGAAATCTTGTATGTGACTATTTTGAAACCTTGTATGTGAAAGCGGCAGCTCAGGAATGCTGCCGCTTTCGGGAAATTTGTGAAAATAGTAAAAATACCAAACAAGTATCGATGGAAAAAACTATTACAAGATCTCCTCTGAAATGCTCTAAAATGCACCAGAAGCTTCTAAAGTTCAAATTTTTTCGTGGCCCTCTATGCGGGCTCCGAACCCACGCCGTGGCTTCGCAGGTTGTTGTATCACAACAAAAATTCCCCCACAGGTTTGAAAAAATCCTGGGGAGAACAGCATGGTTCTCAACTTTTGAGTACAGAAGAAACTGTATTAGAACAAGAGTACATTTTAACAAATGAAGGAAAATTCTTCTTAAAATTAAAACAAATTCTGCTTCAAAATTTCAGAGGAAAGTGCCCAGTAATCGCCTCAGATTGCACCACAGAGCATCTAAAATCAGAAATTTTCCGGGGCCCTTATAAAGCGGGCCCCGAACCCCACGCCTATCGCCACCCCGCTGCTGTATGCCAATCATAGATTATCAGTTTGGAAACTGCATCTGCTATAGCTATTTGCATAAAATTTAAATATGCATCAGGCACTTCAAAAACCCATAGTTCAATGATAAATCCATTAGCTGTCTTAGAATTTGTTTTTGGAGAATTCGTTTGCTGAGTAAAAGTTATTGGACATGTTGGAAATTGTTTTAAACCTTTGTTCCAAGCTTGTTGGTAAAAGGAAATTGTGTTCTTGAATTTTATATCTTCAACGCTGTGATTAGAAAGTCCACTGTTTTTGAGAAGTCAAGAAGCCTCCACAAAATTTTAACTTTGATTCCTTTGCAAAGTTAAGGGTCGGAGAGTCACCTCTGTGCTGACGCCACCCGTTGTGTTTAGGGTTCACGACTTAATACGTCCCCCGCAATCAAGGAATCACTCCCTTTATTCCCGTATATATCTCTTAAAACTACTCACGAAATGTATTTTTTAAAGCAAGGAGAAGACCCTACATAGTCTTCTCAATTTTTGGAACATTTAAAGAAGTTTTTTTTTATCAGTTACAGGGAAGGTAAAGTCGGACGGTGCAATTTCTTCACGGGGATGTACGTCGAAACAATATTTTAGATGACCCAATAATAAAGGCTCAAAAGAATGCAAACAAATGTGAAGAATTATTAACTTTGTTGGGTAGTCGATAATGTTACTGTTGGGGCTATTGGTATACCTGCTCATGCTTTTCAATATCCACGCCGAAAAAGTGGTTTTGGTTATGAGACATCCAACGAAAAAAAAATGCCAACTACCGATTCACGATTGTTACAATTGTATATAAATGTAGCCAGCCTCGCTGATCTGACAGTAGATAACCAGTGGCCAGCTGTGCGAGACATAGTTTAGCAGTGGTCTTTCCTGAGATCAACCACGTGGTGGCCCCGGCACATTATTTAGTCCATGGGTTGGTTGGCGGGTCCAGCTGGGATCGTTTATTCAGGAATATTTCCTTCAGTCACTCCATCAGACGTCACTGTTGTAAAATGTTGCACATTTCCCTTCAAATACACAAACTATCAAACATGTACATGTAACTCTAATTTCCGAGACGTCTTCTCGATTTGTTGAGCATTTTAACAAGTTAAATCACTATCCATCTTCAACTATACATCGCCTGCAAGAGATGAGAAAACAACAAACATTATTTTATCGCAACATTTCCAAAGTCTCCTTGTAAATTTCAGTGTGGCCGATGTTTCTTCGGATATTATTTGAGCAGTTGCCATTATCCACCGTCGTCACCACGCAGGTCTATTGTACTACCGTGCTGTGGGCACCCAGCGTGACCATTTCATTGTGCTATTGTTAGGCAATTTCGGGCGTGATCCCGCGGTCGGAACGGGGCCCGGGCGAACGCAGGCGCCCGGGGGGATTAGGAACAATAGGCCCGTTCCTCCCGTGCGCTCGCGTCGGAACGGGAAAAATCCTTTTGATCTCCTCCCTTAGTGAGACCTCCACCAGCTGGGAGACAGAGATCCGAGATGACGTGATCGAGGAGTGCAACAAGCACGGCGGCGTCCTACACATCCATGTTGACAGGTCCTCACCACAGGGCAACTGCTACGTCAAATGCCCCAACTCACAGATTGCCATGGCTGCAGTCAACGGCCTGCACGGCAGATGGTTTGCAGGTCAGTCAAAGCAAATCTAAAATCCTACAATTTCAACGGGGGTGAGACTTGTGGATCATGCGTTTCAGGATTTTTTTTTTAGAATCCCTTCTGAAATCTGGAATTCCTGATGTTTTACCATAAAAGTTGTCGTTTAACTGTAAAGGTTTACACAGTACAAAAGATAAGTGAATTTTCAGGGGTGCCTTTTGGGTAAAAACATAAATCGCAGATTCTTTGTTGCTCTTGGGGCCCTGTGCGGCCCCCAAACCCTCTGCCGATTATTTGGTGGATTTTTCATTTTCCCCTTATCTTGCCTCTGTTTATGGGCAAGTCTCAATTCATATCTGGAACAAGCCGGACAAGTTGCAGGTAGAATCACCCACTTTGTTCGGAAGCAGCTCTGCATTTGTCCCGGACATGTTCCAGGGAAATTGTCATCAGCAACTGCTTGACTCACCAATACCGGTATTGCGGGAAGATTGCGGTCAAGTTGTTCAGAATCCTGCAACTTATACCCGATACAATGTCAGCAACTTGTCCAGAACTGATATGAATTGAGATGGGCCCTTAAAGATAAAATATCAAATATGTTGAGTGCTGTGGCCTCGTGGTTAAGGGCACTGGATTCGTGGTCTGTGGGTAAAGCTGCGGGTTGTGGGTTCGAGTCCAGCTGGGGTCATGGTGCGTGTACCCTTGAGCAAGGCACTTTGTCACTCATTGCTTTTCTCCACCCAGGAGTAAATGGGTACCTGTGAGGGCAGAGATGGTTATTGTGATTGAATAAGCTTGCTTGCGCCTAACAGGCAGCATCGAGCTGTATACTCCCCAGGGAGCTGAGATGGTATTTAGAATGTTTAATTGGCCCAATGATCAGGAGTAATAATAATACTGTAAGCGCTGTGATTTAGTTTACTAATAAGAGCGTTCTTAAATGCCGATTATTAAATATCAAAGTTTGGAATTCCATCAATTGATCAATGGAATCTGTATTATCGAGTGATCGATAGAATCTGTTTGATCCCGCAATGTTGACTGTAAATATAAATTATATCATTAATTTAAATGGCCTCGAATACGGATGCCAGGTGAAAGCATAGTCCCATGTGGCAAATGTAATTTCAACTAATTTTTTACTTTTGCAGGCAAGATGATCACAGCAGCATTTGTGCCGCTGGCCAACTACCACGCCATATTCCCTGAATCGGCAGTCGTCACAACGCTACTCCAACCCTCGCTGAAAATTATGTAAAGTCAACTGTAAATGAGAACGTAGGTCAAGCAAACAGACTGATGAAGCTGGATCCGTAAAATCAAGAAACTATTCTCAACCAAAGAAAATGTCACAAATTTCAAATTATTTTTTCGTCCCCTTTAAATTGGCACATTTTGTGTTTCTATTTTATTGTATTTTTAAACGGTGTATATGAATTGCTTGATTTAACATGCTGTTTGCCTGTTGACTGTAATTGAATTTGTATTTCATCTTTACTTTTTGTGTATTAAATTGAAACTGTGAAGTTTTTGCACATAATTTTTTTTTTCACTTAGCAAGAGCCATTTTTGTTTGACAGCCTTACTTTTTGTTCTCTTAGTATTATATCAGAGCACATGTGTTTGTGTCTTTATAATAGAAATGTGCTATGTCAACACACCCCCCCCCCATTTAAAAAAAGCCAAAAACTTTGAATTGTGAATTTTGACAGAGCTTTTGGATGCATGTATGTAATTCTTTGTGGAATTTTCTTTCGTGATGACAAAGGTATACTTGTACATAGAGATCTTCGGAATCAAAGTCAAAACAGATTTTGTACAACATGATTGAGATATTTACGGGTTTTCTTCTGTAAAACGACAGAATGTATAGATTAAAAAAAAGTAGCATTTTGTAGCATTGTTTCTAAACACGATGGAAGATTTTCTTATGCATACTCCTTTCAAGTAGCTTCAATCCAGCTCCCCTCGGAACAAAAATATCGATTATTTGAAATGCCACAGGCTGAATATATCTTGGTCAATAGAGCACCAGTATGGCGTTCCAGATGTCTTGGGTTTGAATCCTATATTTGTCAGTCCCATTTTGTTCAGAAAAAACAAAACAACAAAAGGACTATTTTCGTTCATTTGTTAGAGTATTTTCGTAACTTTTACTGGCACGGTGTTGCTTGGTTTTTAACCACATCATTTATAATCATTTGGAAGCGCACAGTGTCGACGATAAAATCTTTTTCATCAATTTTTTTTCTTCAGGTTTTTGGTGTTCTGTTCATAATTGCGCGTACACATTGTATGTGTTCCATACTCGAACAAACCCTGAAGAGTTTTCATGCCGTGTCATGGGTTGATTTTGAGACGACCTAATGCTGTCTCTGATGTGCCATTAAATTTTTGGCAAACTGGTTACGAAACGGCATTTTTTCCCTATGTGGTTGGGCAGTTAACTTGTTTGTGTAATTTGATTTATCTCAGTAAAGTTGATAGTAAATAAAACTGGACTTGTACATAGATAAAACAATTCATATTGTAATTGTGTGTGTGTGGCCAGTTGTCTTTACAGAAGAGTTGTTGAAAAAGATACCGCCAAATACAGTAAAAGCTTATCGCCATCTGCAAGTACAAGACCACCATCTACAAGGTGACAAAAAAGACATCGCCGTTTACACTGAACAACCTGAACCTCTTGCACAAACTACATGGTGAATTAGAAAGCACTCGGAGCGCAAACCTCCGCCAAGGCTAAACAATTCCCCGAAGAAATATTTGCATAAATGTTGAATCCTTAAAAAAAAATCCTGGATTCGGACCCAGATCCCGATCGCTTCCAAAATACTTGTATCAAGGGCCACCCCTAAAAAAATTGTCATGCAAATCCGTCTATAACTTTTCGAGTTACCTTGTTAACAGACAAGCCAACCAACCAACCAACAAACAGACGCCGATGAAAACATAACCTCCTGGGCGGAGGTAACAACACTGATAAAACGAAACTTAACATCTACGAAAAACATTTTGTCACCATGATACAATGAAAAACAACTTAACTATGGTGTCCGCACATTGCACACTGGTTAAAGACCAAATAGCGCCCTCTTTAGTGTTTCCCTAGAGAGCTTTGGGAATAAGTAAGAACTGGTTAGGAATTTGTTTAAAGCTGTCTTTACACAGCCCTTCAACTTCGTGTGACCAAAAACTGTTTAATCAACTCCTTATCTGACGTTGATAAATGAGAGAATTAGTTTCAGTATTGTACATGGCATCACAATAATTATGATTCTTCAGACTCGGAGGAAGTTGGCCAAAAAGTGAGTGATAAATATGAAACAACCATTCTGACAAACAAACTACGCATTTCCTCTTTTTGGGGGGGGGGGGGTGGCACATTTTTGATCGAGGAGATTGGTTTGATCAATTGTCCATGACTTTGTCATCGGAATAAACAAGACAAGATTTCCGGTGACTTCATTCCAAAACCAATATCAGCAACAACAGTGGCAAGTACTTCCTGTACGACTCATACATGTAACCGATTCAATGTCATGATTTATTCTGACTTTTTTGAGTCACAGCCAATAGTTTACAAATATTTAACTTTTGTTGGGGATGGTTTGAACAATCACTTATACATAAACCATTCTATATCTGTCGATTGCTGTATACATGTATTCACATTTATTTCTACAAGTAGAGTTGAATTACAGAGCACAATATTCTACATAACCATCCAACTGAACATAATTAACGGTACCAGATATGCTTTTTTTTTTCAAATTTAAAAAAGATATATGATTTGTTTCCCAAATCCCCCAAATTGTATCATATTGAAACTATGCCAGTCTGCCATGGGGTTAGATAGTTCAACAAATCCTTGTTTCTGACAGTCACATGTTTTGAGTATACTTTCAGTAAATTTATTATTTTTCCAGCAAAAACAAATTTTAGCACTGCACCATAATATAGGATGTCCATTGTTGATTTGTTCCGGTAGCCTTGTAGTTTAATACATGAACAATGTGCAGGCTTTATGCTACTTGTGTTGCAGACTATTAGGTTAAAAATTATAAGCAGTCTTGGGAGGAAGACTACATGGATGAGGAACACCCCATTGTTCACCTTTGAACTCTTCTCTTTCTTCAGTCAAAACATTAGTACTGCCTTCAATTTTATCTCCATCAAACAAGTACTTATAAAACGATACATTCTTATTCAAAACAACTATTTCTTGGTCAAAGTCTACAGAACGAATATTTTTAAACTTGGTATCCTTTCTAAAGATTATTTTTTGTTCAAACATTGGTTTATCCATAACAACTTCAAGTTACATGGGAAAATGTGTATTACATCATGAGAAAAGATGCTTGGAGATTTAACATGAAATGGGGATTAAACTTTGTCTTATCTGAATCTTTGGAATGACTCATTGTTCCTTTAATACTGATGTTTGAACAAAATATTTAGGCTCTGTTATCTTGTGTCGTAACTTCAGGTTTGCATCTTTGATATGGCAGTGTCCATTCCATACAACATGGTACTGTTGACTCATCGTTAATACAAACACTATTTGCGTTGAGTGTAGTTGCAATGCACTACTTACATGTATTCATTGAAATTGTTCTCAATTGGTTATAAATGCACAGTTTATTAACCAAAAAACTTTAAAATTTAATTTTGATACCAAAACAGACAAGTTTGGGAGTAGTGCCTGAAATATTTCATGAATATTTATACATAACTTCATATATATTCATACATATTTACAACAATTCATACCTCCTTTGCAACAAAATAAAAGACATTGATCAATTTTCTATCAGTTAAGTAATACAATAATAACTTTTGTACTTCAGTTAAACATACAATATATCTGTTTTAATGTGTTTGTTAAAAAAAAAATTAAACAACGTTTAACAATTGGTGAATTTCCAGTTGCAGTAGGGTAAGCATTGTCTGGTAATTAGGGGAAAAATACAAAATTCGTATTTTTTTCATAGACAGAACATTTAATGCATGTTTAATCTCTTTTGTAAAACTCATGCTGGTGGCATGGCCATGTTGGTCGAGGGGAAAATACAGAATTATTCATTAAACTGACAATTTGACAACAATTCCACTTACAGACTACACCTGTTCTAAAGTCCAACCAGTACAAGGTTGAAAACGTCTGATGTCCAGACACCGACCTTACGCAAACATGCAGGTAGGAGGGGAACCTGACTAAAATAGGAAGCATCTAAATGGATTTGTGTGATCAGTGTGTATGTGTGTGGTGAAAATTGGAATGTAGCATTACAGAATAGGGATGTAGTTATCAATCTTGCCTCGTTGCCTTTGAGCGACACACTCAGCGATCCAGACAATGTTCCTGCATTCCTGTTCCTTGAGTTTGACGTAGGAGTAGAAGACTCCGTAGTGAAACTGCTGCATGAAGCCGTTCACGTTTAGCTTAACCTGTGCAATAACAACAAAAAAACAGCCAGTGTTCACGGTCAATAGAGGTTTTTGATGAATAATTTCGTCACTTGGTACAAATACCATCACCGTTTTGACGAAGTGACACATCTGTGCACACAGATGCAAAACCGAGTTTTGAGAAAATTGCGTTTGAAGTTGGTGAATTTTTGAATTTGCATTTTTGTGTACATTTCTCCCCCAGAATTGAAAAATATATAACTGAGACAATAGCCCAGGAGTTAAATAGCCAAAAACAATTCTCTCTGTTCCTATAATCGTGTTTAATTAGAAGATATTAAATACTAAAGATATCCGTCACTTCGCCAAACGGAAAATCTACTTCTTCACAAAAATGAGGCATGTGTTTGTACAGAGCGCGTGCGCGTATATAAAATTGATACATTTTAGAACGCAGATGCGTCACTTCGTCAAAACGCAAATCGTGGAGGCTTCATATTTCTAAATATAGCACACGTGTAAAATCAATGAGACTAAGTGACACATAGAGATCCGTCACTTCGTCAAAACGAAAAACTTAGTGTGTAGCACTTTCAAGACTTTGTGCAATTAGCGTAATTAACGAACGATGGAATGGTGTGTCTCGAAATTTGGTAATCATGTACAGGACATCATAAAATGTTAGAACATTCAAAAATCTCAGATTTCAGAAAATCTTGGTTTGGTTTGATGTGTCACTTCGTCAAAACGGTGAGGATACTAACCCTAACCTCAGGGGATTTTGGCCAAACTGCCTCAGAGTCTGAGGTCACCAACAACAGCAGGATACAACTGTGGCATTGGTCAATGGGACTAGCTCTCATTGTTTCAGAATTGGCCGTTTGTGCGCGCTGGTGTTGATGGCTCAATGCAACAAGGTCCCACAGACTTTAATACACCCAATGCACTATGTTGCACCTGTCAATGTTGGGGCTAATCAAAGTAAAACCTGAACTCATGGCAGAGTACCTGTACTCATACTGATGGAAATGTACTCAATTACACTGATGTATATACATTTCAATGAAAGATTAAAGGATGTCGGTATATATTTTTAATTTATAAAGCATTAGCAATTCTTTAAAGGGAATATACATGTACAACATTTGCAAACATCGAAAAATAAAACTATCAAGTTTTTACGAAATACCTTACTAGGATGTTGGTAAATGAGTCAAAAGCATCCTGTAAAATTACGGCACCTGGTGAGAAGTCATTTTCAAGAAAATGGTATTTTTGTATACATTTCCAACGGTGGTCGGCCGACCACCGTTGGAAAAACCTAACTATTTTTCAACTACTGCTCCAACTTTACACTTTTTTCAGTCCAAATTTTGTTTGCTATTGGTTATATGTTCATGAACGGGTGCAGGCCAGCTAGACTGGTTCCCTTACCTTACAATTTTCTGGCATCTATAAATTGATCCATTTTATCTTTAGTGGAGTCAAGGAACCAGACTACTTGAACGTATTTGTTTTTCTTGGTTTTTCCAGCATTTTCGAACACAAAACTTCAAACATGTCAGTGTAACAATATTTGATCTATTATACTAACCCCTCAAATAGTTCATTTCTGAAAATTACAGCAAAAGCCAATGATGTACATTCCCTTTAATAGCCTGATCAACTGCAATTTGAATGCAAACTATCTTTACATTGTATACAAACTATCTTTACATTGTAAACATTGTATACAATTCGTATCTGATGGTCTCAATACTCTGCCAGGTAAAGCTCAATATTCAGTGCCTCTCCACAGGCAATGCGGACATAATAGTTCAAGTGCCAGACTTTTTAAAGTGTTTGCAAAAAATTTAAATAAAAGTGAAAACTTGCTGACTTTTCCCAATATAAAGGTGCAGTCCCAACGTTATATGGCTGTTGTGATGACACAGTTTAGATTATGTGAAAAGAATTTTCTTCCAGTAAACATACCTCATGCTCAAAGAACTTGTCTTCCAAAGTCTTGTCCCCTGGGTTGGTCCCTGCTCCATCAAAGAGTTGCTTGTATTCCTTTCAAATAAAAAGGACACCAAAGCCTTGTAAACAAATGATATTTGTCATAAACAAGTTGATTTAGAAGTGGCTGGAGCCACTTCAACAGGCGTGTGTTCTCATCAGGAGTAAAATACCTAATATCTGTCACGAGCCAATATGGCCCATCAGGCCGGCGTTTATCTCCGGTTTCCTTGGCATGAAATGGGGGGGGGGGGAATAATTCTATTCCCCCTGGATGGGGGGGGGGGGGGGGGGAGAATACAATTAGTCCATCGCAGGTTACTCCCCAACTAATGCCAGTACCCTTTTATACTCCTGGGTGGAGAGAGGCAAGTGGGGGTGAAGTGGCTTGCCCAAGGTCGCAACACGTGTCCAGCAGCTGGATTCGAACCCCTAATCCTCTGATCATGAGTCTTAAATCCTAACAAGATCAAGCTGTTTACTGTCACCGTGGAACCAGTTCTGGTGCAGTAGCTTGGACACTAACACCAAAGCTGAAAATGGCCCTAGATTGTTGCTACACCAGCCTACTATACGGAAACCACTCAATGTTTCATGGCAAGCACATACCACCAATAAGGACTTGTATGGGAAACCAGGGCAAATTTCTGAGGGGCTGAGAACAAGAAGGCTGAGATTTGCAGGACACTGTACAAGGAGAAAGGACGAAGCTGCCTCCAAGGTTCTACTATGGCAACCCAAGCATGGGATCATGAGGACATCCACCTAAAGACTACATCAAACTCCGGGCAAGACGTCAAGACCTGTATGATGGATAGAGTGGTTTGAAGAGTTATCACTGGAGTCTGACCTTCAGTGTCGTCATAATGATGATGATGACCCTAACCACTAGGCCACACATTCTCCTAATGCCAGGAACAGCCAAGTAATTTGAGACTTTGTTGTGAGATGGGGGGGGGGGGGGATTTGATCATACATACCACGTAGTTGTCAGCCACCGCTCGGACCTGGTCGTAGTCATCACACTTCGCCAGTGCAGCAAGGCCGTCCGGATACAGCTCACCGCAGCGTGGGTACAGCTTAAACCTATCCTCCTTGGTCAGTTCAGTGCCGAATGAGTTGATGGTTATGATGAACGCACGGCGGTCGGCTTCAAACTGAAAGATGCAAAACACGTCCACATTTTCCACCTTGCTTCTCACAATGTATTTTAGGGTGATCAATACAAATCATTTCTCAAAGCTAAAGTTTAAAAATGGGTGGGCGAAAGATCAATTGAAAGGTAATTGTTGAGTAACAGATACATGTGAAATTTCGCAATTATTGATCTAAAAGGCTAAGTTTTCATTCCAAATTAGAAGAAGCTACGCAAGTATGACACTTTAAATCCAATTCTTCCTCAGAAAATATAGAATTTTTTGAGAGTTGATATGCAAATTCCATTGATGCAACATACTTGTACTCGGCAATTAAAACTTTTTTTTTAGAAAGGAAACAGCGGATTCTCTGTTAATACTCTTGAAATAAATACTTCTTGCTTAGAGCGGAAGTCTGTGAAACCTTTTTCACTGTGTTGTTGATGAACATAGACTGTAACTTACCCCCAGGATGCTGCACATGACATCCGCAGTGGCTCCGCCCAGATCTTCACAGAAATTATAGAAAGCTTCCAGATAGGCCTTGTACAGTGTGTTACGGATGATCTCAATGTTCATCTCGTCTAGATCTTGCTCCGAGATACACTCCTGGAAAAATGGGGCTGTGACCAAGACAATGAAAAAAAAAAACCACCAACCTCTTAAAGGATATCAAATATATCATAATCTGACCTCTTAAAGGGAATGTACATCATTGGCTTTTGCTGTAATTTACAGAAATGAACTATTTGAGGGGTAAGTATAATAGATCAAATATTGTTACACTGACAAGTTTGAAGTTTTGTGTTCAAAAATGCTGGAAAAACCAGGAAAAACAAAAATGTTCAAGTAGTCTGGTTCCCTGACTTCACTTAAGATAAAATGCATCAATTTATAGATGCCGGAAAATTGTAAGGTAAGGAAACCAATCTAGCTGGTCTGCACCCGTTCATGAACATGGAACCAATAGCAAACAAAATTTGGACTGAAAAAAGGGTAAATTTGGGAGCAGTAGTTGAAAAATAGTTAGGTTTTTCCAATGGTGGTCGGCCGACCACCGTTGGAAATTTATACAAAATACCACTTTTCTTGGAAATGACTTCACACCAGGTGCCATAATTTTACAGGATGCTTCAGACTTTCATTTACCAACATCCTAGTAAGCTATTTCGTAAAAATGTGGTAGTTTTGTTTCCAATGTTTGCAAATGTTGTATATTCCCTTTTATAGAGTTATCATACTTTTGTTGCTTTGTCATATACAGATTATAAACATATGCATGTCAATTAGCCCAAAATATTAACCTCGTTGCAAGGTGTTATGTGACTAGGTAGAACAGTATTGCATCTATCAAATTACTATGACAAACTTTGAGTACTTTCTAAACAATTATAATGGAAAAAATATCAAGCACTTTTTTTTATTGAAAAGTTGAACGAAGAAATTGACAGGAGCAGGGCTTGAACCTGCGACCTCCGGACAGCTGTTCCGGTGCTCTACGAACTGAGCCAACCAGCCCTATGTTGGTGGTTCTCCAGTTCGTCAACATCTTTGTTAATTTATTTTTGAAATTTTGACATTTCTTACAAGATTTTTCAAACGGGCAATCGGGTCTCAATATTGCCCTGTGAATAAATGAAAATCTGGTACACTAAAGTGCAACACTAGATGGTACACGTTAATTCTTTTAGAAAAAAAAAATTGACTTAATCATACTCGTCATACTCACCAAGAGGCGTATCCACAATGATGGCATTGTACAAGTCGGCCGGCGTCGTGGCGACGTTGACGGCCTCCATCTGCTCAAAGCTACCCAGCGGATGACACTTAGGGATGAGTTCTGAGATGGACCGTTGATGCAGGGTGCCGGTGATCAGCAGGATGATGTTATCGATCATGTAGCTGTAACTGTAAAGACAAAAAAAATCATTACAATTTCAGAATTTAGGAATGCTAGGGTTTATATATCATCCCAATTGGTAAGGAGTACATACAGAAGTGTATGTATATCATTTGTCAAGTTATAAATTGAAATGTTGCCTATAATTCCTGGTGTTTTTGAAGAAAAAAAACTTTGTTGATGTGCACTATGACCTTCAATTTCAACTGCAAACGTATGCCGGTCTGGTAAAAAATACTTCTGTCCTCGTGTTATTTTAAGTAACTTATACTTGCTCTGTTGTCTCGTGAATTTGTTTACATGAACTTCAAGCCCTGAAATGAAATATTGTTCCCATTTGTTCTGCACTTTACTCACGTAATGAAGTCGAGAAACTTGGACAGTGGTTCCACGGCATGGATTCTGAGATGCTGGAACTCCACCACCAACTTCTCCTTGAGTTTGTCATCCATGACGGACACTGTGAGAGGGGAGGGCTCATTTTGCAGGAAGCCTCCGTAGTCTGTGCTTTGTAAGTGTAGCTTGAGATCTGTTGGTAGAAAAAGAAACGGTAAGAGGGTAAAATTACCATCATCTGACTTTACCCAAGGTTGTTATCGCAGTCATTGTCTCCATCATCACTTCCAACGGTGTCATTAAAATCAGTCATAATGCTGTCCAGATTATCATCTGGTAACTACGTACATGTAGGACTCGGAGGACTTCCTTTATTCATCATTGAGATTGATCATAATTTTCATCACCATTGCCAGCATTACTGTCAACACACAGGTGCCTCCTTAGTACATGCAGTTAATTTCTAGAAGTAACTGCCAAACTTCAAAATTACCTAACTATTTAAAAAAAAAATATGAATAGCGAGATGATCAACATAATTTTTGGCATTGCCAATAGTCTTTTAAAAATTCACATGTGTCTTTATAGGAACACAATATGCCTTGTTTAACATCATTAAAAACAGCATCAAATTCAAAATTTAACAAGTGACAATCCAACCATTCAAACGATATGATTAAATTGGAGTTCCATCATCCATGATCAAGATCATAGTATCCTGAAACCAATTCAAGGGTGCGTAAAAATCAGGAGCCTTGAAGTTTACCAAACTTTATTTTCTAATAATACTGCATTTCATCCAATGATATACAGGCCTACCAATATTAATGGAGCAACTATAGAATGCAGGGCCACGCCGAAGCAAGGTTTTTTATTTTGCCTGGAGGCGTGGATGGAATAGGAGTAATAGATATGCAAACCTGCAAAAAAGTGCTAAGTACAGCGAAGGAATGCACTGCACTTGTCTTCAAAGCTTCTCATGAAGGATCGGAAGGGAGGGCGTGCTTGTAAATGTGTTGGGGGCACTGTCTGGAGCGGCGGAGGCGCGGAGTCTTGGAGTCGCAGAATCGCGGAGACGCGGGGCACTGGAGTGGCGGAGGCGCGGAGTCGCGGAGTCGCAGAGACGCGTACCGATAGAGGGCGCAATTCTCGGCGGAATCTTTTTGAGAACGAAGCATCCATATCCATTTTAAATGGGCGGGCCAATTAGGAAGGGGGGGGGGGAGGGCGACGGGGCACTGTCTGGAGTCGCGGAGGCGCGGAGTCGGGGAGTCGCAGAGTCACTTTAATTGGGCGGGCCAATTAGGAAGGGGGGGGGGAGGGCGACGGGGCACTGTCTGGAGTCGCGGAGGCGCGGAGTCGGGGAGTCGCAGAGTCACTTTAATTGGGCGGGCCAATTAGGAAGGGGGGGAGGGCGACGGGGCACTGTCTGGAGTCGCGGAGGCGCGGAGTCGCAGAGTCGCTTTAATTGGGCGGGCCAATTAGGAAGGGGGGGGGAGGGCGACGGGGCACTGTCTCTCAGTGGTGGAGGCGCGGAGTCGCGGAGTCGCAGAGACGCGCACCGATAGAGGGCGCAATTTTCTGCGGCTCCACGACTCCACGATCGATTTTCAGAGGTAGGTCGACTGCGGTTCCACGCCTCCACGCAGCCGTACGGAGGCGCGGATGTAGAGTAAAGTGGCCCTGCATTCTATAGTTGTACCCCAATGGACATGATGGAAAGACACCAATATCTGGCCATCATTTGTCACCCTGTGCACAAACACTATTCTATGGGACTGGTCTGAAAGTAGCTGGAGTTACCCAGCCCTGAGTTTTATCATTGGGTTGTCTATAAGGGCTGGAGCGAATTTTTCTCAAAACTTGTAGTATTTGCAAAAAAAAATTGAAAAATGTTCAATTTTGTCCCCATTACACACTAATTGCAACTGCAACTCACCCCAAACTTGCCTGGAATAACCATTACACAGGTCCTTGAAGTAAAAAACGATCCACGATGAAGATTCAGCCTCCCATTGCAGTGAAAACAGGAGGAATAACCGCTAACTTGACAACCTTGCTGGATTGGCCAGGATCGCTATTGGTTTGTGCACAAAAAAAATTGTGTACAATGAATGGCGGTCGATTACCATGCACGTACAGCTCGCTGGTACTAGGCGTTTTTGCGGTCGGTGCATGACGTGCGCGGAAGCGTAATACCCGATGACTGTTTCATGCATTAATAAGAGGTTCACTCGCATCACAGTGCGGTACTGGAACGGCAGTAACACTGCACTATGAATGCACGATAGCCGGCCAACTCGACGGTTGCCGTTCCAGTACCGCACTGTGATGCGAGTGAACCTCTTATTAATGCATGAAACAGTCATCGGGTATTACGCTTCCGCGCACGTCATGCACCGACCGCAAAAACGCCTAGTACCAGCGAGCTGTACGTGCATGGTAATCGACCGCCATTCATTGTACACAATTTTTTTTGTGCACAAACCAATAGCGGTCCTGGCCAATCCAGCAAGGTTGTCAAGTTAGCGGTTATTCCTCCTGTTTTCACTGCAATTGGAGGCTGAATCTTCATCGTGGATCGTTTTTTTACTTCAAGGACCTGTGTAATGGTTATTCCAGGCAAGTTTGGGGTGAGTTGCAGTTGCAATTAGTGTGTAATGGGGACAAAATTGAACATTTTTCAATTTTTTTTTGCAAATACTACAAGTTTTGAGAAAAATTCGCTCCAGCCCTTATAGACAACCCAATGATAAAACTCAGGGCTGGGTAACTCCAGCTAGTCTGAAAGTGAAAAGTGTTTTCTCAGTAAAAATTCAAAATGTATCCCTGCTAATTTTGACGGCCAGATATGGGAATCTTTCCTTAATCATTTATTAAATAATATAACACGATAGTGTACAGATAAAATAAAAACAGAATGTTACTGTTAGGCCCTTTAATTATTATTTTTTTGACCAAGGCAAGGGCTCGCGCGCGCCCGGCAAGGCTAATGACATGTCACCTGTCCGGAAACTGGACAACTTTCTGAAAGGGTCTCCTCACCTTCTAAAATTTCGCACTGAACAAGATTGAGATAGTCTGGCTGCCTCAAAATTCCACCCTTGAATCCTCTCACGAGACCCTCCAGGTATCCATCGTTGATGTTGAAAGAAATTTCGGTCATCATCTTGAATGCTAAACGTTCTTTTTGACCAGTTCAAAGCAGTCACAACCTGTTTCAACTAGGCCTACATGAACTACATGTATGCGTAACTTACAAGTCATGTCATATGACTATGGCGAGATGGAAAGATAATAGTGTAGTGCGGAAATGATGTAAGCTGTACACTGATTGGCCAGTTGTATGCATAATCTATCACTGCTCCAATCCTGTAATGGCAGACATCGCCCATGGTCGATAATATGATAATTCATCCAGAAATTAGTCATTTGTTTCGTGCACTATTAAGGCTTTTAATCAGCACCTCATTTTCAAATAAATATTGTAGTGACTGGGTTACTCCAATTTTCGTTTATGTATGAGGATAATATACCACTAAATATTTAAGAAACAGTCGTAATTAAACTTATAAATTTAATATGTAGATCAACAATCAGCATTTTAACCAATGAGAAGAATCCCAGTGACGTCAATATGTTAATTTTTCGCTGGTACGTTCGTACGTGTATAAAAATGTGCGATTCCCATGTCCCTGCCTCTTTTATAACTTGCCACCGTCGTGTGCGGATCGTGAAGTGCTCCCTGCTAACGTCAAACTTCTCAACAAAAATGGCATCAAACGGCGGAAAACTTCCCTACAAAGTTGGTGCGTCGGTAGAAAAATTTAAATCAAAATAATCCGTTTTACCTTTGGGATTTCATGCTACAAATTCATGTAGTCAATGAAAACAAATGGAAATATGCCCGTGGATTTGCGGCTCCTGGGTTGAGAGACTGTAAATTGTGTATAGCGCCCTCTGTATTTTTGGTGGTTTAACAATAACATTCACACGTGTTCATGACCGGTCGTACGTGTACCTTGTTCCACGTGTAGTACAGAAACATCATTTGTCGTACAATTTGTGACCCTTTCATGATTGACATGATAATGCCGACCACTTAGATTTGTTAGGATAGGGTCAATGAAGGCTTGATTTGTCATGTTTGTAAGGAAGACCAACTTATTTGAACATCAGTTTTGACACGTGATGTCTGAAGCCAAGGCCATGGCCCATAGATTTGCACCAACATTTTGGACTATTTTTTCAGGATTCGTTCAGTTTCATTCTTGCTTCAAGCTCATGCTAGGTTTCAGATATCTTTTGTATTATATTTCAAGTTTATATATAGTCCCATAAATGTGAAAGAAATACTGGACTACCTCCGTATTTAACGTCACACATCCCACGTGATATAATCACAGAGCATCCCGTTGCTAGGGGAGCCGAAAAATTAATTAAAAATTGAAATTATTTTGTCAGTAGAAAATCAACCCAGCTACATGTATAGTATGACTGCTAAATAGCACAAAATTGTTAAATTCGGTACCTTCAGAGGTCTAGTTATCCAAAAATCATGGTAATTCGGCAAAGGATGCAGACGGTTTTGAAAAAGCATGGTGTCTCTGATATTTACCAGACTGTTTCCCGACCACCCTAATTATAGTCAAAAGGCCAATGGGGTCAGGGAACCAGACAAGAGCTTTAATCATCTACTGAGCGTGTATCAACTTTGACAAAGCGCACCGCTGCTGTTGCCTGTCATTCCAAAATCTTTGGTGCTCTGTGAAGTACCCGGATGCAGGGCGCGCTTCACTGCAGAGGGCTTCAAAGATTTTGGAAATTGCCTTCCTTTTTTTTCAAAATGGCAGGATCCTAAAATATGTGGGGTTTTTTTCTTGGCCTAACTCATCCACTAGTTGACATGCGCTCCTTTTTTAACCTAATCATGTTTAACGTTTGCGTTTAATATATGATCCGTCAGTGTCTGCCTTTTACATGTTCTCGTCTCATTCTTTTCTCGGCAGCTGACATCTCCTTGGCGGAGTTCGGTCGCAAGGAGATCGTTCTGGCCGAGCATGAGATGCCTGGCCTGATGGAGATGAGGAAGAAGTATGGTTCCACCAAACCCCTGAAGGGAGCCCGCATCGCTGGCTGCCTGCACATGACCATTCAGACAGCTGTCCTCATAGAAACACTGACGGAGCTTGGGGCTGAGGTAAATTAACTTAAAATATTAACCCTAACCGCCCTGGATCCTTCAAAATCTTCTTTGCCAAAGTGGAGGAATTTAGAGGATTGAGGTCATATGGCAAAAGTGCGTTACTGCTTTCGTACGATGCACTTTGTCAAGGTCTTGGGCCGGACCTTGTGTTGTTTTTTGCTCAGCCATACATAAATGTAGGTCTGGATTATGCTTGAAATCCTCTGTACTGCTCCAGGATGTCACTGGCCAAGCCTGAACATATTGACAGTCACTGCCGCAGGATTTTGCAGGATTCAGGCAGTGGTCACCCCTCCACGGACCATATTCAAGAAATAATGGAGGAATTTGCAGGATTGAGGCTATATGCTATTTTTCCATGAGCCAATTGGAGGATTCTGCAGGATTGAGGCTACATCCTAGCAAAAAGGCCTAGGGAGTTGGGGTTAATAATAATTTAGTACTTGTATAGCACTTCACAGAAATCCCTCAAAGCGCTTCAGTTATTACCCCTGTTCATCGGGCTATGAGACTACATTTCTGCAGTAGGTCTAGATCAGGGCCAGTTTCATAGCCTAGCTAAGCACACGATTTTCTGATCGTAACAGAGCCTGTACAAAAATATGTATCTATTTCATGGCGACTATAAAAAGGCATGCTTACCTCGGAGGAAAAAGATTAAATTTGTGACGTAACAATAGAAATTTCCCAACTGTTGGCATATCCGTGACATGAAATAGCGCTTAGGCCAAAAAAAAAAATACATGTAGTTCTGCTTCCGATTACATGCCTTTCAAAAATAGGGTCGGTCGGTCGGAAAATATTTTTTTTTTGCCAATTTTTTTTATGCAGATTGAATCGGGTATTCAATTATATGCGAAGTTTTAGCCTGAACTATATTTCCATTGCACTACGAAAGCTATACACGAAATGGCAATAAAAAGTGAATAAAACCTACCTTTAATTATTGTCAATATATTTACGTTCGATAATTAAAAAAAAATAATGGAAAATTCAGGTCGTTCGCACCATATGCACAACGCTAGTCAAGACGCGGGGAGCTGGCCAAAACTCCGAGGTGTGTGATGCGTGCATGTGTTCGAGCGGCCCACCATGGGCCGACAGACCTGTTTTTACGGTCAAAATTTTTGGGAAACACGCGGCATGTATCACTCCAAATACGAGTAGTGCGATCTCAAAATGAACTCTTGAACACAGAAAATACATACACAGACAAGCTAGATCAATTCTGTAAATTAACTTGCAAAAATGTTTTTTCTCCATCGGTGTTTTCTTGGCATTTTTACGATGTCGTATCCGACCAGTTGACAGTGGCCTGCACTGCTAGCGCGCTATCGGTCGCATAGGTGTGGACTGGTTACCGCATTTCATCGTGTCTTCTAAATTGGCCCCTGCGCGGCGCGGCGGGAACCAGTCGTCGCCACGTGATATAGTCACCGTGACATCGAATTGCGAAGTATATATCGCAAAGCGAATTTGTAAAAATAACGGAGGTTTCTTTTGAAAAAAGCGAATGTAAGTAAGAAAACAAATAAATACAAGCATTTTTTGATGCAAAAGGGTTGTTGAGAGGTATTTTGTGAAGACAGAAAGACAACAAGATTTTATTTTTATTTATTCAATATTTTTTTTAATTTTTTTTTTTAGGAATTGCCGATAATTTTTTTTAGGGTCGCAGCCTAAAAATAGGGTCGGTCGGGTAACCGGAAGCAGAACTATTTTTTTTTTTGGCCTTAGGGTTATCACAATTTTCTGCTATAGTTAGCACAACATTTGAAAAGTTAGCGCAAGCTATTTCAGTGCTGTGTTATGTAAGCTGTGCAAGATCCTTCACGCTGTGAAAAGGGCTGCAGTTGGGATCGGAATGATTTGCCTAGCTATCAGTCATCATGGCAAGACCTCAGTTTAACATGAAAGGTTTTACTCAGCTTACATAACACAGACGTGCATTTGATTTAGGCAAGGAACTCGGTCACAGTGTCCAAAAATTTTGTTGTGATCAGTTGACTATTATGCAGTGAGACATCAGGGAAATTAAATGAAACTCGTACGGTTTAGGCCAAGGATAAGGAGTATCTGCAGAATTTAAAAAAAATTAAAATTGACTTTGTGGTTTTGTAGTCATTTAAAAAATAATTAGACGGACACGTTTTTGTGGACACTGTAGACCTGGGCCCGATTTCACGGCTCCGCTAACCACAGAATTATGTGCTTACGATCACCATTTTGTGCTAACCGCGCTTGCAGAAACATTCTGTGCTAACCCTGTAAGCACAGAATCCTTAGTTACGAGATGTACGCATGCGCAGATGCCAAAATTCCTCGCTAATCCGTGAAATATGCTTACCGTAAGCATGGAATTTTCTGCTTACAGTAAGCAGGGATTTTTTGCTAACGGTAAGCAGAGCCAAGAAATTGGGCCCTGGGTGAAAAGAAGGCTTTGCTTGGATGTCTTGAAAACCTCATCGTTGATCTTCCTCTTTCCCCCTTCCAGGTTCAGTGGTCCAGCTGTAACATCTTCTCCACCCAAGACCACGCGGCGGCCGCCATGGCCAAGGTTGGCGTCCCCGTCTATGCCTGGAAGGGCGAGACTGACGAGGAGTACATCTGGTGCGTTGATCAGACCATTGTCTTCCCTGACGGACAGCCCCTCAACTTGATCCTCGACGACGGCGGGGATCTCACCAACCTGGTGCACGAGAAATACCCACAGTTTCTACCAGGTAGGAAGAGTAATTGCCCGTTCACATTGCTTGGAAGTTAAATGCATCTGTACAGGCTTAGGCCCTGTCTGAATTTCTTGGGGCTGGCTTGAAATTTCATTTAATTCCTCTACGAAAAGCGGCTGAAGTCGCGGCCGATAGACATGTGTTATACCTCCAGCCGTGGCTAAGTAATTCTGTCATGGCCAAATTTTTACAGCCCCCACAAGACAATTCGTCGCAGAGCTGACCTACTGATGAATAAGTGGAAACCCTGTTTCGCGCGTTTGAAGTTGGACTTTTTTCTGGGCGTCGTATTTCCATTTTGGTGTATATTCCAAATAAAATAGGAAACGTAGTATCCATCAGGTTATTTATATAATCAGAGAAGTTGTGCGATATGTTTTTACTTGATCGTAAATGTATTCATCAGTTTGTTAAATTACAAAATCTCTACTAGCCAGTTGTTCTTCACACTATTTGTATGCTATTCGTCAGTTTGGCTGATCGCGCGCGCACTGTATACAGAGTGCGCGATCTGACAAACTGACAAGTAGCACTCGTTGGTACTTTGAGCGCACACCTTACATTAGCTGGTTATCAGCGAAATTCCGCATTCGTCACTATGTCAAATTATGGATTTGTTACTGTGACTGATTTGCCACAAGGGGGGCTCTGAATCTCAAAATCCAGACACGAATTAAGAATTTTGGCATAAACACTTCAAAGAGCAACCTTTAAAAACCACAAAAACGACAACATCTCAAAATCACCAAAATGGTTGATTCGCCGGTTTGTCAGCTCTGCGACGAATTTATAGATGTGAGGATGGATAAGTAATGTTGATTGATGTCAATCATTGATGTCTTCAGCCCTGGTATACGGATAAAACTAGGCTGTTTCTGGAAATGTTATTCAACTGTCCCTATGTTCAGCTATTTCAATGTCAAAAGGTTTTATAATTTTTCCTCATTTATCCCGCATAATACTTGATTCTTTATCAAACTTATTCTGTAGCTTTGAGACTTCACCTTGCTGTCAACATGTAGCTGGATAGTTTGTTGCTCGTTTCAAGCAGTTAAATATAGATTTTGTGTTCTACATATTTCAAGCATTTGTTGCATCAACAAAATGTCTTGTTTCTTTGTGTGTGTGAAGGCATCAAGGGTCTGTCTGAAGAGACCACCACCGGTGTCCACAACCTGTACAAGATGATGAAGGAAGGCAAACTGAAAACACCAGCCATCAATGTCAACGATTCCGTCACAAAGGTAGGAGATTACTTAACCAAGCAAGTTGACATAAATCCAGCAAAAAAATTGTGGAATTGTGACATTTTCGGACAACTCCTATCTCCTATTTTTACTTTAAAATATGCAGCGTATGTTTTTTTTTGAGGGGGGGGGGGGGCTTGGGTGTTTGTTTTCCCACTTGGTTTTGCTGGTAAAAACTGGGGGAAAAAATTAATGAATTTCGGAATTGATTGCGAAAATCTTGACCTTAGCATCTGAACGATTGACATGGATTTTGTTATTGAAGACCAGTTTGTAAAAACTGTAGAAGAAGTCCATGGCTAGAATAAGCATCATCGAGTCTTGGGACACTTTATCATGCAAGTTAGCTGACTTCCGTCCCTTTAATTCCAGAGCAAATTCGACAACCTGTACGGCTGCCGCGAGTCCCTCGTCGATGGCATCAAGCGAGCGACGGACATCATGCTTGCCGGCAAGGTCTGCGTGGTGGCCGGGTACGGCGACGTCGGCAAGGGGAGCGCCCAGTCGCTGAGGGCGTTTGGCGCTAGGGTCCTGATCACCGAGATTGATCCCATCATCGCCCTTCAGGCAGCTATGGAAGGTGGGTACAAATGGGTATATGCTGGGATAGGGGGTCAATTGTGGGAGGGGTATCACCCAGTTGAGTGTTGGCGCCAGGGTCCTGATCACCGAGATTGATCCCATCATCGCCCTTCAGGCAGCTATGGAAGGTGGGTACAAATGGGTATATGCTGGGATAGGGGGTCAAATGTGGGAGGGGTAGCACCCAGTTGAGTGTTGGCGCTAGGGTCCTGATCACCGAGATTGATCCCATCATCGCCCTTCAGGCAGCTATGGAAGGTGGGTACAAATGGGTATATGCTGGGATAGGGGGTCAAATGTGGGAGGGGTAGCACCCAGTTGAGTGTTGGCGCTAGGGTCCTGATCACCGAGATTGATCCCATCATCGCCCTTCAGGCAGCTATGGAAGGTGGGTACATATGGGTATTTGCTGGGATAGGGGGTCAGTTGTGGGAGGGGTAGCACCCAGTTGAGTGTTGGCGCTAGGGTCCTGATCACCGAGATTGATCCCATCATCGCCCTTCAGGCAGCTATGGAAGGTGGTTACAAATGGGTATATGCTGGGATAGGGGGTCAATTGTGGGAGGGGTAGCACCCAGTTGAGTGTTGGCGCTAGGGTCCTGATCACCGAGATTGATCCCATCATCGCCCTTCAGGCAGCTATGGAAGGTGGGTACAAATGGGTATATGCTGGGATAGGGGGTCCATTGTGGGAGGGGTAGCATCCAGTTGAGTGTTGGCACTAGGGTCCTGATCACTGAGATTGATCCCATCATCAGGCAGCTATGGAAGGTGGGTACAAATGGGTACCTGCTGGGATAGCGGGTCAGTGGGTGAAGGAGGGCTCGTACTCGGTTGTTGGATGGTCAGTGGATGGAGAGTATCACCCAGTTGTGTTCATGCCATTGGTTTGATTACTCGGATGGATCTCATTACTTCCCTATAGGCAACTATAGAAGGTGGGTACAAATGGGTGCCCACTGGGGATGGGGTCATTGGGTGAAGAAAGGGTAGCACCCAGTTGCAACCCATCTTTGCTGGGGTGGAGGGGGGGGGGGGGGGTTGTAAGTGGTGGAGGATAGCTGGCACCCAGGTGCTGAGGGAGCTATGGGAGGTAGGTAGAAATTGGTGCTAACTGAATAAGGGAGGTCAGTGGGCGGGGGACAGGTAGCACCCAGTTTCTGTGGGTGTGAGTGGGATTACGCATGTGAAGCCAACCGCCCTGCAAATGGGTGGGGGGATGTCAAGTGGAGAAGACAGTCCTAGTCAAGTTGGAACGATATGAAGCAGGAAGCTAAGTTATTCAATTCAAAATGAATTTAAAAACGGCAATCACAAGGTTCAAATTATGAAACTTTTGTGTTGTAGGCTATGAAGTTACCACGATGGACGATGCCTGCTCCAGGGCTAGCATCTTCGTCACGGCAACGGGATGCGCCAACATCATCACCGCGGAGCACTTCCCGAAGATGAAGGAGAATGCCATCATCTGCAACATCGGTCACTTTGACTGCGAGCTGGACCTCCAGTGGCTTGAGGACAACGCTACCAAGGATAACATCAAACCCCAGGTCAGTGCATTGGGGTCGCTTGACCAAGGACCAGCGTTTTAGACAAGTCCTCGCGAGTCACCTAGCCTCAAGTCACAAGCTATTCTAGTGATACGTGACCGGCTCAACAAAAAAGGGTATTAAGTTGCACTGTGTATTATTGTGTAATGGCCCGCTCAACATTGAGAGGGTGAAAATTGTGTCAATATGTGATTTTCTTTTTTTTGTCATGAATGACATCTTTAATACCTACAGTTTCAGGTTTCATTCACAGAAATTTTGATTTTGATGAACAAAGTGGAAGAAACAACCATTTCATGTGCATCGTTCTGTTGTTCTACAACAAAGCCAGCTATTTCAAAGCCTGTTTTCTCAGTTGTGTAATTTGAACTCCAAGGAAGTAATTAATATGCAAATACGTCCTCCCAGAACGGGAGGGGCTATGGAGCTCTATTATATACCAAATGAAAGCTTACATTGTGGGCTTTCCAACGAAGTGTATAACTCAATTTCACTTTTTTGCGACATAATACCCTTTTTTTGTGGAGCCGGTCACATATTTGATAAAGGAATCCCTTTGTTGTTTTTCATTCCTTGTTTTTTGTATTTGATAAAACGCACTTCTGAGTTGACATGCAGGGGGGTCCGCGCAACCTCGTTCCCCATGGGTACAATTTTGCTGCGCCATGTTGGTTCCCATCATGCCTGGAGCGATCTTAACCCCTGGAATAGTGTAATATACATATCCCACTATATGGGAGATTTAAATTAGGACTGCAGATGATGCGTTTAATGCCCGAAACAGTGCTTTCAAATTGGAAGTTTTGTGTGTGTGTATAGAATCAATCCTTTCAAAGATGAGATTTCGACGTCGTGTTATAGAGCAAAGATTGATATTCCATGTGCGTACCCCTGTCGTCCCTTTTAACAACGCAAGATACAGTTTGTTTTTTGGGGGGTGAGAAACGAGGCTTACAGACCCCATATTGTACAGGCATCTTGGAAAAAACGTGACGTGACGTGCAGGAGATAACACGCAAGTGCATATAGGGCGTGCCGCCTTCAAAATACGCGCGCAGTACACGCTAAATAGTCAGTCAGCGTCCTTTACGTATTCTACACGGCCAGGGGTTAGTGAAGGAACGTGCACGCGGCCCATTGAGTGGAGGCTTGAGTCCGCGTTGGTGCACACACGCACCGTGCAACATCACCTATCTTATGCCCAAGGTGTATTCCGGTTGTGTGGCGCGAAGCAGCGGCAACGAAAATGTTCAGAATTCTTTGAGAACGATAAAAGGTGATGCACCTGGGTAACATGAGGTGATGTTCTCTGCAGAGTCCGTCAGGTCGTCATACATGAATGTTTGCAGTAGGTCACGTGAATTGTTCTCAACCAATGAAATTTCACAATCTAATACCATGGTATAACGAAGCACGTTGGATTCTCATGGTCAGAAGTGTTGCCGAGCATCAAAGTTGTTTTATCAAGTACGGTTCTGACGGGGTTAGTACAGTAAATGCAGGTGATGTTGACTCCACTTGATGTCCGTTTTGTAGGTTGACCGCTTCACTCTTCCCAGCGGCCGTCACCTGATCGTCCTGGCCGAGGGTCGTCTGGTCAACCTTGGGTGCGCCATGGGTCATCCCAGCTTTGTTATGTCCAACTCCTTCACCAACCAGGTGCTGGCCCAGATTGAGCTGTGGACCAAGTCTGACCAGTACCCTCTGGGTGTCTACATGCTGCCCAAGAAGGTTAGTATAACCCCCACTCCCCCGTCCCTGACCCCTCACCATTCCATCTCTCCATTCGCATCCTCATACTCTCTTAGAGCAAGTTCCTATTTGATGCGAATGTGAAGCAGATTTAACGCCATGAAACATTTGCTGCGAAATTTTGGCGAAATTGAAATGTGGTCACCTTTTTCAAATTCGTAGCACGAAATCTTCACATGACTTGCCTTTATGTGGATTTGATGCCAATCGGAAGCCAGTCCAAAGATTGCGCCGTGAATTTCCTTCCTGTCAATCAAACTGTACATATTTGACCAATTAGATCATGACTGTTGGTCAGGTGACAGCGGCGTCTCCGTCAAACTCACAAGCACCGTGAGAAAATGTAGATAAAGTATAGATGACCAGGGCTAATGGCCACTTGTGCAGGATTCTGCAGGATCAGGGAAGGATCCTTTAAACCTCTCTCAAGAATCGCGAGTTAAACCCTTTCCTTACCATGGGCGACTTTTGTCGACAAGAAGTACTCCCCTGCTGGTTCCCATGGGCGACTTTAGTCGACCAGGAAGCCACACACAAAACACCCTCAGCACAGATATATTCACTGCTTTTCAGAAAGGCGGCATGTTGATGTGTTTGGCCGCCTATACATCAACTATATACCAGCTGAAAGAGTGTTTTCGGATCTTTCTATTGGTGTGGTTTATTCATAGTGTTACCATTACAAAAAAATGAGAAAAGTGCTTGAGAAGTATCCACGCACAATGTGAGGTATGGAGTGCCATGTGGTCATGTGGTGAAATGGCAGTTTGATAATTGGGACCAGATGAACAAAAAGGCGTAACTTTCTTATATTTGCACGTATGGACTTCATTTTTACATCACATAAAAGAGTAAGGTTCAAGGAACAAACTTTACACACAACACCTATGATTTTAATCACTCCTTGGCAGTGAAAATCTGGGTTGAAAAAAAGTGAGTTTTTGACTCGTGCTCATTTTTTTCACGCTCTAGTGATTTCCCTGACTGAGCAAACAATTTGGTCCTGGGGAGAGCCAAGTCAATAAACAATGTGGGCGTGAAAGGATTAAAAGTGATATTCATTTTCTTGTTCAGCTTGACGAGGAGGTTGCTCGTCTCCATCTCGACCACATCGGCGTCAAGTTGACCACTCTCACCAAGAAGCAGTCAGAGTACCTTAGCATGCCGGTAGAAGGCCCCTACAAGCCGGAGTTCTATCGCTACTAAGACGGGAACCAGGACAGGGACGGCGCCACGAGACTTACTGACGTCACACCTGTGTTGACTGCACTGCATTCTGGGAGCTAGGTGGGGGGACATGTGGGGAATAGATACATTAGGCTCCGCCCACTCTCTCCCTCTTCAATGCCACGCTGCGTGTTCCTAACACAGCACCAAGCTTCTAGAATGCAATGGAGTGAACATCGGGTCTCGGAATGTCTTTCTTGACTTTTGTTTTTCCTATGGAATTATACAACTGAGCTTAGTCTGTTCAGGGTACATTTGTTACCAAAGAACTAACTGATTTGAAACTCTAGTAAACCTACGATTAGGAGAAAACGTTTATTTGACACCAATGCTGAACTCGTGTAAAACTTGGAAATTATTGATAATCATTAACATAGCAACCGGGAGACGGTCTCGTCAAGCAATATAAAACATTGTTGCCATGGTTACCAATGAATAGCCAAATCCAATGTGCATGTCAATTGCTGTTCAGGCCATTTTCTCGGTTATCCTGAAAGTTTGTGGTTTGTAAAGGGCGCCCTCAACAATAATACATGATGAAAACGCAACTGGGCTTTGATTGTACTGTGATCTACAATGTATTCATTCCTGTATGGTTGTAACTATTCTGTTCGTGAACATTTTGGAATGATGCAACTTGAGTAGATACTTACCTACCATACCCCCCCCCCCCCATAGATTTTAGATTTTCATTCGAGTTGGTTTACTGATATGCTTGAAGTTTTCAGAGGTGACCATAAGTTGCACTGTTTTAGCAGCTTCAGTTTTAGTCCTAGCAGCTTTTAACCGCTTTTGTGTTTTCCACTTAAAACATTTTTGATATATGAAAAAAGCCTTGATCTGGTGGATGTTTTGTATTCCAGAGTTTGTGTACCTAAGTGATTGAAAATCAACGTAGTCTTTGTTTTGAAAAGTGTTTTATTTCATGATTTACTTCATACACAGCAAATTATATTAACAAATTTGAATTAATTATTCAAATCATGATCCTAGCGTGCTTTGTTATAATTTTTCAAGTGTCAATTCCAACGAATGTTCAAAATCATATTTTTAAGGGTTTGTAGTGTCTATTAATAATGGGCTATTAATAATAGGCGAAATATTTCGATCATACAAATAAAAAAAATAAGGGTTGAAAAGTATTTAAATGTGGTCCAGTATGTATGCTGATTCTTTAAATTGAGATTTTCATTTGAAAAACAAAATGGTAAATCGTCTGAAGATTAATGCATGATTTTGCTTGGACAGCGGCCTCTCTGTCCGATTTTCAGACGTGCGAGTGAGTTATGCAACCTCGGCACCACTGGTTAGCCCCCGACCCCCATGATATATCATCCCTGATATTTAATGTCCCGCCCGATATTACATGTTCTGATCACGTTGTGTGGAATTAAGATATTGTGTTCAACAGGGGTGGGTGGGGATGTGGGTCACTCTGAATGTAACAATTCTCATCCTCGGTACAGGGTACCCCCCCCCCCCCCCGAGCGGGTTTTGTTCAGTGAAACACTGGCCCAAGGTGTCCGTCAAACAGTGGCGCACCCGGGATTTGGCTGGGGGGGGGGGGGGCTCACAATTTTCTTTTGTTTTCAAATTTTTTAGAAGTAATTTTTTTTTTCAAAAATCTTGCCCAAAATGTTTGGCTGCAGAAAAAAAAGGCTATTTTTTTTTTTGGGGGGGGGGTTGACGTTGGTGGCGCCACTTACATCCCTATTAGGCCAAAAAAATATATATATTCGGTCTCTGGTCGGACCAAAGTTCCGGAATTGACGCGGCCACGCGGCTTTTTTTTTTTTGTGCTTTTTTTTTTTCTTCAAGCTTGGATTGTACAGACAAGGTGGGGTACTATTTTGCTTTTTTGGTGTCCTCATGTACATTGGTGTCCTCTATAATTTGCCTTGGTGCAATTTCCCATTCCTTGGTGCTCTTTGGTAAAAAAAATTGAGGAGGTGCGGAAATAGAGGGCGCTGTTGGAGCTACCGCGGAACATTTTGGAAAAAAAAAGATCGACGCGCGCGTTTACCAGAGACCGACTTATTTTCTTTGGCCTTATACTACTTAAAAATAGGCCACGTAGGTCAAATTGTGGGACCAAAAAAAAAATTACACAAAATAAATAAATAACCTCTTGGCAACCTCGGGGGGGGGGGGGGGCTCAAGCCCCCCGAGGTCCCCCCCCCCCCCCCCCCCCCCCCCATGGGCTCGCCACTGCCGTCAAAGTTAATAGGGTGCTGGTTTTCTTTCTTAAATGATAAATGATAAACTTTTCTACAAATATAAGTGTATACCTGTATATTAAAAACTGAATATTTCTTTAATATTCTTTCTTTCCACGGGTTTATTTGGGCTTTCAACTGAGCTACGCTACGCTACGATGCCATGAGCATTCTGGCGTTTCATGATTTTACTGCAATATCAAATAATGGATTTTTTTTAATTAGTAAATTACAGTAAATTTTAATGACTTATAATCTCACAAATCGCATTGCAAACGTGTCGCTTGATTTCCCCTTTGTGCCCCCATCCCCGCTGAGAATGTTGAGAAGGCAAAAATGAGTTCATTTTTAATGTTAAAAGTCCATTGACTGCTCCCTCTCCCACCCCTTCCCCTGTAAGGGGGGGGGGGGGGGGAGGCCGGGGCTCGATGTTACATTGGGGATACCCAATTTCTGTTCTACTATTAACCATGGTCACTTAGGACTGACAAATTTCCAGTGGGGTGGGGGGGGGGGTGGCGTCGATTACACGCTCCCCTTTGCTACGCCGCTGCCTGAAGTTGAACCCCAATTTCAAGTTCCCCACTGCTTACAAAAGATCTGCAAACATCAGTAATCTCTTCTTGACCGTCCGTCACGATGACCATTCCTTGCACAAAACATTTGTCCGTTGGCCTCTGTTGCAATCTGGTCACTCGGTCTCCATAGTAACAATCTGCAATTATCAAGCTTCCACACGTGCGCGCATCTTCCAAAAGTGCATCGCACCTTTTTATTTGGATGGGAATTTCGAAACGTCGACGAACTTTTTTTCACGTCAGGCTTCGTGTTTGCTTCGAGTGTTTACACAACCACCAAAATAACCACCTGTCGTCGTAACACATGGACCTCAAAAAGTTTGCTTCGAGTATGCCTATTTTAAGAAACTGGGAACGAATTGCGGCGAACTTTTTAGTCTATTTCAGGGCGAAACAAGTCATGCGTGTAGATTGAGTTTGATCTTTTAAACATTGCATAAATTGCGTTTGGATTACCTTGGTGTCATGCATCTTTTTAATTTTTTTTTTTAAATTTAAGCATAAAAGATTAAGAAATTAATGTTCCCTCAAACCTCACGCCCTTTTGTATGGTATGTTTGGTTGTGCAATGCTTGTCTAAAAGATAGGAAATAAACAAATATATCTGTAGGCCCTGTAGGCCCTTTTCTTTGATTCTTTCTTGTAATGAAACCAAGAATTCTTCAAAGTTCAAAAGCGCATAAGCACCTCAGCTCGGAATCCCTGAGAGACAAGTGTTGAAGAAATACTCAGTTTTATAGGTTGGGACTCCATAACGACACACTGTGAAAACATCGGAATCAGTCAGGGAGAAAAAAATCTATCCACAATCTTGGCGAGATTCGAAGAGGAAGAGAGGAAGACTGCAAGGAATTGAGGGACATGGGAGGGGGAAGGCACGGTCGCCCTCCGCTCGTGGCCTGTACCCCACCCTGGCCACCCACCTTATGCCCGCTTTCTGATAAGTTGAAGAAGACAATACTTTGAGACCCCTGAGTGCCCCGCCAGAAAAATGTATGTGCCCCCCACCTCACCCCGTCAAATTGCAAATTGGACTCATTACGCTACTTCGTAGAGGAAGTAGTCTACTAATCTCTCAATGTTTCCATCAACTGCTGACTTCTCGTGCTTATTTCTTGGGGGGGGCATTCCACGCCCCTTTAAAATATCCACTTCTGTTTGAGTTCTGCGTAACCTCATTACAAAGTTCACCAGAAGTTCGTTGGCCGTCACACCCCTCGCTTCGAACCGCGAACTTTCGCAGCTCGTGGAATGCAAACAGAACCTTTGATTCGTCAACTAAACCGTAGCCGCAAATTGATGATAATTCAGGCGAGAATTCACTATCTGAAGAAAACAAAATTTCCTCATTTTGTGTATTTAATTATACAAGAAAGATCAGTTTATTAAACTCGATAAACTTTTCGGTCAGGCTTCACGCGAATACGTTGCAATGTGGTGGGTATTTGGTGACTTCAAACTCTGTTCTAATCTGCCATCGAAAATGTTGCAAGATGTATATCTAAAGAAGGTATATTTCGTGAAAAGTAAATTCGTTTACGTTTTTTTTTCACACGATGCCTTTCATTTAGTGAATTCCCTTTTTATTTTGCCCCTCCCTTACGTATTCAGCCGATAATGGCTCTAACTTGGAACAGAAATGTTTCACCGAGTCTATGTCGAGATTATCATAGTTTTCAACAGAGACTTTTTACTTGTTTGGGCACAAAACTATTGTTTTTCTCTTTGGCGAGTTGTTTTACCGTTTGTAAGAGTCAGGTAGGATGGATTGGAATAAGGCAAGTATCACCCCCTGTGCTGTAAGGTACAGCAGATAATTTTGTTGAACTTCGCATCCAAAGGTAGGCATATCGTCGAAAGTTTGTAGAAGTTTGTTGACAGCTTTCATCTCGTTGTGCAAGAGAAAATAAATCCCATTCTTTTTTAAGTTAAACTTCAGAATGTGGAGCGTAAACAGAATTATTTCTATTTTTGCACGAGCGTTCTCTATATTTAGGGCATTGGAGTATGCTATTTTGGGTCAGTTTTGACATTCCACATCTAAATTAGGAAACATTTACCAGCACATCGATGCCACAATCTTTGTCGACACCAAACCACACTGTTTAATTGTCGCTTTTTGTTTACATTCAGATACGATTCTGTACAACTGTGTCGCCGAACTTTGGTGTCTTTATTTCCTTCAGTAGCCAATCAGCGACTCGGTAGATGCGCGCGCGACAAGTTCATTGAAAATGTACCGCTCTCAAAACCCAAGGTCGAAAAACTTTGTCAGTGAGGGTCAGGTGAACGACGGTATAAAAAGGGAAGTTGCGAAGAGTTTAGGCAATAACATATTTTCCGATTTCTTGGAGCTAGGGCTGCTGCATTCTTCCTGATTTTTCCATTTTGTACAAAGGTAAGTTTGAAACCCCAGAGTGACTTTTTCTTAGACAGTATAAATCTAGAGGAGGGACAGACGTTATGGGCGTGCCTTAGAAGAGAGGGTGGGATGTTCATAGTTCAATGTGCTAACACAAATTTATTTTCTGTCTCAGCTGGTCAATTTCAACCGTGTTTCTTTAACAACAAGCTTGCAAGTTGAATGTTCACTAGGATCATAATTTTAGTCCAAAAGTATTGATGCAATATTTGGAGAACTGCATGCTTCGTTTTTTCCCCTAGTTGTTAATATTGCTTATAGTGCAACTCGTAGCTTTTAGTTTTGTTTATCCAACGTAACGTAGTCTCCTATCCAAACGCTTTCGGGTTTTTTTCTTCCAGGCTGAACACGATGGATTTGGTGGTGGACGTCGTAGACACCCATTTCTGCACCAAGTACAACATCTATCCCAACGGCTGGACCGAAGACTACTGGCTGCGCCAGTTAATATCTCTCTATTTCATCTTTTACTTTGGGGCTCTTCTTATATATTTCGTCGCCTCTGCACTCGTTTTCTTCTTCGTCTTTGACCACCGACTGATGAAACACCCGTTATTTCTGAAAGTAAGTGCAACATTTACAATCAAATTTCACTCTTCTAATCCAGACACGAAGTTGTTGGTTTGCTATACATGTTGACTTAAGATATATCAAGTACAGGAATAAAGGTTGAAATATTTGGTCCACATACCGATAGCCAAAAAAATGGATATACAATCTCATGGAGCAACATAAGAGCTATAGGCCCTATTGCTCTCAAACGGCTCAAATTTTAATACAGGTACATTAAGTGTATGGTAAATTTTTCTTCAATATTTCAAAAGCTCTCCGGCATACCTATGGTGGCTCTGAACGGACATGCACCGTCGTTAGTTTATATCAATGGGTGCTTTGTTATTTCGAAAAAGTTCGATGTCGTTTGAAAGTGTAGTTGCGAGAAAAGCAAAATACGGAAAATACACTGTTTGGTTTTTTAAAAGAAGAGAGGATTGTTAAAAAAAAAATCACGAGGGTTACCACAGTTAGTTTCTTGTCTTGTTCTTGAACGACCCCTGAGGTGCACAGCCCCACTGAAGCCCTCACACAAACGCCTTGTTTTATGGGCGTGTCCCTCTTCTCATTTTTTTTCCATCTCAGAACCAAATTCGTCGTGAGATATGGCAGTCGGTTACGGGCGGACTCGGACTCGTTGTCTTCACGGTGGTGACGGTCTTCCCTGAACTCCACGGCTATGCTAAGCTGTACACGCTGGACGAGGTCGGGGCTACGGGCTCTGAAGGTGAGAAACTGGGGGATCACGTTGAGATTCACCCGGCTGGCTTCGGGGGACTTCTGGAGGGTGGGCGGGGCGAGGGGGTTCCCTGACAGGAGGCGTTGAGGACCGTCGTTAACTGGTATCAGAGACGAGCCCTTTTGAAATGTATTGCTATCAAAAGTGCATATTATAAGCAACTATTGACTCGTGGGTTGAAGCCTGATATATTTTAACGAGAAAGATGCTCCATTCTTGGCCGCCTGGTCTGTGCTGCGATTGGTAAGCCTAATGGATATGATCGATAAATGCATTTCAAAAGAGCATCATACGATCATTTGAGCTAAATATACTTCTTTCTGTCCCCTAGCAATACTTCTGATCACTCGAGACGTCGTGGGACTCATCTTCTTCAGTGACTGCTTCATCTACTGGATCCATCGTTTCTTGCATCACCGCTACGTCTACCGTCACCTCCACAAGCAGCACCATATGTGGAAGATCCCTACCCCCTTCGCTAGCATCGCCTTCCACCCACTGGACGGGTACCTCCAGAGTGTCCCGTACCACGTCTACACGTACCTCTTCCCGCTGAACAAGCACGCCTTCCTCGTCATGTTTGTGCTGGTCAACGCCTGGACCATCAGCATCCACGACGGTGACAGTCGGGTACCAGCGTTCCTTCGACCCTTCATCAACGGCTCGGCGCACCACACCGACCACCATCTTTACTACAACTACAACTACGGTCAGTACTTCACCCTGTGGGATCGCATCGGGGGCTCCTACAGAAACCCCTCCGTGTATGAGGGCTCTTCCCTTGTGGATGCTGTCAACAAGAAGTCCAGTAAGCTCCTGGATGGGGATGAATGTAACGGGGATGAATGTAACGGGCATGACAAGGCCCACAAAGGCTGAAAAGCCATTCGAACTGTTTCCAGCTACATGCCAGAAAGTTGGCCCATACTGGCTTACACAATCTACTTGGTCATTTTGCATTTTTTTTCATGAGATGTTCGTTGAAATCTAGCCTCATTGAAAATCGATATACAAACATTCAAGTTGTGATTACACGGACAAATAATATTTCACAAAAAAAAAGTATAACACAGAGATCTAGAATACTGACGACCATCATTCTGTGATTGGCTAATCCATTGGCACGTGATTGGCTAATATCTTTTCCATCATAATTATTCCAAGTCTTTGCTAGTCCTATGCTTCGTATCGGTCGCTGCAGGCGGCGCGCCGAGAAAACAAAGGATTCGATATTAGCTAACGTCATTAATTTTCCAAAAAAAGAGTGTTGAGTTGCCATAATTAATTTTTGTTTGAAGTTTTTCTGCTGTGTAATCCTCGGTTACTAGACAAAACATGTACATGATTAGGTTTACATACATTGCACATTATTTGTAAGTACATATGATATTCTCTTGCACTTCAACATTCCCTTAATGAAGTATAACTTTTTTCTCTTTTTTAAATTTATCTAAGATTGTTTTTCACTTATTTTTTATTTATTTGTGTTTTTTTTGTACGGTAATTCATCTTAAAGTTTAGGTTTAGGTCGGCAATGACCATGGTTCCGTGAAATCCTGGTAGTCTGGGATGGTCGATCACCTGACAGCCCGCCCTCTATGACGCTTTTGTTCAAAACGAGATGAGAGTGGTGGATTAATTATAGCAGTGGCATTGACCTATGACCCGACGGCCTGGATCTCGATGGAAGCTTTTCACTAATAATATGTAAATATTTTTTTTGCACTTTTTGAAGCCGTTAGTGGGCTTTTCAAACGGCTGAAGAGGATATCACGTTTTAAAACTCGAAAAACTCTGAACAAGTTGCATGGAACATTATTATGATTTGTTTTATGTTGTAGATATTTTACACTAGTCATGAAGCCTGTGTTTACTACAATGGCGGAACGTGCAAACCTATGTGTACAAGATATGATGACATCATGATGAAATCACACAGAGTAATCACACAAAACTGTCGTTGAGTTTGAAGACGTTCGTGCGGTAATAATACTGAATCCGGGGTTCATCCAAATGTCTCTTCTGGATGCGCTGTTAACATGAATTTTGTGTTTTCTGTTATTTAAAGTTTAGTCTACATTTCATTGTTTGTCGTATGTTGATTGTAACATTTTTTTGACGTCAAAGTAGTGACCATATTTTGTACAATAAGCCAAATTTGAGTGCACCTTTTTTATTAAAACCATTCATCTTTGGAGCACAGCTCGAATCGATGTAAATACTGATGTGCAAATTGTTCATATCAAGTTCAAATAAAAACGTTTGAAGCAAGTTTAGGCAAACTTATGATATTTTATTGGAATAAAAATTAGAGACAAAAAGAATACTGATTTGTTCTTAAAGTGGATTCTATAATTTACTTTCGTATTTTGAAAAAAAAATATGGTATTACTTTGAAGCATGCAGTAAAAGGAAAAATCAAGTGGAAAGCACAAGGCACCGCACCCCCCCCCCCAAAAAAAATCAATTTTAAAACTTATCGCTCTCGGATGTGTGACCATCACGCTGCACGGAAAAGTATCAGCGAATGACGCAGCGAAATGTTAAAAGATATGGACAAAGAGCAGGTCCGGAGGGAGCGGGGGGGGGGGGGCTCTGCCCTACCCCCCAATATAACTGTTTTTATATGAACCAGAAGTGAAGTGGAAACGACTGTTTTAAATCGATGCCACTTGTCTCCTTTGCTTCTACAGATTGCAAAATTATGTGTCCCTAATGACCAATGTCTCCGTAATGTCTCCTTAAGGCAGCCTACCATTTTTAAACTTAAACAAAACAGAGGAAAAAGGTAGCTTCAAGTAAAGTCCCCAACCACTTTTCGAATTCCGTTTGCCCCCCGCACCCCCCCCCCCAAGAAAAAAAAATGGTTCTGGATCGGATCCGACCTTGGTTATCGGGAGGAGGAATGTCACCGCGCCCCCTTTGAATTCGTTTGAATTCCCGCCCACAATTTAAGTTAAGCCACTGTGTTGCTCTTGTAAAGCTTTGCTGAACATCACAGTCAAATCCATTTCAAATGCACGGACATTTCGGAAAATGCCATATTTTTCTTTCTTAATAGCAACTTATATAGGCTTCAGTCTGAAGAACGCGTCCCAAAATACCCCCAACCTTTTCGCGAGGCTCTAGCGTCGGTGTGAAAACACGTACCGCCATTATTTTATAATTTTAAAGCTTGAAATCTGAACTTTATCCATGGGGAGTATTGGTTTGATATTTAAAGCCGTTTACAATTATTCATGTTCAAATAAAGGCATGTCGAAAACAAATTCAACCGATTACAAGGAAAATCGATGATGCAGTACATCAGATGCAAACTCGAGTCACACTTTGAGCGCGATTTTTGAAAAGGTACATACTTGCATGTGAATTTCAAAATTGAAATCGAAACGAAAAGCAATATTGTGAATTAGTCTACGTGGATCGAAAAGAATAGGAAACACAGAAAGTAAACGGCAATGAGATTGTCACATCATGAACATGATGAACCATTTCCACATTAGAAAATAATGCGCATGATTGATTTTCCTTTAAATCGGTTGATTTTGTATTTGTCTTCCAAATACAGATTTGAACACGAACAATTTCAAAACCCTTTTGAAAATCAAACCAATACTTACCAGGGGTAAAGTAAAGATTCCAAGCTATAAAATGATACACAAATAATGGCGGTACGTGCTTCCGCAGCGACGCTAGAGCCTCGCATATAATAATGTTCAGGGTTTTTGTTTGGGACGCGCTGCGAAAAGTTACATTTCAATGGTTTTATACTTCCGGGAGGCTTCATCTGATCAAGTAGGAAAAAAAATAGAATACCACATGCTGCATCAGTCACGTTTGCTCACTGAGTTGGCCTACAACAGAGATCAAACAATTAGTGTTTGAGTGCAAACACTTAAATTATCGTTCAGACAGTAATATTAACTTGAATTTATTTACACAGGCCTCATTACCAAACGAATGAACACTGTTGATTACACAGTCCCCCCCGCGTTTATATCCCCCCCGCAGATAAACGCCTCGTATAGCTCATCTTGTACAAACTTCTTTTCACTTTTTTTTTGCCCCAACTGAACTTAACCAAATTAGCAATATTATACTTAAACATCCCCATTTTGAAACAGGATTTTCTTCACATATTATTATTATTATTATAATTATCATAATTATAATAACAATTAGTATACACTTTGGGAGACACTTTAGCGTCATAAGTTATACCTTTGGGAAACACGTCGAATTAGGGAGTCATTTCAATGTCTCCCTAATTCCACATCCCCTACTTAGAAACTAAAATGTCGCAAATAGGCTAGATCGATTGCGCGTAGTCCAATTAGTAAAAATACCGAAATTCGTGGGGTAGGAGAAGGTAAAATTGGGGTTAGGGGCCATACAAGTTGGGAAAAAATGTGTGCACAAGTCTATGGGAATGTCTCCCTTTACCCCTTTACCCAATTAATTACTATTATTATTTATTCAGGATAAAAACAAAAACTCCTTATTGGTGTCGTTTTAATTAACTAAAAGCTTTAAAGTTTAATATTTTGGTAAGAGCACGTTTTGTATATTTTCTTTTAACATCTTCTTGAATGTCGATAGAAGTTTCATCTGCTCTTGTATCTTTTTTTTTTTATAGACATAGAATTTTGCTGACACCGCCACTTTTACAGTAACATCTGTGAGGCTTAAGCATGCAAACCGGTCAATTATTGACCAACAATAAGACATTGTCGCCAGATGGTTCCTCTTTCTGTAAATATTTCCCCCGCTGAAACAACACACAGTTTCGTCAAGGAAATTTGGGCCGGGTGGAATTGGTTTACATTGCGTGGTAGAAGTTCCCACAGCGAATGTTATAAAAAGGTGCGAGAGACCGACTAGGATCAGAACCGATCCCTGGCTTTTTGTGAGACACCAAAGAATACCTCTCCACTCTCAAGATGGCATCAGCTCGTCTCCTTTGCAACCTCCTGTTCGGCCTCCTCATCATTCGTGAGTATTGCCTTCGTTAATGAATCTTATTACATGGTTAGTTTTTAAAAAAATCGGAACCCTAACACCCCAAATTTTATTTCATATTTAAAAAAAAATATGTAGCACCAAAACAATAATAATGACTGGAAAGCCAATTTCATAAGCTATACTTGTAGATGAATAACATTACTGAAATTGCTGCGCAACGCAATGTTTCCAATACGTCATCCCTTCCAAAATATTCATTAATGACTTGCACCACCCATTTGTTGCATAACTTGCATGGTCTCCAGTTTATCACTCGGGAAAATGATGCCCATTCACAGATATTACTGTAACCGACTACAAACTCAACTAAATTTGGTCTGTTTGGAGCAGTAATGGGGGGGGGGGAGGAAAGGTGTTTTTTCTCACGCCGCGAGGAAGTCATTTCTCATTTTAGAAAATGAAAGCATGCATTGCATAATTGCACTAATTTGCAGGATGCTTGATTCAATTATTACTTACAGACAAATAAGATGTTTGCAACCTTTGTTTTGGCAGTTTCCTTTTTGAATGTTTGCAAATAGTGTCTAATGTGAATCTTGTTCAACGCAAAAACGACATTGTTGTAGTCATGTATTTCCACACAACACCAGTAAAATTTAACACCAGATGGTCCTATATAGATACCAATGGTGTAAATTTAACACTGCAGCAGTTTTTGCAGTGCATGAGTAGTGTTGCCATGAGTACGAGTTCCAATACAAGGCAATTTTTTTTTCAAGAGTGCGCCGAGCTCGAGTAGTACCTTACATGGCGAGTACTTTCCGTAGCGATTTTGAAGACAGTTTGAAACGATGCACAACTACCAAACTCTGTTTGCGTTCCTAGTGTAACATATAGAATTTGGTGATATAGTCTTTGGGATGTTTGACTATACTCTATATGTTAGGATACGGTACAGTAGCTGTGGCCAAGAGCAGGATGGTAATGACTATGAGCTCAGCTATATGGAAAACTATTTTATTCTCAAGAACTCAATTAAAACCTGGTCTTGTAAAATTACAGAAGTAGGAGACAGAAGACAGAATATCGTAGATGAAGACTGGCCAGAGAATAGGGCTGGATCAGCCTATGGCTATGCCTCTGGTTTCCCAGGGAGAAGGAGAACTCAAATCTCAATGAAAGTGGGAAATTGTGGACATTTTATACAATTTTAGAGAGGTAACTTTGGGTGAAAATAGGAGATGATATCATATAAGGAAAACATAACTTACATGACATCATTTCTGAGTAAAGGTAGACTGACCATGGACTGACGTAATGGTCAGTCTGGGGGAGTACCCTTATGAGGTCATTTCCACTTGTACAAGGGTAAAATCACAGTCTTGGTATGCTGTGGGTGTATTGCTTGGAAAAGAGTGACGTGAAGACCTTGGGGTGTAATATGGAACACCTGTTGTGAGAGTGGTATCATGGATAGTCCAAATTTCGGTCTTACACTAGTTTGGCCTCATTCCCAAAATGAGTTTCCACCACTCGCTGTGATGGACTGAAGTTTCTGTTTAGTACCTGCCGACTGACTTTTACCTGTGTGTTATGCGCCTATCAAATTATCAATTGTTTCCCCCACCCCGGGCTGCCCCACCCAAGACGTGGGGATTGTCACCTTCGAAGTGGCAAAATCCCCAGCCCTCGGGCAAAATTTGAGTGACAATCGACCCCGATCATGCCCCGACATACCTACATGGGGCGCACTAGTGATTGCCTTTCCACGTACACTCAGTCAACCAAAAAAAAAGTCCCCCTTTAATACTTTTTGTCTAACTCAAACACTATTAGGCACATCTTGCTCAAATTACGACTGATCAGTACAGAAATTCCTTAGCAATCCAGCCATACTCTTTGTTTGGCCCCTAAAACTGTGATAATGTGCACAAAATCATGCAATTTATGACAAATGGTACTTTTGTATACGTGCAAGGTGAGTGTGAACCACAACTCGCACGTATACAAAAGTGCAACTGTTTTCGATATCATTTGTCATATATTGCATAATTCGTACACATTATCACTGTTTTGGGCCAAATTAAAGAGTATGGCTGGATTGCTAAGGAATTTCTGTACTGATCAGTCGTTATTTCAGTCGAGCGAGCGGTGCTCAGTAGTTTTTGAGTTTGACAAAAAAGTATTGGAAGGGGGACTTTCTTTTTTGGTTGAGTGTAGTACGCCAATGGTAACAATGTACATGGAGTGACCAAAATCCCCACCCTGGGACATGAAAAAGTGACCAAATCCCGACATCGGACCTGGGGCAGCGCGGGTTTGGGGGGGGGGGGACATTTGATAGATGCAGGCATAGCTGGTTAATTTATCTCGCCGAATGACTGCCACTTGTTAATTAGACTGGTTACCTATCCCACTGGGCGACTGATACTTGCAACTTATTGCACTGATCTGCTTGCAGTTTACGAGATTTGCCTTAACCGGCTCGTTAGTGATTTCATCATATACACGCGCGCGCACCACTGATTACTAGCGCCCATTGGATAAAACTCAAGCTTCGTCAATTTCCGGTTCCAATGCTGCCAATGCTGCATTGATCTCTATTGTATAGACTAGAGTGGATATCAATGTTCCAATGCTACTTAATGTGCAGTGGGCGTGGTTTTAACTGAAGTTACGTCACACTAGATGGGGATATCATACACAACATGTGCACTCGTCTTGGCGCCCTTGGTTTCATGTACTTGCGTAATGCGAGTGGAGACAATAAAGTAACTCTACATGCCAACGGCGAACAAAGAGTTTTTTAATTCTATCACGTTATCATGTACAGTAATCTACGAACTTGTTGCCATTCTGAATACTAATTTTGTACACACTGGTACCAGCTTTACTGGCGTGCCTTGAATTGCCCTTTAATTCTCTTACTTTGTTTATTTATACAATCTTTTGTTTCACACACAGAAACATGTTCTGCTGCCGCAATCCAAATTGTACGCAGCGCTTCTTACTCCAGCTACTACCCATCATCTGGTTCAAGTTCCTCGGGCTATAGTTCCTACTCCTACTATGTAGAAGAGAAGAACTTCGAAGAATCTTACTCCAGCTACTCATCTGGTTCAAGTGGGTCTGGTTCCTCGGGCTATAGTTCCTACTCCTACTATGTAGAAGAGAAGAGCGAAGGATCTTACTCCAGCTACTACCCATCATCTGGTTCAAGTGGGTCTGGTTCCTCGGGCTATAGTTCCTACTCCGACTATGAAGAAGAGAAGAGCGAAGAATCTTACTCCAGCTACTACCCATCATCTGGTTCAAGTGGGTCTGGTTCCTCGGGCTATAGTTCCTACTCCGACTATGAAGAAGAGAAGAGCGAAGAATCTTACTCCAGCTACTACCCATCATCTGGTTCAAGTGGGTCTGGTTCCTCGGGCTATAGTTCCTACTCCGACTATGAAGAAGAGAAGAGCGAAGAATCTTACTCCAGCTACTACCCATCATCTGGTTTAAGTGGGTCTGGTTCCTCTAGCTCTGGTTCCTACTCCGACTATGAAGAAGAGAAGGGCGAAGAATCTTCCTCGGGCTATAGTTCCTACTCCGACTATGAAGAAGAGAAGAGCGAAGAATCTTCCTCGGGCTATAGTTCCTACTCCGACTATGAAGAAGAGAAGAGCGAAGAATCTTACTCGGGCTATAGTTCATACTCCGATTATGAAGAAGAGAAGAGCGAAGAATCTTACTCCAGCTACTACCCATCATCTGGTTCAAGTGGGTCTGGTTCCTCTAGCTCTGGTTCCTACTCCGACTATGAAGAAGAGAAGAGCGAAGAATCTTCCTCGGGCTATAGTTCCTACTCCGACTATGAAGAAGAGAAGAGCGAAGAATCTTACTCGGGCTATAGTTCCTACTCCGACTATGAAGAAGAGAAGAGCGAAGAATCTTACTCCAGCTACTACCCATCATCTGGTTCAAGTGGGTCTGGTTCCTCTAGCTCTGGTTCCTACTCTGACTATGAAGAAGAGAAGAGCGAAGAATCTTCCTCGGGCTATAGTTCCTACTCCGACTATGAGGAAGAGAAGAGCGAAGAATCTTACTCCAGCTACCACCCATCATCTGGTTCAAGTGGGTCTGGTTCCTCGGGCTATAGTTCCTACTCCGACTATGAAGAAGAAAAGAGCGAAGAATCTTACTCCAGCTACTACCTATCATCTGGTTCAAGTGGATCTGGTTCATATAGCTCTGGTTCTTACTCCGACTATGAAGAAGAGAAGAGCGAAGAATCTTACTCCAGCTACTCATCTGGTTCAAGTGGGTCTGGTTCCTCTAGCTCTGGCTCATACTCCGACTATGAAGAAGAGAAGAGAGGAGAATCTTACTCCAGCTACTCGTCTGGTTCAAGTGGGTCTGGTTCCTCAAGCTCTGGTTCCTACTCCGACTATGTGTAAGAGAGGGCCGTATCATCTTACTCCGACTCCTCAAGCTAACCATAATTCAAAAAGTTAACAGTGGAAATCAATCTCATACACAGTTTCTTTTAAATTGAATTATTGACAATTTAATTTGAGATTAATTACGACGTAATATTGGTAAAAACATTTACATCTTCGTCCTGCATAGAAATCAATGTAAGACAGCGGCTCAGGTAGTAATTACTTGTATCTGAATAGAGAATAGACTCCTTGCATGTAGGCTCTGGTAGCCCCAAGAAGATGATCATATTAGAGCAAGTTGCTATGAGGGACGACCGAAAGTACACATTGAGTGACGTCACGGCGTCTCAGGTCTATTGCTATTTTAAGGTGACCTGTTTACAGGTAACGGACAACATTTGCAAAAACAACACTACTGAAGCAGGTTCTTAAAATAGAATTAACCTCTTGAAATTTCAGAAATAGGCCTGGATATGCTTTTTGAGAAACTGGGAAAATGCATCTTCATTTTTCTGGACGCAAAACATGGGTTTCCGTTGCGAGTCGAGTGCGTGCGATGATTCGGTCCGAACCATCGCAAGGAAATGATGGTTAATTCCGTTGTTTTTTCTCGAAAACGAGAATATACGAGGCGCAACTATTTCACAGGATGCGCGATCCTATTAGACACTTACAATCAAGTAGGATATTTCATGATGATTTCGACAGTTTTATTTTTTGAATTGATTATTTGCAAATAGCGTCCATTGTCTCTATTGTTTAGAGGGAAAAGTACAATGCATGGCTACCCTAATTTCGGCCAAGGCAGTAACCCACGGAAGACAGATTTTACGGAGCGATTTTTCCGGCATCATTGTCGTCGTAAGCAAATCTACAAAGTACCGGTACAATAGTTGTCTTCTAGAAACTGAAAAATCGTCGGTCGTGCGATTATTTGTTCACTTCAAATGGCAACTTAATAGTTGTTTATAGTCTCGCTCGCTAATTGTTTTAGATTCTTTATAGAAATTCTTGTGAATTATTCAACGAGTTTTCAATAAATTTAAGTTCACGCAAGAGAAAATGTTGAATTTTGTCCTTCTTAATTGTTCATTTCTTTTTTCAAACTTCATTATTATTTTGTTCGATGATAGCAGTATAGTATCGAAAGTCTGAGTATCACCCGTTATCCACGGAGCCAAGTCTCCTGTACAGGGTGAGCAAAAAAAACCCCGAAACCCAAATGTCGGGACCATTGTTTTAGTGAAGTTCTGCATGTATATTTCAAAACATATAAAAGCCCAATTCATAAGCTTTCTTTTAGTTTAAGAATCATTCAAATCACTCATGTACTTTTCAAGTTATGGAGTTTTAAACACAACCACCAAAACGAAAACAATTCCCACACATCCCTATGATTTGTTTTCGTTTTGCTGAATTGTGATCCTTAAAACGGTGGTTGTGTTTAAAATTCCGTAACTTGGAAAGTACATAAGTGATTTGAATGATTCTTGTACTAAAAGAAAACTTATAAATTGGGCTTTTATATCCTAGATTTTGAAAGTGCTACATGCAGAACTTCACTAAAAAAATGGTCCCGACATTTGGGTGTTTTTTTTAATCACCCTGTATGTCAAAGCACGCAGATTTATGCGACTCGCGCCTCAGCCAATAGGAGTCGACTTTACTAAATCGTGACGACATTTCTTTCCCAAATCAGGACGAAAACTGTGAGTGGTCAATTCGAATCCAGTGTTTTGTAATACAACATCCACGCGCATACGCGCGCAACATGACACAGAGTGCGTGGCACCGTGTTTTCTTAATCCATGTCTAGACGTGACAAAGGTGAATGACCGAAGACCCGACGTAGAAAGCGCCCGCTGATTGGTCAAAACTTAAAGGAGCCGTTAGTGGTTTTTTTTTAACGGCTGAATAGGATATACCTATCACGTTTTAAACTATAAAAGGCCAAAAAAAAAATAAGTCGGTCTCTGGTCAGCGCGCGCGTCGATTTTAATCATGCGCGTCGATCTTTTTTTTTCCCAAAATGTTCCGCGGTAGCTCCAACAGCGCCCTCTATTTCCGCACCTCCTCATTTTTTTTTACCAAAGAGCACCAAGGAATGGGAAATTGCACCAAGGCAAATGATCGAAAGCACCAAGGCAAATTATGGAGGACACTAATCTACATGAGGACACAAAAAAAGCAAAATAGTACCCACCTTGTCTGTACAATCCAAGTTTGAAGGGAAAAAAAAAAAAAAAAAAAAAAAAAAAAAAGCCGCGTGGCCGCGTCAATTCCGGAACTTTGGTCTGACCAGAGACCGAATATTTTTTTGGGGGGCCTAAAATAAAAAAAACCCTCCGAGCAAGGTTCATGGTACATTCCGTCTGTTTTTGACTAATAGACCATTATCATGTTGCGGCCACAGTGTTTTCCCCCTTTCAAATCAACGTAACCAAAGCGAGGCTGGAAGAAAAAAATACTCTGGTTCCTTTTTGCACAAAAAACATTATCCGTCAGTACTGTTATTGGATACAGGGAACATGACTAAAAATGTTGGCAGCATGATAAAGGCCTATTATGTTGTAGTTCATTTGGTCTAGCGATTGAGGTTATGTCTATAACAATGTCTGAACGCAGACAGCCTGTTCACAAAATCGATGCATGTTTAAAGGTCCAAAACCGTTTGAAAGTTTGAGGAATTCAAGCGGTATTAATGCTACGAATCTCTGTGGTCTTTCATTAGAAAACCAGAAGGCGCTACCCGATCAAGCAGAAAATAACTACAATACCCCCACCTATTGATTTTCGGAGGCCTAAGTGTCTGGAGAAAAGAACCGGTCTACATTTCAGCATGCCTCCCTGAACAAAAATTCTGGATCCACCCTGCTAGTCCCCCAAAAATATTGGCTCTAGAACCGCGCCTGCTTGCGCTTAAAGATACAGTCCTGTCAGTCCATCATTTGTAATTTGTGCATTTTGTTTGTTTGAAGCAACAAAAGTGCTCAAAATCTTTTAAAAAAAATGTGCTGAACAACTTACCTGAGAAGCTTTAGCTCAGCTTCAGCTGTATATTTCGAGAAAACAACATTCTAGGATCTCGATTTCAAATCAGAAGTTGATGAATTATGTTTTGAAATGGGCCTGAATTCAGCCGATTGAGCCGATTGCAGCTACGCACACTGGATCCGACGAAATATAGCAACCCGCGCGCGCGTGTGCATCTTTGTTAACGCTTTGCGCGCTTCGCCGAATAAAAAAAACGAACTACTAGCGGAAATTTCCAACGATGCGTCTAAAGACGCATCGTTTGAAAGGCTTTCTTTCGTTGATTTCTTCAAAATGACAGCATGCCAGAAAGAAAAATTTCACAGGGAGTTTAGTTCCCTTACTACATTTCAACCAAGCATGTTTTTCAACAATAATTACGTCATTTACTTTTTTGGATAGCTCTAAATGATGGACTTAGCTTTAAGCACAATCAACAGGTGTCGATTCATTGTGTAACGAGGCGTGTCTAAATAATTCAAGTTAATATTACTGTCGGAACAATAATTTATTTATTAAGTTATCTTTCCGACAGAAAAACCACTTTCATTGATTACACACGCCTCGTTACACAATGAATCAACATCTGATGACCATCAGCCCCCAAGGTTTTTTTCACTCGTTCTTTTTTTTTTCTACCCCTAAATCCACTCAACCAAATTAGCAAAATTCGTAATTAAACATCTTCATATTAAAATGGCAAGCTGCCTCTTTTCTTGATAACCGTTAAATAAAAGCTTAAAAGTTAAATATTTTGGTAAAAGTAGGCCTACTTTTGTTCATTTTCTGTGTTTTTAACCTCGGCCAAAGAGGTTGTGTTTTCGTCGGATTTTGGTTTGTTTGTTTGTTGGTTGGTTTGTTGGTTTGTCTGTTAACAAGATAACTCATAAAGGTATGGACGGATTTGCATGAAATTTGTTTTAGGGGATGGTCCTTGGTACAAGTACAAATCGATTAGATTTTGGAAGTGATTCGGATATGGGTCTGGGTCCAGGATTTAAAAAAAAATATTCTTCACCATTTTATGAGAGTTCTTTTTTGGTTGTACTGACAATTATGGCGGGGAATTGTTTAGCCTTGGTGAAGGTTTGCGGTCTCTGAGTGCTTTCTAGGTTAAGATATGTTCTCCGTGCTAGAGTTTGACCTTGTAAAATTTGATTTGTCAATTGCTATTTCCTTATAGCTACAAAATAATTGTTCACTTTTGAATGAGACATCGGATGAAAAATAAATCATCGACGTTTATTTACTAAATTGTTTTCCCCCCACAAAATTCGAATTATTGGCTGATTGACAATAATTCGGCTCTCTCGCGGTGTGGGTTAATTTCACCTTTTTTTGCTCAAAATGAAAGCCCAATTTCAACGGGTTGTACATGCCTCAAGTGGGAATAAAGTAGTTCTTTCTTAAAACAAAGCACGCAAATTAAAAAATCGTTAGGAGATTACTTTTCAAATAATTATCGTGGAGTATGCAACTTTAATGTAGACGTGAGTTAAGTGATACATCTGCTGTTTTGTATTGTTATTAAAATTATTTTTAATAAACTTAGAAATTTGCCGACTTGGTCCCTTGCACAGCAACATCGGTGAAGCGTAAACACAAACAGATGACCAATAATAACAAATAACCAACTATTAATTTTGTTTCGTCAGCTGGTCTCTCTTTCTGACACAGTACCAAAGTTTTGGTTTGCATTGCGCGGTATAAGTTCCCACAGTAAATGCTATAAAAGTGGCGACGAAGACCAACTGCGATCAGAAACGATTGCTGGCTGAACCGATTGCTTGGTCAGAAACAACCAAATAAAAGAATACCTCTCCATTCTCAAGATGGCATCAGCTCGCCTCCTTGCCAACCTCCTGATCGGCCTCCTCATCATTCGTGAGTAGTACCTTTATAATGAATGTTATGTCATTTTTCCTCCCAAAACTCTCTGGTCTTATCGCCACAGCGGAGAGTGACGTATCCAGTGGGGTGGGGAGTGGGGATCTTGCCCCACCCGACGTCATTATCTTTTTGGGATAAAAACGCCAACACCTCAAAACCACTGTCAGTAGTAATACCCTCACCCACTATATTAATCGTTATATACCCGACATACAGATCCTTGTCATTTGATTGGTGGAACTCACATCACGTGACATTCGTTATTGCTCCCATTCACGCCGCGGCTCAAAAGTACCATCCGCCCATGGGGAATGGGAAATGGAAATACTATTAAACAGTTAGGATTATTCTTGTTCCATTACGCGGTATTTGTGTACAAATGCATGCTGGTGAGCGCGTTCAGCGTTGCGCGTATAGCGCGTATTGTTCCAAAGAGCCGGCGCTACAGCGTTGGGTTCAAAAATTTTCGTGGGTGGTTTGGAAGAGAGAAATACATTTTCCTCCAGTTTTGTATTGAAAAAAAAGTTCAAATATATCAAATGACAAGGATCTATATGTCAGTTATATAAAACAAATATTGAGTGGCTTTAAATTGTGAAATGGAAGGAATATTATCGCTAGGTAAAATCTGGACTTTTTCAGTTCACTCGGCTTCGCCTCGTGAAATGGTAAAGTCCAGATTTTACCTTGCGATAATATTCCTCCCATTCCACACTGAGCCACTCAATATTTGTATACTTTTAATGTTACAAACGAAGAAACCTGGCCCACCTTTTTCAGAGTTGTTACGTATTTTTCCAACTCCCCTTCCCCTCCAGCCATCCACCCTGAAACCAAAATCTTGGAGATGCTACTGTGCAGGGCGAGTTAAATAAAACGACACCCGAATGGCAGGCCCAATTTTTGATTGAAGTTTCAAAATCTGGAGCTCAATCAATCAGCTTTCTTTAGTACAAGAATCATTCATATCACTCATGTACTTTTCAATTTACAGACTGTTGAACACAAACACCCTTTTAAAGTTCTGTCCACGGATCACCAAAAAAGTAGGGCCTAAGAGTTTTTTCAGCAAAACGAAAACAATTCTCATAGAGATGCATGTGAATTGTTTTAGTTCTGCAGAAAGAACATTTATATTTTTTTTGTGATCCGCGGACAGAACTTTAAAAACGGTGGTTGTGTTCAACATTCCGTAACTATTTTTACCCACCCTGCAGTGGAGAGAATCAAGCTATTTCAAAGTGCAATCGAGACTTTTTCATTCATACTTTTGACTTGCTGCTCTTGTGGTACGATCCCCATGTATCACTATTGAAAATAATTCCTAATCACAGATAATACACCTGATTTAAACCAATTGCAAAGTTTATGTAAACCAAAATTTGGGGCAGTATTTGGAGAAAAAAACGTTTTTGTCTCGCGATGGTTTGGGCTATTAGCGAGGAAATGATGGTATTTCCTCTATTCTCGAAAATGAATGCAAACTAAGCGCAACGATCTCTCAGGACTAAGCGCAACGATTTCTCAGGATGCATGATGAAATACCTTACTTGACTATAAGTGAATACTAGTCTCAACCATCCTGTGAAATCATCACACCTGCTGTGCTGTCATTTTCAAGAAAACTTTGATTTTTTTGTATGGTCGGCTGACCATCGTTGGGGAAAACTGCTTTCCCCCCAAATACCCCTCCAAATTTACCAAATTTAATTAGTCCACATTTCGTCACCGTTTTCACGAAGGGGCGAATTTCATGAAAATCGTCTGTTTTCGAAATTTGTTTTTTTGGTGAAAATTAATAAATATATCAATATCTACAACCTGGTGAGGCTATACTTTCAAAAAATTTATTAGAATCTTAATGGACCTAATTAACGAATGGGCGAATTTGCCAAAAGTGCCGTATTGCGTTTTCACGAAGGGGCGAATTGCTGCACTCTATGGTATTAATACATTTTCAGTAAATACATACATTGTAATGCAATGGCGCATATCACGAAGGGGCAAATTCCATTCGCGTGCAATAAAACGTTTTCACGAAGGGGCGAATTTCAAGGCGCATGCGCAGTGGGGCAGAATCTACGCGTACTGTACAAAAAATGCATTGACTCAGCCCGCAGAGCTAGGGGGCGAAATCTGCGCGTAGTGTCTTTAGCGTTTTTACGAAGGGGCGAATTTGCTACGTCTTTTTATTTTGTTTTCACGAACAGCCACTTCTCTTAATTGATTAATTCTGCAAAACTGATCACCTATTTTTCTTAAAGTGTGCTACATTTAGGAAGATTAGAAGCTCTTCTTTCCTCTGATACCTAAATCTTGCATATTGTATGCATCTTTAAGTTTCAAATTGTCAAATGAAAAAAAAGGACCAACTTTAAACGCGATTATCTTGAATGTTTGTTCAGACAGTGAAATACTAAATTCGCCTCTTCGTGAAAACGGTGACGATTTGTTTGCAATCGATAACACACATGCGTGAATGGGTGCAAGCCAGCTAGTCTGGTTCCCTGACCTGACAATTCCCCGACGTGTAATAATTGCTCCGTTTTTATCTGAATTAAGAGGGGTCAGAGAACTTCCAGCATCTAAGAACACAACACTTTACGCCGTTATAAATTATCTAAGGATGTTGACATGGTGCGTATAAGATGTCGTCATCCTGTGATAAAATATATCAGCATCTCAACCTCTAATTGGATGGCTCCTCCATCCAGAATTCCGCATTTACTAGACCTGCCTAATCTTCATCTTCAATTCTCTTAGATTCTTTTGCATAATTATTTGTCAAATATTTTTAACACACAGAAGCATGTTCTGCTGCGACCATCCGCAATAAAAGGAGTGGATCTCGCTCTAACTCTAACTCCAGGGAAAGCAGCGAAGAAGTGGCTCCAAGTGGATCTGGTTTCTCGGGCGCTTACACCGACCCACCATCCACTGTAGCTCCAACAACCACTGTAGCTCCAACAACCACTGTAGCTCCAACAACCACAACCACTGTAGCTCCAACAACTACAGAGGAGATAGATTCATCTTTCTCTTCCCTCTCAAGCTTTCAACCTGATCGTTAAGAGTTGGCGTCTCAGGTCTCCAAAAAGGAAGCGGGCGGGAACGTTAAACATTTTTTTTGCCTTAATCTTGCAATGCTGGTGAGCTAGCTGTGTCTGAGGTTATTGACGTCACTTTAAATGTTACTACGACAATCTTTGATTTTGAGATTTAAGTACCACTAAACTGTATTAACAAACTGGATTTTTCTGGTGTTGGTATTCAGCCTTTAGGCGTCATTAAACTTGCTACCTGTATCCTGATTCGATACAGGCAAAGGAAGTAAAGAATGTTCGTGTAGGCCTGCTTGGTGCTTTATTTCAAACTTGTAATACGTAATGTGAACTATTACATCCACTCCATCTCAAAAATAATAACCCCTTACCTGTTTGCTTATAATGATTATGTAATGTAATACTTCATATTTGCTGGATAAGATTATTGTATAATTTAAACTTTGAAGAACTGAATTGGAGTTAGTACCCAAGACACCGCATACAAAAACAAACACCGATTTAAAGCACAGCTAGTCACCGGACTATTCATTTGCATATTATTCTGCAAGATTTTTTAACATGCAAATGCTCCAATACCAGGGTGAGAGGGCGTACTGCTCGACTCCAAGGAAACGAGGTTGGGCCTACTGCGAAGTATTATAGTCTAGTCTTGCTTACTGATTGTTTTAGATTCTTTAGAATTTCCTGTGAATTATTTATGAGATTTCAATAAATTTGAGTTCACGCATGAGAAATGTTGAATTTGTATACTGCTGAACTGCGCATTTTTATAAACCATTGACTTTCACACGTCGCTATAATAGGTTCACAAAGTTTTGTACATTTTTACTCTTTTGTCCTTCCGGAAACAAGTCTTTCGCTTCCCTTTCAAGCTTTGGTTCAGATCTTTAAGAGTTAAAATCAATCATGCGGCGAAGCTAGCCAGGTCGCGAATTTTTTATTTACACAATAGTACAGGGTACCCATTTTTTTTTCAACAATTTAACGTTTTATCTTAGAAACGTTATTTTTCAGTCAGATACCAATTGTATAGCAGCAATTTTCTTTTTCTTTTCTGATCCGAGGCTCTGGAGGATTTTTTTTAAAGAGGAAAAAAGTCCGAAATCCTTACCAAGTTGAAAAAATAGTAGCCTCCACTCAAGCCTGGTAATATAAAAAAAATGCTCCATAGGAAAGCGCACAAAGTACCCTACGCTCGTGCCCCCCGCCCTGCAAACAGGACGCTGGGAAGGGCTGACGAATTAACGCTCTGATTAGATAGATTTTGCGTGACCTGTGACCTGATGTCATCACAACCGCGATGCAAGGTTTGAAAGCCGTTCGACTAAGTCATATAGGCCTATCACTATTTTATTCCCATTCATAAATGCGGCGCCTTTTTTTTGGTTGAAAAGCATAATAATGTAGGAAAATCTGTAAAACTTATCTGTTTTGTAAATTTTCAACTCCCGTCAGTTGCTCGGGCTTCGTTAAGAAATCACATCCGGTATGGTGTGCATACATTTTCTATGGCAATTATTTCGGATAGTATTTGCGCGCATTGGCTAACCGCGGTCTACAGCTGCAGCCAGATGCTTTATACATAGGTCATGATAAATTACCCAGAACGCCATCCCCACTTCCTTCACAAGATTCTGTGAAGCTCATCTGGTAGCAGACCAGTAAATAAACGTCCATAGACCCCAATGGTAAATGCTCACACTTCAGAAATTCGGGAAAAATACTCACAACTCTCCAAAGTGTTCGAGACACACATCAAATTAAAGCTTATTTCATCATCTTTCATCTTCTTTTCAATTTTCGGGGGTTAACTGATGACGTTTAGGAGAAATTTCCATCAGAATATGATCACCCCTGAAAATTGTCCTGAAGCCCATCGCCATGTTGAAAAACGATGCCTACACTCAATTGCAAAATAGAGCGCTTTAAGGGCCCCAATTTCATCCAAATTGAACGGAACTACAAGCTCATGCATCACAGTCCTGTGCACGGCTTCCACCCATATTTTTTTACAAACCCTCAGGTTCATGGCCCACAGCATGCTTAAATACTGAATATTTTGAGGGCATGCAAATCGTGATTTGGCCGGCGTAGGCAATTTCAGACCGATTTACTGGTCTGCAACCATCTGCCCTTCCCAGTGCCCTGTTTGCAGGGCGAGGGGTACGAGCGAAAAAGTACCCCAGATAGTTGTGTAAAAAAAATATCGCAACCAGCTGGCGTTCAATGGTTGCGACATAGTGCGATGAATAGCCCCCTCTTTCGGCAATTTCAGAACGATACAAATAGGCGGGCACCATTCCTCTTCAACTGACAGCGCTTCAAATGACCAGGGAGAGGCAGGAAACCATCCTTAAGTTTTTATCCAGGGTATATATTAAATTTGTTTCAGTCGATGGTGCAGTTTCTATTGAGATTTTTTAAGAATACACTTACAACGGAAACAAACGTATCTCCTTCAATTTTCGAGGGTTTGAAGTCAAGCTTCTCACAGTTTTAGTAAGTTTTTTTTACCACCTAAGTAGCCAAGCCCAGAAGTAAAGTTTGGTTCAATTGAAATTTCCTACTTGGAACCCAAGTTACAAAATTGAAACTTTTGAACGCTGTTGGTGAAGGCATTTTTTTTTTTTATACAAAGCCTTAAATACATACTTAAATACAGTGAACACAGAATCAGCAAACAACAACATTTGCAAACATCGAAAAATAAAACTACCAAGTTTTTGCGAAATACCTTAATAGGATGTTGGTAAATGACAGTCTAAAGCATCCTGTAAAATTATGGCACCTGGTATACTGTCATTTTCAAGAAAAGTGGTATTTTTGTATCAATTTCCAACGCTGATCGGCCGATCAGCGTTGGAAACAACTGGCTTTTTTTTTCAAATACTGGCCCCAATTGACCATTGCACTTGTTTGCAATCGATTACAAACCTATGAACGGGTACGAGCCAGCTAGACTGGTTCCGTGACCTTACAATTCCCCAATGTATGTAAACTGCTCTGTTTCTTCTTATATGGAGTCAGGGAACCAGACTACAGGAAAATGATCGTTTTTCTTGGTTTTTATAGCATTTTCGAACCCAAAACCTCCAAAAAGTCAGTGTAACTATATTTGCTTTATATTTCCAACCCCCCAATTCCATCCATTTCTGAAAATTACAGCAAAAGCAAATGATGTATATTCCCTTTAACTCAAAAATATTTAATTTTAAACCAGTTTTATTCGCCTCCCCCAAAACAATCCTCTACAGCAGGCGCGGTTCTAAAGGGGATGGGGCCTAGGGGGTGATTTCAGCCCCCCAAAACTTTTGTTTAGGCCCCCCCCCCAATAGTAGTAGTAGCGAACGTTAGCAGGTGACATCACATGCGAACGGCCTACCCCCCCCCCCCCCCCAAAAAAAAAAAAAAAAAAAACCAAAAAAAACCCCAACCTATTCCCTAAAGCCGGCCAGGTGCGGATCCAGATTGGGTGTTTTTTGTGTCACCCCCCGAAAGAAAGGTATACATTTCTACACGCCTCCCTAGCCGGCCCTCCAAAAAAATTCTGGATCCACCGGTACCCCTGCTAGCCCGCCCCCCCCCCCCCCCCCCCCCCCCCCCCCCCCCGGCCTCCCCCTATAGCTCTAGAACCGCTACTGCTAGCGACTTGGATTAAGTCTAGACATCTACACATGCTCATGTTATGCGCTGTATGTTACGTCTATGGCCGGCCGCCCGGCTAGCTTATCGTGCATATTTGTTGTCTAGGCATAGGGAAGACGCATGATTGTCTTCGTATCAGACTTGACGGCAATGAGTTGGTACAGGGACTTCCGTATGCCACATACAATGTCTGTTTTCCTAGATTAACTGAATCAAAAGCGAGTGAAATATACAATTGAATGCATGTTCATTTCATAGAGGGTGAGTGATTCCATTGTAAGTCTATGGCGTGAAGGGTGAAGCGGCGTTTCTTGGTAGAAGAAAACGGGTGGAAGGATCAAGAAAGTACGGCCTCGAGATTCCACCGCAGCGATCGTGTGGGAGGTTTTCTTGGGGCGCTGCGCTCTGCATGCACCGTCACCGCTCGGGCTCATTGTCCGCTGGCACACAGCGGGAGATTCCTGCGGGACTTCGCCTCAGCTACATCACCGACTGCCTCGGTGTACCTCGTACACGTAAACAAGGCCCATTCGTTGTGGCAGTAAGCCATCGGAGAAGGACTTGACTGTAGAGGACGATGCTAGTATAAATTTTTGGCTCGAGAGTTGACCGTCGTGGCCGTGTTCGTTGCGATATCAACATGCGGGAACAAACGAAGCTTGTTGCAGCGGAACAATGCGACCAGGGTGCTGGTGGAATGTCCAGGCGAAAACAGGCCAAGCCAAGAGCAGTCAAGCGTAAGTACAGCATACACATACATGTACACACTAAATGAACAGTAACTTTTACATGTTTTACCTCGAATGTCCCATCAACATGATCAAACTATGAATGTGTGCATATTTGCAAAACCAGTTTCTCGGATTTCCCATATCTGACCATCACTTGTCACCCTGTGTACAAACCCTATGAGACCGGTCTGAAAATTTCTGTTTTCTCTGTAATACTTCAATATTATTTGAGCTTGAATTTGTCTGTACCTTGCTTTCTTTTCTTTCTTTTTTTTCTTTTTTAATTTGAAAAATGTTCTATTCCAATCCAAAACTTCATCAACTAATTGTTGACTGGCCTGATGTGGGAGATGTGTTTATAAACCCCCTCGACAATGCACCCTCGAAGACTATGCAGTCATTAATTGTTTGTTATATCATGCCTTATTGAATAAGTCAAAAAGATAATGGTTTGTATTAAACTCGCTGTTTGAGAAATATATTTAGGGTAATGGACACCTTTTGCAAAAATATATGTATTTGCCGATTCAAGGAACAACAATACATCTGAAGCAGGTCAATAGAAAACTTACCTGTTGAAATTTCAGCTCAAAATACTTTTTGAGAAAGCTGTGAAAATACATAGGCCTACTGTAGATCTTTATTTCTCTCGACGCAAAGCATGGTTTTCGTTGAAAGCGGGTTGGTTTGGTCTTAACCATCACAAGGAAGTAATCATGATAATTCCTCTTTTTTCGGAAATGACAGCACACTACATGTACCGGTAGGCACATGATGATTTTAAATGATACTTAATCATATCACGGAGGAAGTTCCTTCCTCCATGATCATATCGATAGCATATGTAGGCCTAACCTTTTGAGTAATTACCTTTGAATACCTTCCATAGAGGTAAAATACAGAACAGTGTAGTTCTCTGTCGCGAGGCGCGCAGGCCCTACACGTGCACCCTTCATACGCGCAAGGCAATGTATACAAGGCAATTTATTTGCAACGCCATGTACATAGGCCTACATTGTATGAGATATTTTATATCAATACAGTGTACACGTACATGTATAATGAGGTAAACAGTCATTTTGATAGATTGGACACTTAGCCTTTGAAGATTAATGAAATAACACTATCCAAGATACGGTATATTTTATAAGCACCATCCATCTTGCCTGAAATGTTAGTTGAGACGCAATTTAATTCTCCTGAATTCAAGGCTACTTCTCTTAGAAAATCCAATAAGTATTGGATTATTGCAAAGAGCACAATATGGTGAAATCCGAGAGTGCAGGGTGAGTCAGAATGATCTGGACCCAAGTTCACCTTTTTTTGTGGCAAATAGAGTATTGAGAAAAAAAACTGAGTGTTTCATATGAAACCTTCACGTCTTCCACAGGAATTTTGAATTTGTCAATTTAGAGGCTGTGGTGAGGAGTAATGCCATTTTCATTGAAGTGGCTCATTTTCCAGTCTGCACACGGAATTGGTTTTGCCTTTTTTAAATGTGTCAGTAACTTCAAGTGAGTCAGTCACCATGACTAGGTTTTTATTTGTTATTACACTGCTTCACATCAGTATGCGATTTCAATACATTTTTTGGACCATGGAACACTGGTCAGTGTTTTTTAGCGTGTGTTCTTTATATGCGTTTTTCTTCAAAATGGTACAATGGACATGAAACTTTTACCAAATATGTCCAAAATACCAGCTTTCATGTGTAACATGTACATGTCATATGCATTTTTTTGGATAATTGCTACATATTTTTGATACTTTCTTTAATTTGAGTCCATTCTGACTCACCCTGTAATAGGAATCATTGCATCTTTTGCTTAGGTTCCAGAATGGCAGCGGACACAATCCTGCCTCTGAGTACAATTATAATAATCTGCCAATTATGCGAAATGACAGTCATTCAACGTTTGCTGACTGGCCTGAAGGGAGTTGTTAATGCCGACCTCATTATGACTTGTTTTCAGTTCTTGTTTTAAAAGCATTTTGCGGAGGTTCTGGTTCTGAACGTATGGGAATTCATCATGATGTCTGATCTGACAAGCATTTTATATTTTGGAAGTACATGTACTTCTGTTGCACTCTGGCTTAAGTTAAAAACTGGGATTTTGGACTTTTTTTGTTGATGATATTTTTTCATCTTTATTAAAGGGAATATACATCATTTGCTTTTGCTGTAATTTTCAGAAATGGATGGAATTGGGGGGTTGGAAATATATAGCAAATATAGTTACACTGACTTTTTTGAGGTTTTGGGTTCGAAAATGCTATAAAAACCAAGAAAAACAATCATTTTCCTGTAGTCTGGTTCCCTGACTCCATTTAAGAAGAAACAGATCAGTTTACATACATTGGGGAATTGTAAGGTAAGGGAACCAGTCTAGCTGGCTTGTACCCGTTCATAGGTGTGTAATCGATTGCAAACAAGTGCAATGGTCAACTGGGGCCAGTATTTGAAAAAAAGCCAGTTTTTTCCAACGCTGATCGGCCGATCAGCGTATACCACTTTTCTTGAAAATGACAGTATACCAGGTGCCATGATTTTACAGGATGCTTTACACTCTCATTCACTAACAGTCCAGCAAGGTATTTCAAAATGATTTGGTAGTTTTATTTTTTGATGTTTGCAAATGTTGTATTTTCCCTTTAAGTATATATCCAATTTTGACTTGTGGTTTAAAAAAAATGGTAGATGCTTGATACATTTAATATGTACATTTAAAAGGGAACATTCATGCTTGCATTTAATAAATTTCAACATTTTCAAAAGGGATATCATCTTTTGGCTGATATTCTTAAAAATTAAATGTTGATGTAGGAAAAGATTTGAACTTTCTTTTTTGCTTCAATTGTAATCACTCCAAACCCACCAACTTCAAACTCTTTGGGCCAGTTTCATGGCCTATGATTTCTGTTGATAAAATTGATTGTCAGCCCATTTCATGGAGACCTTAAACTAAAGGGGCACGACGTCAAGGAATACACCCAATCGGGCTACAAAATGCATTTAAAACGAAATGATATTAATTGGAAAGGGCGTTTAAAAGTAGAATATCAACGTCTACTCAGCCACCCTTTGAAGAGTGGCCGTTTTTGTATTCTTCTTGCGAGAAAGAAATTCGGGGGTCAGTTTTGACTCTCCAAAATCGAGGTGTTGGGTGCTTGTCGTGAATCATGTGGCACTGTTCCAGCTGAGTGCATCGTATGCAGCGGAGGTGCGGGAAACAACTTGTGTAAAAGTGTTCTGTGCGCTTGAACAATACAAATGTGTACATGTACATAGCGTGTGCATGTGCACACACATGACGTGTACCGTACATTGAATCCGTCGTCTGACAGAAACTGGGGGCAACGTACAAATTTACATGCTTGTCCAAGGAGACTTTACTACTGAAAATACGTATACCGGTATACATGCCACAAAATGTCCATTGCGTCAGAAATACAATGTAAACAATGATGTTTTTTTGTCTTTTCTTAGGAATAGTTCTTCATTAGGTAAGTTTCCTTTCAACCGGACCTTTGAAATAGGATTTAGTAAACAATAAACTTAAAACTGTTGGCGATTTCAGGACGATATAAGGGCTGTAAGCAGTAAGCAAAGATAACTTCAGAGGCAATTGTTCCAATAATGCAATAATAGGAATCTCCATGCCTACATGTACATGTGCAAGTGTTAGTACATGTCTTCACTGTGACATACGCTTCTAAGGGTTAACAAATTATTCTGCTATAGACTCCATGTACTAACACTAACAGTGAATGGTGCTTTGCAACCACTTTTGAGAGCCCAGTGCAGTTGACGAGACACGCTGCTAGTGCATACTGGTCCCAGCATGAATTGCTTGAAGTACGCGCAACAAATGTGTGACCCACTCCACATTATCGTGTAATGGCCCGCTCAACGTTGAGAGGGTGAACATTTCATCAAAATATGATTTTCATTTTCTTTGTCATGAATTACATCTTTAAAGGGAAGATACAACATTTGCAAACATCAAAAACGAAATGATCAAATTATCACGAAATATCTTACTGGATTGTAAAGGGAATGACAGTCTAAAGCATCCTGTAAAATCGTGGCTCCTGGTGTTCTGACATTTTCAAGAAAACTTGTATTTTTCCAATGCTGGTCGGCCGACCAGCGTTGGAGAAAACTGCCCTTTTTTTTTCAAAAGTGCTCCTAATTTTTCATATTTACGGTAGTTATTCCACATTTTCTTTGCAATTGATTACACACCTGTGAAGGGGTTCAAGCTTTCTTGTACTGATTCTCTGACCTTACAATCCCCCAAAGTCTATAAATTGCTCCGTTTCATCTTACTTGGGGTCAGGGAACCAGACTACTACAAAAACATGGTTGGTTTTCTTGGATTTTCCAGCATCTTCGAACCCAAAACGTGAAGCAAGTCAGTTTTACATTATTTGCTATAACATTAACATACATGTACATGTACTAATCCTCCAAATTCATTTATTTCTGAAAATTGCAGCAAAAGCAAATGTTGTACATTCCCTTTATAATACCTAAATTTTCAGGATTCATTTGCAGAAATGTTGATTTCGATGAATAAAGTGAAAAAAAACCAATTGTGGATGTGCATCGTGCCCAAACCTACAACAGAGCCAGCTACATGTATTCCAAAGCCTGTTTTCTCAGTTGTGTAATTTGAACTCCAAGGAAGTAATTAATATGCAAATACATCATATTTCTAGATTGAGAGGTGAGCTCTATTGTACTCTTAAAGAAAGCTTAGACCTACGTTGTGTGCTTTCCAACATTAACTCAATTGAACTTTTTTTGCGACATAGGCCCAGTACCCTTTTTTTGTGGAGTGGATCACATTTTATTCTGAGTGTTCACCAGGCGTCATCGGCAATGCGTTGTTGGCAATGCATTTGAATGCTCATCCGACTGGTTTCCCCAAACTATTTTGTAAAAAAGAAAAGAAAAGGGAACCGGAGATTTCCAGAAATTTTGGGTTGGTCAGGTGAGGGCA